GAGAAGAATGAGACCGGCTTGGCCTGGATGAGAGAACTCCAGGAAAGTGGGCTAGTTACCCCGGATGAGCTCGAGATGATCGCGCACCGAAATGCCGAGCAGCTCTTAAGGCTGGGTATCCCGACACGTGAAGCTATGGTTTGATGAGGATACCGGGAGCCCCCAGCTAGTGTCAAAGTTTACGCCTTGCCGTAGAAGTCCGGATTAGAATAAAAATCAGATACTCCTTTCTTATTGCCTTCATATGTTCCGCTGTGGCTTGTATCTCTGCTTCCCAGCATTGCTCTCGCTGTGTCTTCATTTTGTCGGCTTTCCTACACGACCCAATCACTCAAAATTGTTCCAGCAGCAATGACAACCACCGAAAAGTCCACTGTGAAGGCAATAGCCTTGGCTGGGGTAATTATGAGCAGCGCTTGGTTCATTTCCTATGCCAGACCACGTTGCTGATCAAACGTTCGTTCCCAGGCTGGCGGGAAGCTTGGCAGGCGAGTTCTTGACGCTCTCGTAGATGCAGGCTTCGACGTAACGGTGTTGGTACGCCGTCAAAGCATCCCCTCTAGCTACCCACCTGGTGTTCGGGTCCGTGAGATAGACTACGACTCAATTGACTCACTACGAGAGGCCCTTCGCGGCATCGATGCCGTCATATCCACGGTCGGCAAGCGGAACGGGCTCGAAAGCCAATTTCGCCTCATCGACGCCGCGGTCATGGAGGGAGTTACTCGGTTCATTCCATCTGAGTTCGGCGCCGATCTTCAACAAAAAGAGATCCGCACATTTCCGACGTACCAAACCAAAATTAAGGTTGAAGAATATCTTGAGAAAAAGGCCCGGGAGACCAATCTCACGTACACTTTCATATACTGCAGCGCACTATTCGACGAGGGTTTGGATTTGGGTGCATTTGCAGACTTTCAGGCCAAGAAGGTCAACTTTTTTGATGGGGGTGCAACAATATTCAACGCAACGAGAAGCGTTACAGTCGCTGACGCTGTAGTGGCTATTTTGAACAAGCTCGAGGCCACCAAAAACAAAGCCGTTCGCATTCGAGACGTCTCCATGACGCCTAAGGAACTGCTGAAGGCCATTCAAGGGCTCGACAAAAATGCTGACTGGACTTCTGTTGCCATTGACACTGGGAAGCTCGTTCAAGGAGCACAAGCCGAGCTAGCTTCGGGGAAATTCAGTCCGAAGGCCTTCGCCGCTTTCGCAATGAGAGCCACGTTTGCGCCAGGGTTGGCCGGACAGTACGGCGATGACAACGACCTTCTTGGAATCAAGGACATTGCGAAGTATGACCTCGAAAACGCATTGAAGTCTAGACTCTTAGTTTGAACGTTGAATTGGGATGGCGTCTGCAGAAATAGTGTATAGTTTCATTGGTACAATTGAGAATGTGCATCTCTCCATCCTCCCTGTTGCTTCCTCTCGGTATGATCATAGGCATGTACCCACACGTATGTAGCGTTAGCTCTCAGCGAAATATAATCTGCCGTCTTCGCTAGTGAAGTCGCACATGTCATCGGCTTCTTCCAACTGCCTCATCATCTGGTCCGCCTGAGACATCGCACTCTGGAATTCCTGCAGCTGCGGACCAGCATTGGAGAAGGTCTCGAGCGAAGCTTGGTTGCCCTGTGTATAGATGGAATTTTGCCTTGTCGAGAGACCACCTACCCTTGTCGGCCCTCCAATGGTGGAGTCTCCTCCTCTACATGCAGCAGGGTTAGAATGCTTGGCTGACAGAGATGACGACTTCCGACGCCTCATTCCGTTCTTTCTTCGTCTCCGAGCTATCTCGATAGTTTTCATGACAGAGCGCCACTGGTGCACTCGGCTATGCTTCGTTGAAGAGTCCCAGCGGAGCACCGCACTCTGTTCTACGACTCTCCAAGCCTTATCGGCGTCCCTACTCAACGGCTGATTGCAAAGTTCAGACAGTATGATGGCAAACGCATGCCACTCATTGTAGCACTTCGTCAGCCATGACCAATTTGCCAGCAAAGGGTCAGTCCGTAATCTGTACGAATGCATCATGCACTCAATGGCCCCCTGGAAGACTTGGCGCTTTTGTTCGTCGGTCAAAGATACTCCAGTCCCTAACGGATTGAGCACCATGATTCGCAGATTGGCAATGATGGTTCCGATAAAGGACATTGTGAGCTGGCCGTATCGTGTAAGTGACCGACTTCGCAAGAATCATGGACAGTGCGCTTACACAGTAAAGAGGCTTCCGCGATGTTGGGTCTTCAGGAAAACGAGCATATATATTCTTTCGCTGCTTCTCAACCCACGCTTCTTTATCAGTGGTTGTCATTGACGCGAAGCTTAACCTTGTATCCGGGTCGATTTGGCGTGTGTCGATCATGGTCCGCCACAGATTCGACGCCCAGCAGCGAGCAGCGGTGAAAGACATGTCCGTGATGCCATCTTGTTCCCTTGGGTATTCTGTCATGCCGGGGTACAGAGCGGAGTCGTTCACATTCATAGGCCGCCTGGAGTTAAAGCTACTGAGCTCTAAGCTAAAGCATCATTCTGGGTCAGTAAGAGTAATTCGATGGGGGGTGAAGATTGACTTACAGTCCAGAGGAGCACGAATAGTCCTCAGATGCTGGCGTGTCTAGAACGCATAGGTTCCACCAAAGACGACGTCGCATCTCTGCTTCGAACGGCGGTAGATTAAGTGTGCTCCCATCCCGGTGCATGCCGAGAGACTGTGATAAACGGACAGCCAAGCCTGTCATGGTCCAGGAGTACGTGGGGTCGCGGCAACGAAGTAGAATTAGATAGACAACAAATGCTTGCAGGGTGAGCATGTCGTCCGTTTCCATCAATCTGGACCGGGTAAAGGCAGCGTCTGCGTCGCGCCTAAACCTAGTCAGTAACACCGACTGCTCCTCTCCAAACTGAAGTGGGGTGTCATCCTCTGGCAAACTGTTCACGGCGCCAAAGTAGATGACAAACATCAATGCTTCCACGTTGGGAGCTAGGTCCTTCGGGTTTTGTATCGCTCCCAGCACCATCTGTTCGACAGACGGTATGTGTAAAACAGTAGCCACGGGGTGTATATTTGACTTGAAAAGGTGCCAGGCCTTGAGTCTGTGATGTTGTGGAGGGTGTGATGAAGGGCTCTCCGTATCTCGAGTGCTGGTGCTGAAGATGAAAGAATACTGTGAGATATTTGGTGCCAAGGGTGCGCCCGTACCCTCGTAATCCGATTCTTCTTCGCTCATCATGCCGTCACTCATGTCGTCCTGTCATCAAACATGAGCAACCCGCATCATAGGTTCGAAGACATGATAACTTACCTCAGTATGCAAGGCTTCCCAGAAGGTTCCACTCACGTATCTATCCCGACCATCATCCTTGACCAACTTGCCCGTTGAGACTCCGTATGGTGACCAAGAAAGGTTCGATTCGGCTTCAACCTTGTCCCCATTCATTCTAGATGCATGGGTGCTGGAAGATGTGCTTGCTAGGGACTCTGCTTCTCTCGGTGGCGATTGTCCAGTCAAGGCGTTTGCATCTTTTGGCGCACTGAATGTAGTCGCTGGTACCTGCTGCTCACGATGGACGGCGCCTGTAGATCCTACGGAGTATGGCGGCGTTGGGGGCGCCGGAGACGGATGCTCAGCCACGGTCCCTGGCCGTTGGTCTCGAGATTGGGCTGAAGATACGTCGGTGGAAAGGTTTGCTTCGCGAGCTGTAGTCGACGAAGATGAAATGGAGGAGAAAGGCAAAAACGATCCTTGTTGCACACAATCGGCCAGTGTCTTGAACATGGGCTCCAGTCGATGGAGCTGTTCCCAAAGTTGGGAATCGGTCAACATCTGGCGCCCAGCCGACGCGCTGTCAGATGGATAAACGCATTCGGCGCCGAACTTCTTGCAATTATGACATGGCTGCTTCTTATCGCATCCAACCTTTCGACGACGACATGCCATGCATACCCGACGTGGAAGTGCCTGAATGCGAGGTTGGGTGGCATCTTGTCCTGCTGTCTGCTGCTGTGACTGGTTCAGGTCTCCTAATTGTGCAGGATTCCAAGCAGACACGATGGAATCTGCCGTCTCGTGATTGTCGGGCCATGGTCGGGATTGGATGGTGTCCGGAGAATTCATGATTGCTCTCAAATTACCACGCACGAAATCGAATCTGCGAGCCTCCAGCGGCGGGTTTTGGGATGAAGGGAAGGAAGCAGCAGTTAAACTGGTCTATGGCTTCCACCCCAAAAGCATTAAGAGGGGTCGTCCGTCACCAGCACAGCTCCGGTGGATAAGGGAGCAATCGGAAGGTTGGGATGTTGACGAAGATAACAATGACTAACCCCCTCCCTCTCCCTCTGGAAAAGGGGTCTCACTATCACCAGCCATGTGCAAGGAACTCAACGGCAGAAGGTGGCGCAATACTAGCCAAGCGATAAGGTACGCGGGTAGTGGAGCAGGCATAATGCGGGGGTGAACGAATCGAGGCACACCTGATTACCACCCTCACCCTCCTAGCGACGTGCTGAAAAGCCGGCACTTGTTAATGAGCCGTCGACGATCTGCCTGGCTGTTCTAAAACAATCTGGCGCAAGGCGAGTGGGATGTGGATCGTGTGTCCTAGTTGAGACATACGTAGACGGGATGATTTCAGAGGAACATGGTTCGCGCCTACGACTCCATTCGGAATGCAATGAAGAGCAGGGACAAGCCAAGGTCTTAGTAATTAGGTTCATCGAAACAATGCCGATCTTGTGACCAAGACTTGAAAACAAACGAACAGCGCTTGACCGAGTGGAGGCGTCTCATCCCTGTCCATCTTGGCCGTGATGGCTAACCGCGTAGCTCGGCCGACACCTCCGGCCCAGGCATTCCGTGGCCAGAGTTCAAGGCAATGACCCATGACCTTTTTCGTTACCAGACAAGTTAAGAGACGGCGACCTTTTCTCCAATTTTCGATACAACACTTCGTACTTCAACGATTCATTTGACACAACCTCATTTGTGAATCAAGCTATGGCTACATCCTCAACCACAGGGACAGAGTGTTCAGAGTGGCTCGTCCGCGTCCCTGACTTTCCGGGTGTCGCGGAGCGGAGAGCAGCCGTGTTCCCGTAAGTCGATCACATTGCGCACAGGCTGCTAAGATGGGTATCGTACATGAAACATGAAAGCTGACGAACGCTGACAACAGCCAACACATTGAGAAGTTGAAAACAGATCCCGCCCAGTTTTGGGTGTTTGGAGGTGGGCTACCCGTATGCCGCCGGCCGAACAGGGATGCATCAAGCTAACATTCGGCGGTGCAGGAGCCACTCTGGCGGAGCCCGTGGACCCCGGCCGGCCCCCGCACATCACCGGCAGCGCCATGTTGATCTTTGCACCCACACGAGAAGACGTCCTAGATCGGCTTAAGAACGACCCGTTGACTAAGGAGGGCGTTTGGGATATCAAAAATGTTCAGATTTACCCTTTCTTTCGCCCCAAGAGAGTTCCTGTATGAGAGTGTTGATGGGGATATCCGGGATACAAATGTCATATAATCGCTGCAGATGAAGGAAACTATACAGTATTGACAACCAGGCAATTACTAACAGTGTTGTATGCTAAGCCACAGCCAAGATCATCTCATGCAACCGAGTGTCGCATATGCATGTCTCAAACAATCAAGAAGGCGCCTCAAAGTCCGCATGTCGGGCCCAAAGCTCTCTCCAGAACTCGCCTAGAATGCCGACACTCTTGGGGTCACCTGGAGGCAACAATTGGGTAACAAATATGGCTCCCATTCGCTGCTCGCGATTAATGAACCATCCAATATTGGGCATGCCATTCCAAGTCAAGGTCTTTGCGGGCAAGTTAGGCACGGTCCCTTGGGTAACAAGACCCCCTAGGCCAAATGCGACCTGAGGACATCCCGAGCTATCCCCAGTCAACTGTTCATGCAGTGACTGAAAGATTTCGCGTCAGAATTGAGACTCTTATTGGATGCAGAAAGAAGCGTACCTTTTGCTTGAGTAAGCCATCGTACATAGGTGATCCGTGCTGGAACTGCGGAATGAACATCGTTTCCACCGTCTCTACTTTCAGGAGTAGCGGTGTATCACGCAAGAGGTCCCTCAAAACCGATGCAAAATCAGAGCTAGAGGTTATCAAGCCCATGCCGCCAGAATTATCTTGCGCATCAACTGGGTACGGTGACGAGATAGGTACCAGCTCTCCTATGTGATTGCGAAGCCACATCTGGGCGGCGTCCTTCTCAATGTCTGGTCGCTGCCGCAGGTGGAAGGTTGATCGTCTCAGGCCGAGGGGTTTGAAAATATTTTCGTCCATGTAAATGCTCAAAGTCTTGCCGCTCACTCTCTCGATCAAAATTCCAGCCCAGTCGAGGCCCGCGCCATAAACCCAACTACTACCGGGTTCGAACAGGAGTGGAAGAGAAAAGGCTTCGTGCACTCTCCCGCTCATTACCAATGGCTCCTCGCCGCGAGACTTTCGCCAAGCAACCAAAAGAGGGTGCATAGCATCGTAGGAAAGCCCGCTTGTGTGTGTTATCAGGTGGCGCAAGGTGATTTTGTTTGTGGCTGGTTTCAGCTGAAAAGATCCGCCGGGACCTTCAAAGATAATATCTGGGCTTTTCAGCTCAGGCAAAATGCTTCCGACCTCATCGTCTAGGTTTATCAACCGCCTTTCGGTGAGCTGCAGCACGCAAATCGTGGTGAGTAGCTTGGTGCAAGAGAACCCAGAGAATAAGGTTTCGAGTGTGATCTCCTCGTTACTGTCTTTCTTGGCTCGGCCGAGGCATCTGCTGAAGACAATATCTGGAAAGAGAGTTTAGAGAAGATACTGGTTACATTTGGAGCAGGTTTAGGTACCACTTTGGTTGAATACGGCGAGTGCAACACCTGGGAAGCCCGTAGATGTGTCTTGGGTCAAAGATACCAGTGTCTCCTCGCAGGCTAACCTCATCTTCTCGAATGTAGCACGACGGTGAAAAAGGTTTGTCCGTTCAATATGTCTCAGAATCTTCACAATCCTTTCATACCTGATTGCCAGATGAATTTTCTGTTCATATACTGGACACTAGTCGAAGCAATGACTACTTTTGACATGAAGAGGGCTTTGCCTTTTTGCGGCCATTGTCGGCCACTTCGGCCGACAGCCGACAGGGTCGTATTTGCCCAGGAATATGATCTGTTAGCCTCAGAAAGCTCCTCTATGGATCTCTCTAAGTCATCGGAAGCTCTGCTTCGCCCCTTGGACTGCTTACCGAGTTGCTCGTCTTAACATTGCGCGACGTTCGGCATTTCCTGTACCGCCACTCGTTCTTGACCAGTGGGCCAGAGTGTTACTCTCAATATGGCGCATTCAAATGCTTCGTCTTCACAGCAGCCGCCTAATCCCGACCCTGCGCCGGCAGCGCCAACAGTAACATCAGCGCCAGCGCCGACAAGCAATGCCGGGAGAAAACGACGATCTTGCGATCTTTGCAGCCGACGGAAAGTCAAGTGCGATAAGCAAAAGCCGTGCAGAAACTGTGTCAAGTATGGCGGGGAGTGCATTTTCCCGGCAGGCAAGACAGCCCAGACTGAAGTTGCTGTAGCGCCTGAGCTTGTCGCGATGCTACAACGGCTGGAGAAAGTTGTTCAGACTCTTGAACCAAAACGAACTGAGCAGCGACAAGGCAATTCAGCACCTTCCCCTCCTCAGCCAGAAGGGACCAGCGAGCACAAGCACCCCTCTCCCCCGGCTTCTGCACCGACCATCGAGACTCCTGCGACTGAAGTCGGCGTTGAGGCTCTTGTACAAGACGACACAGTCTGCTTTGAAGACTATGGCCAAGCTTCGGAGCCGTCGAAGGATAGTGTTCCAAAGACCAAAGATGGTGAGAACGGCGGCAGAATAATTGTTGATGCTGGGAGAGACACATACGTCAGACGATGGTTTTGGGAGACTCTTAATGCTGAGGTGAGCACTTTTTTGCCACATTGTTGTGTTTACAGCTTCTCACCGCGGTTTTACAGGCTAGCAGTGATTCTGCAACGGACGATGAACGCTCAGATGTGGAAGAGTGTAGCGATTCCTTGCCGACGACTTCGAAATCCGGAAACCCAGATCCTACACACGCATCAATACAACAGACTGGGAGCAAAGAGCGCGTATTGGCTGTCCTCAACTCGCACAAACACCATTTATGGAAGGTTTACAAAGAACGTGTTGAGCCTCTCACCAAATTGCTTCATTTGCCTTCGCTGGAACAATCGACGATCGCGTCAGCCAGTCCTTCTGCCCCGGCTCCTAGACAGAGTTCGCGGTGCATCCTGCTGTCTCTCCAATATGGTGCTGTGACAAGTCTTAGCGAGGAAGAGTGTGGTGAAATCTTCAATCTCTCACAGGCACAGGTACTCTCTTTGATGCGTGATATAATGGGTCAAATGTTCTCGGACGCCATGCTCATTCATACTGGAGACATACAACCACTACAGGCATTGGTATTGTATATCATCTTCCTTCGGCACCATGAGCCGAGACTGTCTTGGAACCTCACTGGGTTGGCCGTAAGACTTGCTCAGAACTTTGGAATTCATCGAGAAGGTTCTTTGTTTCGACTTTCGAAGTTCGACATCGAGATGCGGCGAAGACTATGGTGGCAGATCGCGGTCCTCGACACACCTTCTGCAGAGGACTACTCGGGCGAGTACAATCTGTTAGTACTTCCGCCCGAGAACAACATGTCAATGCAGTTTCCTGTCTAACTTACATGAACAGACTCGAGATGAGCAGTTGTGATACACAAATGCCTCGCAATCTCAACGATACTCAACTGCATCCGGCCATGATGGAGTACCCACCCGAAACAAGAGGCATCACAGAGATAACATTTACCTTGGCGCGGTGCCAGATAACTAGCATGTATCGTTGCATGATTGACTCGAGGAGGACCTGCGGAGCTACAGGGAAACCCTACTCACAATTATCCTTCCAGGAACGATCCGACTGGATCGATGGTTGTGAGGCAGCGTTTTCGCAGAAGTACCTGAGAGAATGTTCTCCCACAGTCCCTTTCCATTGGGTAAGTAATCACTTTATCTGGCTGGGTAAATGCAGCCAAATGGATCAATACTGAGAATTGAGCCCATAGGTCACGGTGATTCTTACTCGCATGCTTTTCCACAAAGTCAGATTGCACGGATGTAATCCACTACAAGAACCAGACGATTTGTCGGAAACCATTCGTAAAACGCTCTTCCTTGTCGCTGTTGAGGTGATTGAGTTGAACTACAAGCTGAGAACGGATCCGCGAACACGCCCCTGGGCCTGGCTCTTCAGCTCGTACACTCAGTGGCATTCTTTTTCGTTAGTCCTCGTCTGGTTGCAACAGGACCCTCTCTGTAAGGGATCACGACGGGCATGGGAAGCAATTGAAAAGGCTATTGTTCTCAGATGGGAGCATCCCCTTTCGCTCCTGGGCGGCAAAAAGCCCCAGCAATGGCGATCGATCATAAGGCAGCTTGGGAGAGCACGTTCTATACGGCAAGATGCTCTTGGAAAGAGAAAGAGACGAGCATCCCGTGCATCCCAGCTCACGGGTGCACCTTCAGCAGCCCCATCGAATGGCGGCATGGCCGCCAGACGTCCGTCAGCTGCGCAGACCTTTCCTCAACCTATCCAACAGCAGCCCCATCTCTCACCACAAAAGGCATCGGATCAGACGGTTGGCCCGCGTAATGCCGCACTTGATGCTACCGAAGACGTGTACATGTCGCCAGACGCCATGATGTCGGGATTGGGAGACCACCAGTCAAAGAACTCAATTCCCAGCTTCAACTACGGCGATATGTCAGATATGATGGCACCGTCAGATACGATGATGATCGATGAGGAATTTTCCACTGATGAATTTCAGAGTTTGCCCGACTTCTTGTTCCTCCAAAGCATTTTCCAGAACGCTAGCTAGTCCTTTGAGGAACAAATTGGACACGAAATGACTTCACTACACTATCCGAGCACATTCTTATAGCTGTCCCAGTTCCGGATGTCAATTGGTTTACGTAATTTTCTATGGAACATGATCAAGTCCTATCTACTTTAAGCTGTTCTGTCCCAGTTTGCCCTCTCTGATCTCTTTGTGAATCCCGCTGTTCCCTTCCAACCCCGCGTGAGTGGCGTCGTCCATACCGGGAATCACCATGTCAAAGGTGTCCCGAATGACCGCATACTGGAAGTAACCACAACGAGCGATTGGTTGCGTTTTCTTGACATCCAATTTTCCGTCTGTAAGCACGTCATCGTGGATGTGAACAGCTACAACTCTGCCGATGACGACGTCGACAGTTCCCATTGGTGGGTTGGCAGGCAACCTGATAGTCGAGTGATAGACGCACTCAAACTTCACTGGACTGTCTTTAACCATGGGAACGGGATCTCCAGGCAGTGAATGGCTGTATTCCTTACGCAGCCCGGCGCGCTCAAACTCGTCCACTGCGTATCCAACCTGTTCTGCGGAAATGTTGACGGCTTCGCGCAAGTCCCATGTTGCGAGATTCCAGCAGAACTTTCCGGTCGACTCGACATTACGGACCGTATCTTTTCTTTGCATGTCTGGTTTCTGGTTGGCTGAAAACATGACGTAGGGAGGATCAAATGTCAGGTTGTTGAACTGCGAATAGGGCGCAAGATTATGTACGGTAGAGTCCGTGGCCGAGACGGTTGAGATCCAGCCGATTGGACGTGGAACTACGCATGCTTTGAAAGGATCATGCGGGAGGTTGTGTGCAGTTTTGCCTGGCTCGTAGTACATAGTGGTGGTATTGTAGTGGCAATTGCCAAATTTAAGCAGAGAAAGTCTGATGTCGATGGCCTGTCAGTGTAATTAATAATGAAAAAGCATGTCCATTTCCTCCGAGTCGCGGACGACTGGCTGTCTATGCTATACAATATATCGAAAAGCAGCAGTAATCTTTTCTTTCCATCATTGAGCTCGGCCCAGACGCGGCTTGTTCAATGCGGGGGTGGAGCACGCTCCGCAGCATCGGATGGAAAACCCGGCCGAAGAAACGAACCCCGACGATACAGAACTTGGATCACTAAGCTTTACTTTTTCGAGTTCCGGAGTTTATTGTACCTCGCCCGGTCCGAATGAGGCAGTAATTTGAAGAAGTCCGTCGGCAAGCTCACATATAATCCTCTCGGTCTCCTTCCTGCTACATCATATTCTGTTCAGCGGTTCTGTATCCAACCCCCACCTCCTGAGTAATATCACCTGTAACCCATTTGCCCAACGGTTTTCAAATCATCCTTTCAATCATGGAGGATGACGATGTTGAGATTGGTCCTGGCCGTGACATCCCCACGGACGGAATTCCGGTCAATTTCGTGCCGGCCAAAGCTGGCGAAACTTTCAAACTAGGACTGATAACCTGTCGCGTTTTGGAAGACGGGTCGCGAACCAGTAAGATTCCCCCGATGAGTCCAAATGAAGTTTTGTGGTGGAGGCGTCAGATTGGAGGCACGTTCCAAGTTGCATGCTAACAAGTATATTCCGTGTGACAAGACAATCGCATCGGCGCGGCTGAGTTCACCCTTCCACCAGGCCTCAAGGGGCCGCCGCCGCACTGGCATGAAATGCACGACGAAACTTTCTTGACGACGAAAGGGACTATTCGCTACCACATTCCTAAGCCTGATGGCACCGAGGATATGATTGACGCTAAGGAAGGTGATTATGTGACGGTGCCCGTCCGGGCTCCGCACACGTTCAGCAACCCAACCGACCAAGAGGCCAAGTTTTACAACACGTACACGCCCGCCTACTACATCAACTACTTCAAGTTGCTAGGAACCTACGTGAAGGAAGGAAAGCCGATTTCGCCAAAGGAGCATCTGGACGCAATGTCAAACTATGCCACAATCCCGGTGCCTCGCAAGTACATGGAAAAGAAATAGTCAGAAGATAGTCAAACGCTGCATTGAGTCATTTGAGCTATCATCAAAGCCGTCAATAAATGGTCGCATTCTTAAAGCACAGTGACGCGTGATTTTATCCTCAGAAATTCTTCTCAGTCCGCTCGTTATTTACTCTGATGGTTTGACGAGGACTTTTACTCCCCAGTTGCCGACGTTACTTATTGCTTCATTCTATTATTCTAGGGGCTTCATTTATATTGGTATTTCATCGATTCTTACAATCTTTCTTTTTACCATGGTTTTATCGCCATTGTCCCTCTCGTCATCGCCCCTATCGCTTTCTTGGCCATATTGCCGTAGCCCTTATCGTTGCTGTGATCACTATCCGCCCGTGCTCGAAAAGGGAACAAACGATTTCGCGTGTGGCCTCTCTTATCTCATCACATGAAGTACACCTGGCTCAAACATGGCAACCCTGGACCAAACATCGGTATCGCTGTAGGACGCTTATCTCAGATTTGTTCGGGCTAGCGTATGCAGGACACGGAGTTTCGGCCGGCGGGCAGCGGACGTCGCATTTGATTTTCAGATTCGCTCATTGGCCACCGATTTGTCCCGCATTGAACTCCCACGTACGTGACCGACGGCCACGAACCTTTCGTGGGCCAAGGCACGGGTTGAGCGAATCCGGCCGAGACAAACGAGCATACAGGGACACAAGTGTATGGTAGGTGATTGAGAACGTATGTAGGCACATCAATGACCTCCCATCCAGACCTCTTCTCTGACGGGCAGTACCTCCGCGTCAGTACACATTCAAAACGTTGACTTCACTTTCTCCATATCACCACTCCTCAAGGCCAAACACAATGGCCTTTTTGGGGCTCATTATTGTATGCTCTTTGGCTACTGTCGCCTTTGGCATCATTTACGTCTTCGTTGACTATGTTCGCGTCCTCCGACTCAGGCAGAAAATGGCTCCAGGGCCTTTTCCACTGCCCCTCTTTGGCAACATCTTTCACATCCCACCTATCAGACAATGGAAAAAGTTCGAGGAATGGTCCTTGAAGTATCACTCCCCAATCATCACCATTTGGGATGGCCACACCCCCATCATGATCTGCAATGATGCTTGGTCAATGTCCGAGCTTTGTGACAAGCGCGCAAATACTTATTCTTCCAGAGCCGTGAAGACACTAACCGGCAAGGTGTTTGGTCTTCACAAGTTCAATCAAGCCGGCCTTCAATACGGAGAGCAGTGGCGTATACATCGCAGACTTACCGTAAGCAACCCTTTCCGAGGGCAATAACAAAACAACAAGCCGATATTTTCATCGTTCAAGGCTAATCATCCTCTTATCAAATAGCATTCTGCCGCAAATGCCCAAGTTGTGCAAACGTATCGTCAGATGCAAGCCAACGAAGCCAAGCTATTGATCAAGGATTGCCTAGAGGACTCTGAGAGATTCGTCTCGAGTGCCTTGCGATTCACCGTCTCCATCGTGTCCGTCATTGCTTGGGGCAGGCGTATCAGCAGCGAGAATGACACAGTTCTGAAGGTTGCGCAAGCCTTTGTCGGCAGCGCGAACCTTGGTTTCCCGGGGAAAACGTACACAGAGGCTATCCCATTTCTTACCAAGATGCCGCCGTGGCTGAATCCGCTCCCGAACCAACTCAGAAAACTTGCCGAGACCTCCAACAAGTACTTCTATGCCTTGTCTGCAGAGGGCGCGGAGGCATCGCGAGACAACTTTGCAAAGAGGCTCCTCAGGGAGAAGGAAGAACATGGCCTAAGCAAGGTCGAGATCTCGAATTTGACGGGAAACTTCATTGGCGCCGGTGTTGACACGACAACTAGTGCAATGTTGACATTCATCCTGGCCATGTGTCTTAATCAAGATGTTCAGACCAAAGCCCAGGAGGAAATTGACCGCGTCATCGGCCAAGGCAGATACCCTGATTGGTCGGACGAGGACAATCTACCCTACGTTGCGGCTATCATCAACGAGACTCTTCGTTGGCGACCCCCGTTTGCGCTGGGAGGCCCTGCTCATGCTCCCATTCAAGATGATGTCTACGACGGATATCTCTTTCCGAAAGGGACTGCCATCATTGGCAACCTCTACGCCATTCAGCGTAACCCTCGGGAGTATCCCCAACCCGACAGGTTCTGGCCAGAGCGGTTCCTGGACGGCTTCAATAGGCCTGCCTACCCGAACAAGAGGGGTCACAACACGTTTGGCTGGGGCCGTCGCGTTTGCAGTGGAGAGGCTCTTGCGCAACAAAGTCTTTACTTCACGATTGTGTCCCTGCTCTGGGCTTTCCGAATCCTCCCGGGCCTTGACGATCAGGTGAGTTCTTCGTGTTACTGGAGAGCCCTGGCTGTTCCATCTCAAACCTCGTGCTAATATATCACACAGGGCAAAGAGATTGTGCCGGACCCTGACGCCTACACAACTTCTCAGGTAAACCGACCAATGCCCTTCAAGTTGCGACTGTTGCCTAGGTCGGAGTCTATTGCGAGACTTATTAAACAAGAGGCCCAGGAGGCCAGACTGGAGCTTCGGGCCTACGATGCTGACACCACCGTCACGTTTGAAAGTGCCCAGTCGATTTCTCTCGATATGCCCATCTCCAAGGCAGAAAAGAACTCGGGCTTGTAGTGTTCGCATTACACAGGCACTCATCCAGGATAGGAGAGCGCCTGTTTAAATTAGATAGGCGTTCTACATTAATCAGTATGCCTGGTGATCTTTCCTCTCACTTGACACAACTTTGTCATTCTCTGGGCTTACGTAGCTGTATATGTCGAGTTTTTCGGAATTCCAGGCTCCAAGCATACGTGCAAATTGCAACTGTCTGCAACCAAAAGGCTGCCTACGTGGACTATTGATATGTACAACATTCTGACTATTTCTCAGTCATTAGATGATAGACATCGTCAGCCATCCGCCTTGACGTAACGTTTACCATGACCCGGTCAACCAGATGACCACACTTAGAAACTCTTTCCAAGACCTGAGCCGAGATCAGCGGTGCACGGAAGCTTTGGGAACTTGCATAGTCGCAGGAGATGAAATGACAATAAATTTAGTTACAAATTTCTACCAAATATTGCTTCTGGATCCTCCTTTACCATGCCAATCCTTCAGGGGCAGAGCCGCCACGGAGTGCGGAATTCTCGCAGACACCCCGGCAAAACGCTTCATCTTGTTCTGCAGAAGACTTGGTTGCCTGAACAGGACCTCTGCGAGCAGGCCACCACTCTGCTCCGCGTTTCTTCTCCTCATCCACGTGCTCATGAAGCATTCCTTTGACTCTGCCAATGACATAGACAACGGCTTCCTCTACATCAGGGTGGAACGGCCCGGTCATGTAAGTATCGCTGTTGAGGTTTGCCTGGGAGCCATTGGCCAGCCATTTATCCTCTGACTCGACCTGACTGAAGAAGTCGAGCTTCTCCTTGACTTGCTCCGGGGTCGCTGATTTAGATCGATAAACCTCGTATCGCATCAAACTAGTGGTTGCAGATGTTGGGACGATGGACATCATGTAGAAGAATACCGGGCTGTGATAAATGTCAGAACCGCAGGCCTCCAATCAAGACTTCGCTCAATGTGACAAAGTATAGACTCACGTCAAAGTGACAGAGGCGTTGGGAAACATGTACGTCGGGCTGACTGAGCCCGAGCGCTGCTCTCCCTTTGCGCCCAAATGCGCAACCCAATACTTTTCAAGGCCGTAGTTCATCTGCTTGTTGCCCTTGAAAAATGGCGCAAGTCCAGGATGCGCCGTGGGACAATGGTAGCACTAAGAACTTTCAACAACTGACCAGTACCATACCGGGGTATTTGGCTTTGACTGACTAACCTCGTTATAGTTCTCAATCAATGTCTTCCAGTTGAACTTGCCCTCCATCGACCAGGTGTGATTGTACTCATAATCACTCATGTCAAAATTCTCCAGTCGAGGCTGGGTGTCAACACCGCCAAATTGCTCCTCCCAGCTCAATGTGGGTTTTTCGGCGGCGTCCAGGTTCACCCAGAAGAAGCCCAGGCGGTCCACATGACTGTGAACCTTGTACAACTTGTACTCCTCCTTGTCGAAGTCCTCAACGTGATCGAAGCGGGGAGCCTTGGCTAAGTTTCCGTTCATGCTGTATGACCAGCCTGTGAAGCGGTCAGGACTACCTTGAAATCTTGCTATTCAATGCGAAGAGCCTTACCATGATATTTACAAGACAACACGAATGCTTTGCCTTCATTCTCGTGGACAATCGGGAAAGCCCTGTGGCGGCAGATATTGAGAAATGCGTTGATGTTTCCTGCTCGGTCCTTGATGATGAAGAAAGGGTAGCCTGCCATCTCATAGCGGGCGTATTTCCCAGGCTCATTGAACTGGTGAATGTGAGAAACGAGGATCCATGATTTGCTGAATATCGCTCGCCGTTCCAACTGATAGAACCCTGGCTCGCGGTACCAAGAAGCTGGAAGTGTGCTCTGCATATTGATCGATTTGTGATGTGCTCGAGGCTAGCCTAAGTCCTAGGATTACTGGTTCTACAATAACACACCCTGTAAAGTGAGTTCTTTTAGAGCTTGCAGTTAGCTTGAAGCTTCAAATCCAACCCGGCTCTGGCTACTGCTAGTTCGTGTAAGCCACCGGCCGAACGATACGGAAGTACATAATGCCAAGAGTCCTATGTTTCGGCATTCCGAAACAGGCCGAATGCCGATGATTACAAAAAGCATACCCAGAGATTGGAAAACACTGGGCAAAGGACTGGGCTCGGGTCGTCGGCCGAGCATTCCGTGTCCCGCATCAGCCCCCGCCTTTGTCGGAAAGGCGGGGCCACCCAGCGGGCCTGTGACTTCGACGATGCTACTCTGTACACTTCTCCAACTTCAGATTCGTTTAAACCCACCGAAAGACTTTAGTTCTGTGCAGCTGGAGTACAGCCTCTGTTCAACCACATGACTTCTAATCCAATTTCCAGAATGAATAATAGTCTAACCGTGTATGAGCACTAGCAAGGTTACAGTTAAATGATAAATTTGCCAGTCGACATCGGCACTTTGGCTGCTGTCAACCCACAGATTAACATACGGCAGTGAGAAAGGTGCGCCTCCAGGCGGCAAACTGCGAAGGAGAAAGTTAGGAGGGAAGAAGGGGAACTCACAGAATAAACAAAGACCTCCATCAACGGAGGTTGGTCAATTCATTCCACAGCTCTGACGGTCTGGGGATTACAAAAGAACTCGGACGAATACGATTGGATTACAGACAAATATGATCAATAGACAGCGATCTGGAATTAATTCTATAAACACTGCCCAAACCTACATGTATTCTGAATTCTCATTCACTGCATCGATGTAAGGGGCTGGCCCCTAGGCTTGTTCAACGTAGAGGTGCCGTCGATTGACTATTCTAAGCTGAAGAAGGAAGAAGGGACTTTACAGGGATAGGCGCCTAGCGGCGGTGAAGCACACCGGGGCTAGGCGGTGTGCTGCGGCAGAATAGTGGACCCGGCGGAGCTGGGTCTCGGTAGCTGCTCCGGCAAAGCCGGAGATCTCGGCCGGGCTCTAGCCCGTGATATCACCCCCCTGCTCCCCTCCGCCGGCGCGCCCGCGGCGCTAAGGCTGGGTCCCTATTATGCTCTATCGCAGAGCTGTAACGGCGTTCGTAAGCCTCTATTGCTTCTGTCCCCTGGAGCGTCTTAATAGGCTCCTAGGTCCTCTCTGTATATCCTTCCCACTTAACCAGAACCTCGCGGCGTCGCCTGCGCCCTCGACGCTTCCAGGTAGCAGCGTTAATACTCTCTATATTCCAGGTCTCTTCGCCTTTATCGTCTATAATTGGTGGCGGCTGCTCATTATCTAACGTTTGACTGGGTAAGGGGTTGTTACCTGCGCGCTTCAGGATATCTATATAGAAGCATAGGTATATAGCTGCTGGTATATCAAGCTCTACCATATATAGTGAGATGACTTTTGTAACTATATACTTATGGTGTAGCTAATCCAGTTTCTTGCAAGGCCTAGGGGATCTATAATAACCTATATAAAGCCAGACTTTGTCGCCTACTTCTAGTCTCTCTGTAGGCTGGCGCTTCACATTAGCCAGTTCCTCGTAGCGTTGCTGCGTTGACGTAAGGGTTGATTAGGCCATATCCATCACATCTTGAAGCCTTATTACTAACTTGCGTGCTTAGCCCTCACAGGTGCCCTCAGGGCTTGCTGGGTTTGCTTCCTTAACCATAATAGGCTCTAGGTTATATCTATGCTCTAGGAAGAAGCTACTCATCCTAATAGCGCTATTATCGCAGCTACAAAGCGCTAGCTGAGCTGCTGGAAGGTTATATGCCTAGTCCTTCTGTGAGTAGGTGGCGTAGTTGCATAAGTAGGCCTAGATCTCCTGGTTTATCCTCTCTAGGCCTCTATCAGTCTGCAGGTGGCAGGTGGTGCTAAGCTGCTGCTCTATTCCCAAAAGCTTGCAGAACTGCCGCTAGAAGCAGCTTATCCAGTTGCTCCCTCTGTCGCTCATAATTAACATAGGGATGCTGTGAAACCTAAAGTGGCAGTTTAGGAATCATTTAGCATAGGCTTCAGCTTCTATACTTTCTATCGCCTTGAGAGTTACGCCTTTACCTAGCTGGTTGATAATTACCTAAAGATATCTCTCACCCTTATCTATAAGGGGAAGGTTAGTAATGAAATCTATAGCGAGGTTGCTTTATATATGCTGTGGTATCAGTAGTAGTTTCAGAAGTCCCTTAAAATGTTCCCTCTAGATATAACTGCGCCTATAACTATCGCAGTTATAGCAGAAACGCTATACTAGGTGCAACTGAATAGGCTAGTAAAACCGTCTACTAACCAGCATAAGGGTGTTATCTCTTCCTAGATAGCCACTAAGCACTAAGTTGTAGGTGCTTTAAACGATATAAGTGTGTAGCCTGTTTATATTATTATCTAGATCTTTATTACCTAATACCTAAATCTGATCTCTAAACAGTAGTTAGTTGCTATTATCAATCTTACACTTAGCGATCTGAACTTTTAGCTTAAGGCTTAGAGGGAAGCTTCTTTCTTGTTATTTCACAGCAGTATAGGCCTGCTGGTAGACTTCATCTTATCCTTAGGTCTGATCCTAGAGTTGCTATAGTTCTTTATCATTAGTAAATATAAGCATTAATAGTGCTGTCTCTATATATTATATACATGCTGAGGGTAGGGTTGCTTCTGGGAGGAGCTATAGGATTCAACCTTATTTACGCTTATCCTCTAGAGACGTAGGTACGTCTTATTCACATCTAGAGAGTGCATCTGGCACTACTGCTTTACTTCCTAGCTGGTATTATATTTTGAAGTTATACTGTGATAGTTCCTCTGCCTATGAGCTTTGCTGTTCTGTAAGCTTCTGCTTTGTTATAAAGTACTTTCGGTTCTTATAGTCTGATAGGATCCTAAAGTGGCTGACACTCTATAGCTTTACTCTCTATTCTTATAGACAGCTCATAATAGCTAGCATCTCCTTATCATATATCGGATAGTTGAACTAGGCAGCGTTAAGCTGCTGTAAGTGGTAGGCTACTGCGTGACGTCTGCTATGCTTATCTTCCTGTGAGAGTACGCCTCTAAGGGTAAAGCTGGAGCAATCAGCCTCAACATAAGTTGTGCGCTCAGGGTCCAGTTGATATAGAACAGGCTTAGCAGCAAAGATCCTCTTAAGCTCCTAGAATGCTGCTTCTTATTCCTTACCCCAGCAGAAGGGGACACCCTTCTTTATAAGAGCTATCAGGGGTCCAGCAATCTCTAAGTATGCTGGGATGAAGATCCAGTAGTAGTTTGCAAATCTAAGGAAGCTTCAGACTCCTTTAACTGTCTTTAGAGCTGCCTATTCCTTAATCGCCTTCAGTTTCTCAGGGTCGCAAGAGATACTAACTCCAGCTGTAATAATAAACCCTAGGTACTTAACTATCTTCACAGAGAATGCGCACTTATGAGGGTCTAAATATAGCCCTGCCGCAGTAAGCTTATATAGTACTAGCTTAACCTTTGCTTTATAGTCTTATCGTAAGCTGTTTAAGTAGATCAGGATGTTATCTATATATACTGTTGCAAAGTCGTCTAGATACTCTTAAAGTATGCTGTTAATATATCGTTGGAATATAGTGGGGGCTCCTGTGAGCCTAAAGGGGATAACTAGCTATTTAAATAGCCTATATCTCGTCTGGAAGGCTGTCTTATACTCCTCTCCCTAAGCGATCTGGATCTTATGGAACGCTGCTATTACGTCTAGCTTAGTGAACCACTTAGCAGCGCTAACAGTCTATAGCGTCTCTCAAATCAAGGGAAGAGGGTATCAGTCGCACTTAGTAAGCTTGTTAAGAGCGTGGTAGTTAATGTAGAAACATATTTCTCTGTTCAGTTTATATATAAATAGTACTGAGGCTGATGCTTCTAAGCTGCTAGTGCAGATGAAGCCCTTATTAAGTAGGTCTTATAGAGTCTTATGGAAGATGAGGAGTTCTTCTCATAACATGCTATAGAGCAGACCCTATAGTAGTATAGCTTTATTACTACTAACGTCCTATTTGATAGGGATCCTATGGTCGACCCTAGGGCGATACAGTAGAAGGTTAGCAGCTTCATCAGGTTGGAATAGCTTGTGGAACTCAGCTAGTATAGCTAGCGGAAGGAGGGCCTTTAGGTCTGCCTTCTCAGTCTTCTTTATAAGAGCCTTCTGTATATCTGCTAAGCTGATCGCTTGAACTTTATATCTAGTAGTGCCTTTAGTGTGTTAATATGCCCTCTTATAGAGCGTTGCAAAAGGGGCTCCTAGGAGCAAGCGGGCAGTCCTAATCTGGCGTACTTATTCTAGCTCTTCCTCGCCTTTCAGACGTAGGTCTACACCACCCCTCCTATGCTGTATATGCTGTGCTGCAGCATTATATAGGATATAGTTCCTCTCTATCTATAGCTTCCCTAGGAATAGGTTGTCGCTAAGGCTGTATATAGTATATATAAAGATCTTCTCGTTATAACTGCATAGCTTAAGGTTAAAGATAACTACGCCTATTGCTTTCGTAGCACCTATACTATCGCTAAAGCTGCCTATTACCTGCTCAGAGCGGTCTACTATAGGCAGGCGGAGCTTACAGGCTATGTTGTAGTTGATAAGGGCGTATAGGTCGCACCTAGTGTCCACTAGGGTGTCCGCCTGAGTGCCTCTATATATGCAGGTAGTGATCACTACTGACTTGCTGCTTATATGATGCTTAAACTGCTTCTATTCTGTGATATCACTAGACTTTGCCTCTAACGCCTGACTTTGCGTTAGAGTTACTCTTTTCCTAAGCTCTCTTCAGCCTCAGAACTTCTCAACTCATCTGTAGCACTATTATTGCTGCTCTCCTCTAGCTTCTTAGCTTTCTTAACCTTCTTAACCTTCTTTGGTCCTGAACGCTTTAGCTTAGGGCACTATATAGCGATATAGCCTATCTTGTTACAGTGGTAATATCAGCGACTATCCTTATGTGGTTGCTTACTACCCTCAGACTTAGATGAGGAGGAGTAGCATCTGTGGCGCTGTGGTTCTATAGCTCTCTTCTTGTTCCTTGCGCAGCTTACGCTGGTTATAACTATATCACTATCGTCGTTATAGTGCCTGCTTGCTTTAGGGGCTCTAGGGCGGTATGAGCTGTTCCTATGCATTATAGCTAGAAGTCTCTCTAGCCTTGCAGCTACATCTTATATATATATAAGCTATCTATAGTAGTTATTAATAGGGAGGTCGACAGTAATAAGAGCTTGCTAGAGCTGCATACTAAGTGCTCCCTTGAGGAGGGTTATCTTCGCCTGGTCTGCCTAACTTACCCCTCCAGCTTCTGACAGTATTCTCTCAAATTAGGGGAGAAAAGAGGCGAGAGACTGATCGTCCTGTTGCTAGATCGTTTATAGCGTAGCAGCTGCATAAGAGGTAGCATTTAGGTCCTTATATATACAGTCTAAGTACCTTATAAACTCAGAGGGGTCTTATTTACCCTTAGGGCCACCAGCAGCATAGAAGGTAGCAACAACTTGCTGAGGGTTAATATTAAAGCGTGAGTTAATATAATACTAGACCTCAGCCTTACCCCCTATACACTATATATCCAGGGTTATCTTATTACGTATTTGCTGAGACTATGCTAGGTAGTCTTTACGCTTTCCTGTGAACTTTAGGGGATTCAGTAGGGGCTTCTTTTGCCCTTCAGCTACCTTCACTATACCGTCACTTAGAGCCTGTATAGTTATATCAGCTGTGGATAGGGTCAGTATGCTACTTGCAAGCAGCGTAGGGGTTGCTCTATCTGGTGACATAAGCCTATTTAGAGCTGTCAAGAGCTGCGTCATCTAGGTTGACTGCTAGACTATCTGGTCCTAAAGAGGACGTATGCTTACGTTCACCGCTTCGTTGATCCGGCGGTCAATTTCAGCGTTCATCACATCGTTTGCGCTACCCTCTAGCGAATCCATCCTGTCGCACTCGTGAGGTTTTATATAGCGTCTTTATTATTAAGCTTAGAATATATAAGGGGCTAGCCCCTAGGCTTGTTCAACATAGAGGTGCTGTCGATTGACTATTCTAAGCTGAAGAAGGAAGAAGGGACTTTACAGGGATAGGCGCCTAGCGGCGGTGAAGCACACCAGGGCTAGGCGGTGTGCTGCGGCAGAATAGTGGACCCAGCGGAGCCGGGTCTCAGTAACTGCTCCGGCAAAGCCGGAGATCTCGGCCGGGCTCTAGCCCGTGACAATCGAGAAGTAGAACCTATCACCTACTTTGATTCACACTCCTCACCCTCAGCCCATGTCTTCCTCTAGCGCTATCTAGCTCAACGGTTTGACGACTCGTGAAGCAATCGCCGATGCTGCGTACCACATCATGTCTGCCTTTGACGAGAACGACGCCTCTCTGCTCGCGTCCGCTATGACCCCGGATGTTGCTCTAACTATCAACGGCAATGATGTGTCTAGCTTCGAAAACGTCAAGGCCCACAGCCTCAACACTGTGGGCCCGATGGATACGACCCATTTTGTAACCAACATTCGCATTGACGTTGCGGACAATGACGACCCATTGCGACCTTGGCCTCTGGCTCAGCATTACACTCGTGGGGATGAACTCGGCTCGAGCGAGAGAAGGCTGCTCGGAGGATCAAAACATGTCATGGAGCTCAGTGAAGACGACAACGATGGGCTTTGGAAGGTCAATATGTGGCACATGAAGGCAGTATGGAGAGAGGGAGGTATGAGGTGGTTGCACCGGAAAGCTTGAGTTGCTTTCGCTCTTGCGAAAGTAAGTTTTTGTGGGGCCAATTGGTTGGGTAATAATTTCCCCTTTTCATTGCTAACTCTCAAGGGTGTCCTAGCCATAGGTAAACTGCTGGAGATTTCGTATTGTAACTCGAAAGTTTAAACGGGAAAACGTTAGCAGGTAGGTTACCATCAAACCTGTCAAGGCCCACGCCTACTCTCAGCCATCGTGTAAGCAAGTTCAACGTATTGAAAGTTGGGGTCGGGAGCGGAGAGAGAGACAGTTGTATCAGTCAATGCATATCCTTCTTGATTGACTAAAGGCTATGGTAGGGTATTCTCGAACTATATTATTTCATCTGATTCATAACTCATCCAACACTACTGGCAGCTACCTGCTATGTCGCCGTATCCAACCCCATACATCGCCCTTTATCCTATGTCGGACGTGTTGGTTGAATCCATAAGTAATTGCGTTTGCAAACCCAATAAATTGACTTGAGCTCTGGAGGGCGGCCAGAACTCGACTTTGAGATGTATTGCCAGAGGCCTCCATAAGACGGTTGACGAGGCCGGGAATCCACAACAGAACGTACATGACGGGGTACGCGTTGAGAAGCATCATGCGCTTGATCTCGCGCTCAACCTTTCTCGTCTGTGACCGGATGGGGAAGTCGCTCATCATCGTGGCCGTCACGTTCTCAGCAGCGGGCTGCTTGCTGGCGACGTTCTTGAGGCTTGGGTTTTGCGGGAAATCTCTGGCGGAGAAGTCTCTCTTTGGTGGCATGCGCCACTCCAGAGTTGAGCTCCTGCTCCTGGATCCCTTGCGCTTGGAGGACAGGTCAGGGAACCCGTACTTGGAAAACCGTGCGGACATGGCTGATGGCCTTCGCATGTCGCGATGGTAGGCAGAGGGCCCTCCGAACTGGCTTTGTTGCAGCTTATCCTCCTGCTCAAGGTATGAGAATCTGGCCTCGGAAGCCTGGCTCAAGTCCATCTCGTTGTCGTCAAAGCGGGATATCCTTGCGGACATTTTTCTCTGTCCCTCCACGTCATCAGCGGTGACAGATGCCCTCGCTGGCTTTGTAATGGGCTCGACCCCTTCGTCTGATTCAAAGGAGACAGTCCGCTCGGTCGGACCAACACCACCGCTGACCTTGTTCGACCACTCCTTCAATTCGTCGTCGTCCGGTGTCGATGTCGTCTTGAACGGTTCCTTGAACGTGGGCTTCGGTCGTTCGAATTGGTCCATTTCTAACTCAGGCGTTGGGATAATCTCGAATCCTTGCTTTTTGCGAATGGAAGAGGCCATGACGTTGCCGACACTAGAGCCAGAGTTGGTTGAATCGTAGAGGGGATCTGACGTGTCGACCATGGAGCGGAAGTGGCGGCCGAGGTACCACCAGACGTAGAGGTAGATGAGTATCGTAGTAAAGATGATGGCGAAGCGCCATCCGTGTGTAAGGGAGTATCGAAGGTCGGGTCGGTTGCGGGAGATCCAACACCAGTTGCCGCTGACGGGTTCCATCTGGCCCATGCCGGTCGCCGTGGCGCTCGTGATGATCGGGACCACCCAGACGGAAGCGCAAATGATGAACTTCCTGAATGTCGAAGTATTGGGCATGTACGTCTTCCGTGTAATGGTGAGGAAAGTGACTACGGCTATGGCTAAGATGGAGAAGTCGGAGGCTTGGACAGATAGCTGCCCAATCATGCCGTTCAGCACGCATGCCGCGCCGGGCCTCAGATCTTTGTCTTTGATGAAGATGATTCCGGATACGGTATTGTTGAGAGAGTTGATGAACTCTTTTGGAAAGAGGCTCGAGTCAGCATCTTCCACCAAGGGAAGCCACAACTGGCGATCAATGACTTACCGGCCAACGTCAGGTTGAGGACGAGAGCATGGCGGAAAGAGCGTTGTTGATCGTGGTAGAAAATGAAGGAAATTAACACGCCCGTAGTTGCTAGAAAAGAGAGGATGCTACCCGTGAGGGTAACGGATGCGACTGCCGCATCAAAGGCCATCGTGAACCCGCACGCCGTAGATGTTGGTTAGCATCCACGCGCGACGACTTCGCGGCGGTCTCAAAGTGGGAAATGGGTATCGTCTTGTACGAAAGCCAGTGCGCACGTCTTCCAGGACCGTGGGCTGGGCGATATTGGTTATCCGTTACACGGATGGAGTCACGGGTCAGCGGTGCGAGTCATGAAGTCGTTGCGACGTGGGTCTCCATCCCCTGAAGCTTTTCTATTTATTGAGTGATTGACATACGCGATGCCATCTGAAGTCGAGAACCACCCGACGCGAGTCTAAAATGCCTGCCTTTACCCCAAGGTGCACCTTACAATGTCGGGATGTCTTGCAGGACAAGACGCTCTGGGAAATCGATGCCATTGAAGCACGACATGAGGCTGGTGATACGCCTCAGAGAGTTGCAAAGACAACACGCTGAGGTTGCAAGGGTCAATGGACAGAGGCGCGCCCATTATGAACTAAGACAAGGTCCCCCTTAATCAACGCTTGGCGTTTTGGAATGTAGCATCCAGCGTCTGGACCCGCTGCATAACCCGGAAATCGTTAGCTGATGCTCAAAACCGTTAGGCGAAGGCGCAGTTCCACGTGGATTCTTGTGTCAGAAAACGCATTCGGCACCCCGATCTAACCGCAGATGTGCATGTTGAAGGGTTCATCCGTTGTCCCAAGTCTGTGGGCACTCGAGCTGGGCGCGCGTCTGTCGCCAACTTACCACGCCTTTGGGGTGGGCATCAGAATGGACATCCCTCACTTCGCGAAGTTGAGGTTATTAACCGCATGTTGCATTCTTTGAAGCGGCTTTTTTTCTCCTCATGTCGCATTCAATTCAGAGTCTTCTGATTATTGTTACGCGAGAGGCAACTTCACTGTTGATCTCTGAGTGTCCGAGCTCAATTCGGTGGTTATAATGCCGTCCGTTATCGACTTCGTTATCGCTTGGCTTGGCGGCTGCAAAATTTTTATGATCTGCTCAATAGGAGTCCAGCGTGTATATGAAAACACTAAATGTCGGCGCCGTGCAAGCACAAACCAAGACACCGAGCCGTTATATCCCGCGGACAGCCCTGTTGTCGGTGGATGTCAATATCAAGGTTTGGAGCCGGTGGCACTTCAAACCATGTACCCCTGAAAATACATTGGGTCTCCCTGCTCGCTTATGCTGTCTTGGCCTGATAGCTGACAGGGTATTCCTATCTCACGGGCAGCTTCCTCTTGTGTTCATGGAGAATGCGAGCAGAATGTTCCACCGGCACAGTCGGATTTTGGAGTCCTTCCGCACCGGCTAGCCCTGTCACGTAATCCAAAGACAGGATCCCATGTGGTTCGGGGGCATCATCCCGCCTCACGGCCAGCCGTTCCTGACGAATTGCAACGGTTCTGGCCTATCGAGGACCAGTCTTCTGACCAATTTCCTCAACTCCGCAAGTTCTCAACCCCACAAGCCGGATGTTGTTCCTTGATTGAAGGCCGGCTGAAGGCTCAGGCCCCCGGTCGTGCACTTGGGCAATTTTTCGTCCCCCTCTTGCTGACCCTCCACACGCGGACGGCATGGGTAAACTGAAACCCAGGCCAACTTACCTCTCCTGGAAAGATTTCGCCACCCTCCCGCACAGGACCTGCTCTGGCGCGGATGCTCTCATATGCCGCAATAACGCAAAGTTCTATTTTGGTCTGGGCCGACTGAACCGCGCGGGAATCGGAAGGCGAGCGAGCCCGCCCAGCCGAGCTAGACCAACCATCTCGCCAGACGCGGCAACGGGAGGGTTGCAAGCAATATATTTAGCGTGATGCCAAAAGAATTGCGTTCGGTGTCGATATCAGTAATCTGCACGCCAAGAGCGAGACTGTGCCGAGTGACGCCGACGATGCCTTCAAAGTCCTCGTCTGAAAATCTCGCACCTTTCGCTCTTGGCTCCCCCAGACTTTCTGTCTCAAGTGATCCATCTCCGGACTGAAAATGGAATGTTGTTTGGCCCCGTTCTGTCTTTCCTCGTGGTTCTGGCCCACGGTTAAAGTTGAGAGAAATTAATCCCCGAGTTTGTTCATTGTTGGCTCCGCTCTGCAGAGGGGCGAAGCGTGGCGGACAAGAAAAGCACAGAGCACATCGCGACGTACGCGAGGATTGTGTCGTGGTGCGCGGAGTTGGACATGAGTCGTGTGAGTGTATGATGTTCAACCACCATGTGTCCGAAACAACGAATGTGCCCTGCTATTACTCCCGACGTGATAATCCGCACGGATAAGTTCGGATTGAAAAAGTTGCCGGCCTGTCGTCTCTGGAACTGGCCCCTGATCGCCAAAATTTCCCCCTTATGGCTGACAATGGGATTCTTCTTCAAGATAAGGCTCCTCCCTGCATCTCGAGGAACATCACGCGTGGCAGTGCGTTCAGAACCTTTAACGTTTCGGAAATTCACACGTCACGGCCGGAAATGTTGCAAGGCAGTTGACGCGTATGATCACGATCGCGGATTGAGCTTAGCGCAGGACCGAGACTTTTTATGAAGCTGCTGTTGGCGTGGCTTGGCGCATCCTTCATCATCACAGAACACTGAAGCGTTCACGGTTTGTGTCTTATCGGAAGAAAAGACTAAAGTATGGAGTCATGGACTCGTTCAACCGAAGTTTCCTGACAGAACTAGGCAGACCCGGATGATGTAACCTTAGCCACGTTATCCCAGCGGCTGCAACCGACTTGCAAGCCATGCAAGATTATTCGCAACCGAGCAGCCCTCAGAAGAATGACATCCTTCCCCAGGCACGACTAATGCTGCGGCTGAGCACTGCTGAAAATGGTTATTGATGCTGAGGTTGACTATACTCGATGGAACACTGCGATGACGAGTTGCTCACGTTGTCTCATCTGACATGATACCAGAGCTGAACATCTCGAACTCCAGTGGTTTCTCTCGTCCGGTGACTTTCTGTGTGATAATCACGTAATTACGGACCATTCAATGCCGGTGGATACAATGTCTCAAGTACCAAAGATTCAGCTTAGCTGAGAAAATTTGCCCCGTAGGGCTAGGTTGAACCATGCGTCGACAGCCAAGTTAGTCTGGACTCTTGAACAAGGTTAAACAGACTTGAACAAACTCTTCGTAGTCGTCGTAGATGGTCGGAAGATACGGTTGTTTGAAAATGACTCAATCAAAATGGGTTATGTTTTCTGAAACTCAAATTGATAGGCTTCGACAACGATATCACATGATGCTGTTCTGGCCCAACCATCACTTCCGCTTTGGCAATTTCTTGATATTGATGAAAGTCCGAATCGAGTGTTGAGATCCCAAAAATGACTGTCTACTTAGAGTTACGGGCTGGTCTGGTGCCTAGTTCGGATCAATCATCCAAAGTCAAAACCCATTTTCCTTGCAGCTGAGGAGAAGTAATTAGTATTGATGGCGCGATACGGCTTTGGGAACTTCTTACCTTTCCAGCGGACATTGTCTGCACCAGTCTTTCCACGTCGTTTAGCTTTGCCCTCTGCACCTTTGGAACGACGACTCGTCGCTTTACGAACTCCAACGCCTCCAGAATATCGGCTCGCGTCCCAACTGAGGAGCTCAGAATCTTCCAACCCTTCGCAATCAGCCAGAGAGGATGGAAGTTCACCAGAGCCTCATGACCCAGGACTGCCACACACATGAGTGTCCCAAACGGCGCAAGTACCTCGAATGCTTGTTGATATGCAGCCAGTGAGGTGGCGGCAACTACGATGGCTTTTGCTCCCTTCTCGCCCGTTACCTTCATCACCTTCTCCCCCAGAGTTCCGGGCTCGGTCACGTCAACATAGTGCTCAGCACCCTGCTCTTTGCAGATTTTGGCCTTCTCCTGTCCAGCATCAATTGCAATAACACGGTATCCCATTGCATGAGCATACGCAACAGCTAGGGCACCAACGCCACCGGCGGCTCCAGAGATTGCAAAATACTGTCCGGGAGTGACGTGGCAGCCCTTGACAGCCTTGTAGGCCGTCACGCCAGCACATAGAATCGGCGCAATCTCCTCGTCGGGAAGATCGTCGAAATGTGGCGGCAGTCTGGCTAGATATCGATACGGGACGAGCGAATATTGGGCGAAGGTACCGTCGTAAGTCTTTCCGGAATGCATCGCCTTGACACATCGAGTCTCTCCTTCATTGACAAGATCCGTGCAGGCATCGCAACTTCCACAGATGTCGCGGGTCCAAGCAATGCCAACTCGTTGGCCTACCTCGACTGAGGGGTCGAGAGAGGAGACATTGGAACCAAGAGCAGCAATTTTGCCAACCCCTTCGTGGCCGAGGATGTTTCCGACAGGTCCAAAATGACCCAGAGCCATGGCAAGGTCTGAAGCACAGAGGCCCGTCACGGAGAGCTTGACGAGAACCTCATTTGGACCGGGTACTGGTCGCGGTTCATCGCGTACTGAGAAGGTCGGCGTAGCGTCAGATGCTTGGGTTGACTACGGTGGGTCAGTTGCCATCCTCGACGCAATCCGAGTCTCTGGTCGCGAGATGAACGTACAGTTAGAACGGCGGCTTTGTGCGTCTCCATCTCGATGGTCTTTGGAATCTTCTATGAATAATTGCTTCTATCTGGCGATAATGGACTGCAGTTGATGAACTAGAAACGAGTTTTGAGAGTTTGACCTGATGTTCCCCGAATCTATGATGTAGTTCCTCCCTTCCCCGCCAATCCCAAGCGGGGGAAGTTCAGACCATTCGGATACGTATTTCCGCCCGTCGGACAGTCCCGCGCGGCCGAGGTCATGGCGGCGAAGGTTTTTCTCTTTTGAGAATGCTGTTCGCTCGAAGATGAATACTGACATGTCCTCTTTGACTCAATCTTGAAGTTGAGGTACAGTATCTCCATCGACGCGTGTGGCAGATGTGGGTTTCCGAGAGCCGCGGGAATTCGCTAGGCCCGGGTTATGGCGTTATCGCCCCCGACCCAGGGGTCTCGATTCGCTGCACGGAGTGAGACATGCCTGTACAGTTCGGGCTCTCTTTTTCTCTTCTTGGCCTTCGGACTATGTCTCAAAGGAAATGACAACGAGAAATTCATCAATCAGTCTTTTGAAGAACTGGAGTTGTGGGCACACATCGTGGATCAACAGGGGTGCTCCATGTAGGCAGAGCTGTCCGGCTGGAGGTTAATTGTGCATGTGGTTACCACATGAATCCCCCGGAAATTGAGACGTTCATATCGTGCCGTGCTGACGGATGCTCAGCAAACATCCAACCATCATCAACCTGGGTTTCCGCTGGAGGAAAGATCGCGAGAATTCGGCCATAATCGTGACATCATGATCCATGTAAGGAACCTCTTACATAAGCGCTGTCACGAAGATTCGGCCCACGGCGAAACATGAGCACCCGAAGTATCACATGACTGAGTCCAGCGATGGCCCCTGTCTCAGAACAGGCCAACAACATATTTTCTGTAATCATCTAATCCACCAGTCCTCACCGCTGGATCCTTGCGCCAAGGAACCGCATAGTTGCAATGTCCACTCAGAAGTCATCGTTCTCAAATAGGGGCTTCCAAATCCACCAGTCTGTAATTCGGCATCCTGGCGGAGGAGCACACGACCGAATTATACACATAGTCAACCGCGCTCTTAGGGACGTGCGTTCGGGCGAGCATCCGGCACCTCACGGCGACGCAGCCGGGAAACGGCCAGCACTCACCCTCGATCTTAGCTTCCAGGGGATGCAGCATATTCCCGAAGACGTCGTTGATCTAACCAAGGAGGACCTAGAATGGTTCGTAGAAATTATCGCTTATCTTGAACGAAAAGGTGACAAGCTTACGCCAATGTGCGTGGTAGGCTCACGATCTCCCACAATCTTTTGACCTGCCTGCCGACTCGGTTTGGAGCCTGCATGAATCTCCGCTATCTGGATATTAGCAACAATGATCTCAATGAGTTCCCATTATCTGTAATGAACCCGTCATGTTCTCCCCATACTCGTCCTAACGCCATCGCAGATCTGCCAACTGAAGTCTCTAGAGATCTTAAATGTTGCTCATAATTCACTCGGGAACATCCCTGATCAGATTGTTTTACTTTCATCACTCAAAGCACTCTTTCTTCAGAGCAATCAGATTGGTTCATTGCCACTCAGTATCGGGTTGATGGAGTCATTGCAGCTCATCAAGATCAGTGGAAACCCCATTGAGTATCCCCCGCCGGAGATCCTCAAGGTACCCAATCATGCAGAAGAAGCAGATGCCATCGTCACTGCACGGATCATGAGTTTCTTCAGGTGTGATGCGTACCCTCAGCTTCTCGTGCCAACCGGCAATCTCGATCTCATCGACGCCGCGGATGCTGTGGCTAGCTGTCTGCCCCGTTTACAAAGACTCCTCTCAATCGACCGCTTTGCTAGGTTGACGCGGCATCAATTTAACACGGTGTCAAACTTGGAGCGCTTGGTGTCGCGCAGTGGGTTGCATCTGCGAGAAATGCAATTGTACATCCAATTCGCTTCTGAAGGTGATGAAAGTGCCCAGGAGGGTCTGTCAAAAGCTTGTGTGCGACTTGTAAGATCCATGTCGCGAGTGTGCCTCGAGATCGGGAGCAATTCCGGTATGATAGTTGACCAGGCTGGAGTCCAAGACGTTCTGCCTCTTCTGAGCCTCCTGCATAGCACCTGTCGGGACCTGAGGTTTGCGCTGCAAGCATTCACCCCTAATAAGTCTTGCGAGACTGACCATCCAGCTACGAGTATGCCTTTGACTGCTCAACCTGGTATAGCCGCTGCAGATATTCTCTCTGCTGCACAAGAAAAGAAGTCTTTGTTGACCCATGGAACCAACACCAACAGCGATAATCATGATCAGTCCCTGGACTCAGTCGTGCTGTCTCTCTTGGAGGCTTGCAAAGCGTACAAGGATCTTCATGATCAGCTCCGGGGACAGATCTCTGCAAGTTGGCGCAAAGATGATGCGCGAGAGCCCAGGATGTGTCCAGTCAGGTCTTGGAGCCAAGCCTGCGCCTCCTGCTCAAAGACTGAAGAGGCTGCTTCGATTCTCCGAAGCTGTCTGCATCTTTACACCCCCAAAGCATACGCTGCGAACGACCCATCGGTTTTCATCGAGTTATCCTCTAGGTTTTTGAACAGCTGGGCAGACCTCGGCAAGGGAATGATGGCACTAAGAAAGGTTTTATATCTTTCGACGGACGTGAGAAAGCAGTTGCAGAATACGCAGACAACTGTGAAGCGGGCCACGCAGCTTCTGAGCATTTGGATCGAACAAATCGAAAACAACACAAAGGCGGAAAATTACATTTGAGGTTTCGGGGAGACTTATTGTGATTTTGAAGCGAGGACGGATGAGACCGTTTTAGAACATGAGCTACTTACGGAGACCGTCATAGACGATAGAGAAAAGATGATGAGACGGGAATGATGGAAAACATGGATGATTAATGCAGCAGGAATAATTAGAGGATCGGGACCAGTTGTCCCATAAGAATGTTGTAGTGCTTGAATGTGAGACCAAAAATAGCTTTTGGAATCTTTACACTAATCGGAATACCACGCACCATATTTGCTCTCAGCATGTGAATGCTGAGCCAACCTCACCGGATTTGTAAGCATCAACGATGCTCTGAATAGTGGTATACGTTCCAGCCACGGTCATGAAAGATGCCAAAACCACCGTGAAGCAATGCAATAAACACAGACCCATCTTTGCTTTACTCAAGGACCGCACTTCCCAATCCATGTACAGTCCCATAAACGCAGGAATAATAAGCTGTGGCACAAGAAGATGCAAAGTCAGAACTGGACTGTCATCTTGATCATGTGTGGGTGAACTTACACATGTTGGCATGCAGCAGATAGAGCCGATGAGACCAACCAGGTAACTGAAAAATGGCACTGCTTCGGCAATGACGAAGGCAAGTGCACTGATTCCCAAGGTTGATCCACTTGTGATGTCAGTTCCATATGTCCTCATGAAGTCTGCGGGGTACTCACAGCCATGTAGCCCAGTGAACGAAACTCTTGTTCTGCAGATGAATCGAGTTACGGAGAATGCGAACAAGCAACTAGAAGTTGTCAACGGCTCAACTCTGTCTTTGCAGTGGCAAAAACGACTCACAAACTTGGCGGCCAGATGGACCCATAGCGTGGTAGTCATGACGAAGCCGGGAATGGAAATGCCGTAGGCTATCTTCTCCAACGTTCCGCCTGCGCTCCCCAGTGAAGGGCTGGCGACATACTTGCCACAATAACTTTGTAGTCTTTAGCATCTCCGTGTCATCCAGAAGGACCTCAAAACAACTCACATGTAGACGACGGTCCCAAAAGAGACGTAGCATGCGCCTAGGAAAATTTGAGACGAGAAAAGCGATTTGGTGAACGACCTTGGGCTTCTCATTTCCGCAATGACTGGCATAAAGGTAGGTGTCGAGCCATAGCCAACTAGGATATTGTGAGAAAAGGCTCCGACCAAGTGTAGCATTGCAGCGCTTACCGAAGAGATTGATGGTGGCAACTACCCCAGGAACAAACGCAGGAGCACCAACGGAGTGAACCTCCATATCATAAGGACCCTCCTGAGGAGCAGCGGCTGGTCTATCGACCTGAGTAACGCCAACTCTGTAGTTGAACGTCAGTATCCAGCAGGATCTAGGTCATAGAAGAGGCCGAGTCTTACACCACAATGAATACGGCCGTGAATATCGAGGCAAACCCAATCCATGCCAGAATCGACAATCTTCCAAGCGTTGGAATACTGGAGATTAGTGCAGTACACGTTGCTGCGACGAGAGTCCAAACGATGTTGCAGACTGGGCGGTTAGAGAGTGTCTTGAATCCTTCCGCCAGGCCAACAAAGCCAGAACCAGAAGCTAGCCTAGACCCATGGTCAACTAAACATGGACCGCATTGGAGTCGGATAGAAGCTTACACCCAAGTCAAAAGAAACAGACCGCCTGTGACTTCGCGAGCCACGGGGCCACCCATTAGGGCAGCGGCATCGGCGATATTGTGCACACCGGGATACCGCATTCTGAAGGCGTACATGACGTAGGCGTAATCTGCGAGTTACCCAGATTGTAAGTGACTGCAGAGTGCAGGCGAGGCCCAAGAAGATCAAAGAGCATTGCCGAGAACTCACAAGTCGTGAGGGTTCCCCAGCTCACAAGGAGAATAATTCCCGGCCCATATCCCACTGCGCTAAATGCTGACGGAATGGTCAAAACGCCGGTCGCGAAACACAGCTTCATCAAGATGATGACTGTGCGTTTCCTGTGATTATGCCTTAGCAAGATCTCTCCACAGCGAGAAAGTCATGCAATCGTGTTACGCATACCAGCCGAGAGCCCGGTATTGGGCTTGTTGGAAGACCTCACCGACATCTTCAACATCAACGGATCCGGTCTGGCTACTGTCGCCAGGAACAGCATTATTTGGGGCAGTCAAGTCTGGCTTCTCGGACAGATTCGGGCCTGAGCTTGTTTCGTAGGAGGAGGGCATTGTGGCGCACGTTTGTCCTGCGAGGATTCTGTTGATCGGTCAGTTTGCAGGCCAAGTAGAGCCGATGAACTAGAAAATCAAGTAGCTCGGTATTCAAGCTCAAATGCGCAATGACTGCACGCTGTCTTACGAAGAATCACGGAAGGGGGCAGAGTGTTTATAGACACCGGAGGTCGGTCAACGACTCCCTGTCACAGACTCTTCTTGTCTCCAAATGCCGGGGTTCATGACCAGGGCAAAATACCCCCCCCCAAGCATGCGGAGAACCCTTGAAAGTTGGAGGTGTTGGGACATGCAAAGGACGTAGGTATCTGATATCTACATGTTCCACTAAGCGTGGGCCTAGGACACCGCATTCCGTGGCTGTTGGCAAAGCATGCCATCTACCCCAAGCCCTGGCTGCAAGGTTATCAACCGGCCATGAATTCATTGGCAAGTGCAAGATAACGCTAGACAGAGGTGAGTGCAGATCTAGTCCTATTTGCGGGGAAGATTGCTTGGATAACCCCATGGAGATAAAGCCCCCAACACCCACAATAGATAGAGCGGGTTCCACCTCGCGGATTCCCGACGCTAGCAGATTTCCGATAGAGATGCCATGCCGTCGAGTGACATCAAGGGTTGGAAGGCTGTCCGGTCTACCGGCGAACGTCCTCAAATAGCGTAACCTGGTGCGATGCACAACCCCGAATGCTGGCTAGTAGCTCTAGCAATATCGGCGGAAGGATTCGTCAAGAATAATGCAGTTCAGAAATATTTGTACTGCGTGATAATTGAAATTCTATTGAAAATTCTAGGAATGGGCATGAAACTCAGTCGGAACTGACGCCTCTGAAAATATTACTTCCTCCGTTTATGGTGATCTCTTGATTTGCAGCCCAAATTTGGTTGTCTTTCTCCAAGACCTCGACGGCCTGAAAAGCTCGTGGAAGTCTTGAGACATCCCCAGACTCGAAAGAAAGCTCCCAGTTTGCGCTAGAAACGTTGCGATCCTCCCGGCGAGCCGAGAATGAGCCGTCGGGGAACTTCTGAATAGCCAAAAATACGCCTCCGACCTTTCCAATAAAAATGTTTCCATCTTCACTCTGAAGAATCCACGATATTTCGCTTGGTGCACTCTTTGATGTGATGTCCCGCCAGACCTCTTCATAGTCCGTCGGCGCACCACCCTTGTGCGGGCAGGGGGTCGTTCCAATCTCCAAATCGTCTCCATTGGGTAACTTGTTGAAGTAAGCGTCATCAGGAACGGTGAGGTCAAGCGCATCAATGATGTGCGTCCACCAAAAAGTTGCTGAAGAAAGCCGCAGTCAGTTGCTTGCACACGAGGGATAACAAAGAAGAAAGCATGGTGCGAGTGGTGGCATACGGGGAGATTGTTTCAACATGATGCGTTCCCCAGCGCGGCTCCATTGCATGGTTTGATCCTCTCTCGTGACTCGTAAGTCGATGAAGTAGCCGCCGACATTGAGGGCGATTGTGTCGGTATCCTCGTATGCTGGTTCAGGAAGCCAGCGGATGCTGATGCGTTTAACAGCTTGAGAAGGCATGTTTTTGGCTTGGAAGGTTTAGGAACAGCGTGATGTAATATCAAAGGCAAACAGGTTGAAAAAATAAAGTCGTGGAGAATCAGGTTTGATGAAGCTTCTTCTCCGACTTATGCTCGGAAAATGAGCGCAATGATTAAGTGCACCGGCACCGGACTGCACTCCTTCGATAAACCGGCACCGAGACCCACAAAACGGCACCAACGTATTTTCCCGGGTCAAGTCACTATGAAGGCTTTCTATTGCTATGTTGGCGCCATAAGGTACGCCGACGAATGACTAAGTATGCTCTGTGAATGGAGTTCATCTCATTACAGGGCACATCCATGACACGCCTAACAACTTACGTAAATATTATTCTCACGTCTTCAAACCTCAGCATGGCCAAGGAAAGACGAAAACGCAGCATCACGAAAGAAGGCAATATGAAATGTTTATTACAACATTAGACTGACTACGGGGTCCGATTTACTCTTCAGGGCTTTCCACCAATTTCGAAAGAGTTACCTGGCTGCTCTATGCTTGGGAGATGGAAGTGGGTGTGTTGGGTCCAAGTCACGTGTGATCTACATATATTACTCCCCGCACTGGCGGGCTGATTATTTCCCATTCCCAGTGCCCGTTGGAACAGCTTTTGGGAAGCAAACCAGACAACCGCAGCAACCTGACCTTCTTTGTATACTCAATCGATTGAACCAATCGACTGGTATACCGCACCTGAAGGAAGAGACGAGAAATGGATATAGTTGCAAGCCCAAAGTTCAAGAGGCACAGATCCATCCCGGCATGTGCTAGATGTCACAAATCAAAGCAAAAGGTAAAGTCTGTGGAGAACGGCGATAGGGCGCAGTGAGTCTAAGCTGTGTATTTCAGTGTGATAGAGGAACGCCTAGATGCTTGCGATGCGTTTCAGCCGGTGTTGAATGTACCGCAATCAATCGACAAAATTCCAGTGAAGTTCCTCGAAGGTTTGTAACATCCTCTGATTCACACATTAGAAGATGCTTTGAGAGAGAAAACTATCGGCTCACTGACTTGGGTGATAGTGCTGTTCAATACCTTGAGCAGAAGCTGGCCGAACTCGAAACCCTTGCTACCACAAGAGAGGATGTTACGAATGCGGCGTTGCCGACACAATACGACTTGAATATCAACGCGGTAGAAAAGGATATCCTCCAGATCGCTGGCATATCTGTTATGCGTTCTTTGTCAGCAAGTGGCTTCGAATTCAGTGACAAAATTCAGCATAAAGCGAAGCTCTTTTACGGTTCTGAAAGACCTCCACTCAAAATTCCAATAGGTGGTATCTATCACGAGCTCAGCCCAAGAACGGCCGGGCATGCATACGCATCTCAATTTGTCCACTTCAACGCTCGAAGAATACCTCAACATGTGGCAAAACGGCTTTTTGAGAATTACAAAATGGACATCCTGCCTAGATTCCCCTGCTTTGAAGAGGACGAAATTGGTAAATATTTCAACTTATTCTACGAGCAGGAACTATCCAAAACCACCAACGAAAACCTGGCAGACATCGCAGATTTTGTAGTTCCCATGGTGCTGGCTATATGCTCACTGACGTCCAGAAACAACAGCTTCGAAAAGGTTGCTGCCCTGAGCGAGGCTCTACAATCCGATGCTTTGCGTCATGCAGCGCGGATTTTGCAGCATGCATCCATCCATTCATTGAAATGTCTGCTTCTCGTCATTCAACTCGCGCTGTTACTCCCGCACACCGCTAATTTATGGCATTCGACTGGGGAAGCTATGCGGATAGCAGTGAGCTTGGGACTACACCAGGAGCCCGATGACCGAATCATGAGGGACCACAAACTCTGCGAAGAGCGACGCAAGCTTTTTTGGGTAGTAGGTTTAGTATGACATTAAATGCCGGAACAAATTCTAATATCTGAATCAGGTTTACCAGCTCGATAGGATCGTTTCCATATCTGGGGGATGTCCTGTCGCCCTAAGTGACGAACACATACATCACAACCCAGCTTCCGTATGGAGGGGGCAGTCCGTTTCATGGTGATACAGATAGCAACCATTGCGGAAACATTCAGAGCGTCACGCAAGGCCGGTTCCTCATGAGAACGCATGCCTGCGTCTTACAGTCAGAAATACACGCTACCCAGTTCTTCGATCAATCCCTCCCAGACTACGTCAAGGACCACGCCGACTGGACCAGTAAAACCAACGAAGGCGTTCAAAGGCTTGCAAAGGAGGCCACGCTTGGATCTTTAGTTGATCCGTGGCTAACTTCAGCACCTTATCAATGTCGCGTTCTACTCCATCGGCCATGTTCCAGAAACATTGTCGTGTCTGACGAGTCGTTACTGGCCGTTGTAATTGCAGCGACCAATCTGATTGCTCTCGACATGAATATCGCCAAAGCAGGGGGGCTCGTCATGGCATTCGAAATTGGCAATCGGGACTTTCAAGCCGGGATGGTTTTGCTTTACGCTCTCCGGAACCACTCTGCAAAGCTGGAGGAAGCTTCGCTTACGGTTACAGCGGAGAGAGCGCTTTCAGATCTTGTGCAACTATTCGTACGCACTTCATGTGTTTGCCTTTCCACTTTCGTGACGGAGCCTAACATGGGCCAGAATCTGTTGTCCTCGAGATGGCCACCATTGGCAGACACTGCTGCACATATCAACGAGCTAGGCGATACGAATCTCCGCAATCCAGTCGGTCATAGTGGTAGCGCTTACGACATGAATTTCCTTGAGGAGCTAGACTGTCTCGTCACCCAACGACGAATCCACAGCATTCGCCATCGCAACGTTGTATTGCCACAGCAGAAGAAATCTGCTGCTGCTGCCACTCAACCGAAAGATAGTGGTCAGGAGATGGGTGAAGGTCTGTTTGAGGACGAAAACTGGTGGCGGGACTTCATCAACGATGATTTAGTTACGAACGACAGTCCCTTTTCACTGGTTTCACCAGATGCCGCACAGAGTTCAGTTTCTATCTGTTACGACCCGTTATGCATAGATAACAGTTGACCGACCCACTTAGGCGCCGGGCGGCTAGGACAGGACATTTGTACTGCAGGATCACGGGAACAACAGGAACTCACTCGGCACGGAAGAACTATGGTACAAGTCACGTGACGATAAGATAAGGAAAACGATCAGTGGAGCACAGGAAGGAACGCTCAGTGATCAGTTGGCTTTGCCAACTGATCGCGATCACCTCATGCACCTAGGTGATCACCCTTAGATAGACAAAGACCACTGTTCAGGACTTGTATATAGTATGACCCTGAGTCTGGCTCATGGTCAGACTTCCATAGCTCTTCAGCAATCAACTTAGTATTCATCCTCATGGATACTCTCAGCTTACCTTCACTGCGAATCACTTGTTGAGTCTAAGACTGATCACCTTAGCCTCTGAAGAACCGATCTACTACAGCCTACGAACTACGACCTACGACTACGACCTAGTGTACTGTTAGAACGTATTAATCCCCAGCTTCTGTTAGCAGACCCTACTGTCGGATAGCTGACCGTAACACTTTGATTGCTCCTGTTCAGTAAGTTGACCATTGATTCCTACTAACAGTAACGAACGACAATGTCTTCCCGCGCCTCTGTCAAGTCGCCTACCCTGGGATCCTCGTCCACTTCGGGAGGACGAGCCACCCAAAACCTAGCCCAGGAACTAGGAGACCAGAAGATGAAGGACGACTCAGACAGCGAGGACGACACTGAAGAACTCAAGCGCCAGCTCAACAAGACCAATAGCGACTTTAAGGCAATGCGCGAAATGTTCAACCAGAACGCCGCGGTCCTTAGCGAACTCCAGGAACAAGCCCGCAAGAACCAGGATCTGGAGAAAGAAGTCGCCACCCTCCAAGCTGCCGCTAACGTCATATCCGCTCCAGTCGAAGGACGAGAACGCCTTAAGCTCAACACGCCTTCCACCTTCGACGGGACCCTGGGACAACTCAAAGGACACCTGGTATAAGTTCGAACCTACCAGGCCTTCCACATGAACACCTTCCAGAACGACACCGAACGCGTTGTGCATGCAGCCACCTTCCTTTGGGGACGAGCCCTTGCCTGGTTCGAACCCCTTCAACAGGAATGGCTTGACAACCCTGTCGAAAAATACAGCCAAGAAGTCAAGGACATCTTCTTCAGCTTCACGGGCTATGTTAAGGCCCTAGAATCTCTCTTCCTTGACCCTGACGAACGAAGATAGGCTGAGCGAGACCTATCCCACCTACAACAAACCAAGTCAGCTACGCTCTACGCCGCAGAGTTTAGGCGATTAGCTGCCAGACTCCACATGACCGACGAAAGCAAAGTTTTTGCCTTTTATCAAGGACTCAAGGACGAGGTCAAAGACGAAATGGCCAAACTGGAGACACCTCCTAGCTTCCTCGCCTACGTCGAACATGCTATTAAGGTTGACAACCGCCTCTATGAACGACGAAAGGAACGAGGAGAGAAACGACAAAACCTAAATTCAGGACGTAAGTACTAATGGCAGCCTCAACAAAAGTTCAACAGCCAGCGGAACGACAACAGACCCCGCAACAACTGGAATAACACCCGCCAGAGCACCGCCTATGGATAACACAGCAGACCTATGGATCTCAGCATGATGACCAAACCCAACAACAAAAAGCCTTGGAACCCTAAGTGCTACAACTGCAACAAGCAAGGCCACATCGCCAAAGACTGCGGACAACCTAAAAAGCTCCCCTGGAGACCAGTGGCAGAACGACCTCGACAAGTCAACACAATTGCAAAAGCCCCACATGCATCCCAATCGTGGACCGGATGCTATGACGACAACTGCCGAATTCACCTTGAAGACAAAGAAATGTCAGGACACTACCCAAGGGACAGCAACCCTGGACGGTCTGGTTACGATATGACCACCCCAGACACTCGCCCTAGGACCCTGGCAATGATGCATTCCAGCAACAGCAAAGTGGCTAGAAAACCAGTTGAACAGCTCAACGAGATGCTACGAATTCAGCGATTAGAACCAATCACCCCCCGCATGACTAGCCAGCAGCTCCACGACGAAGAACGACAAATCAAGAAGGAAATGGAGTTAATCCAGCAAGAAGACGACAGACAAGCATAACGATATCAACAACAAGAATCGGAAGAAGAACCAGAACACCAACACGATCCTCTGATGGAACAACAACTCCTCAGTATGACCAACAACTGGACTTTCGGAGAAGGAAAAAGCTCTTCCTATGACTCGGATGAACCTCGCGACGTTGCCTGACAACGCACTCAGACAAAAATCGCCTATGGGTTCACCCCCAGTGTGGACGACTCCAGCTCTGAAGAGGAACCCGACGACCAGGGAGGAAGAACCAAACAACTTCTGAGGTACTAAGAAATCGACATGCTTCAAGACAAGCAACAACGCCACTTCTATGGCACCTCAGCAGCCTAACGAGACCGAGGCTACGCCCCTCAGCTACACATGGAAGATCATCCCACGCTAAGAAGCAACCATCAGCTTCACCGAACCCTCTTCTGGTCCCAGTGCTTCCACGACAAATGCAAGGAACACATAGGAGAAAAGCACGACTACTAGTTCTACCCTAGAAAACATGACGACAAGCCTATCTATGAGATCTACTCAACCTCCGTTATGATTGGATGGACTATGGTACTGTTTGAAGACAACCTCGCAGTCTTCAGACCTAGTCCTCAGTTCCCCATGAGATGTCAACATGACGACAATATGAAATAGGACGAATGCCAACAAGACGAATGCTAAGTTCACTACTAAGAAAAGGCACAAGCCTGGAGAATCGCAAAGAACGGACCTAGACCCCCACAGGTCAGGATCCGCGAGAACAGCCTCGCAAAAGCACAACGAGAAGGAAAGCAAATCACCTACCCAGGACAGCCAGAGCAGTCAAAAAACTAGACTCGCCTACTGACGACGGATCACAACAGGCAACAGACATAAGATCCATTCATCAAATGTCACAAGGACATAAGGGTAATATCAAACTCAAAGTTACCATCAACCAGCAGACAACACTCGCGCTGATCGACAGCGGAGCCGAAGCAAACTTCATTGCCCCCCAAGCTATCAATAGGCTAGAAATACGATGGGGAGGAAAAGAACGACCATATCAGTTACACACAGCAGAAGGAGAAGAATTCAAGTACGAAGGAGGTACCATCTATAATGAGACTGCGCCCCTCGAGATGAGCTACCTGAATCGAAAAGAAAGAATCTAATTCGACATTGCCGATCTAGGAACATACGACATAGTGCTAGGACTACCCTGGCTACGAACAAGCAACCCACGGATAGATTGGAGCAAAGGCTAACTCCATTGGGACCATGATGATTCAGTCCCTGAGCAGCCCTGTAAGAATCAGGCTTCAAACGAATCAATACGACAAGGAACAGCAAAACGATACCTCTGTTACCTCAAGGCAAAAGAAGCCATATCATAACCACCGACAACGATGGATCTTGAGCAGAAGAACGATCCACTTCTGTCTATCCCAGAAGAATACAGAGTTTATGAGAAACTCTTTGCAGCCGAATTAGAAACCAGACTGCCCGAACACACCAGTTTCGACCACGAAATACCCCTCAAAAAAGGAAAGGAACCACGCTTCAACAAAATCTACGGACTCAACCAGACAGAGATAGAAGCCCTAGACAAGTACCTTGAAGAAAATCTTAAGAAGGGATATATCAGACCCTCAACGTCACCAGCAGGAAGCCTAATCCTATTCGTACCTAAAAAGAACGGAAAACTACGATTATGCGTCGACTACCGCATGCTAAACGAAATAACGATCAAGAACCGCTACCTACTACCGCTCATCGACGAGATGAGACGACTCCTTCATGGAGCCAACTGGTTCACAGCCCTCGACCTCAAAGGAGCCTATAACCTGATCAGAATGAAGCAAGGAGAAGAATGGAAAACCGCTTTCCGAACCCGAAAAGGACATTTCGAGTACCTCGTCATGCCCTTCGGCCTCACCAACGCCCCTGCAACCTTCCAAAATATGATCAACCAAGTCTTACGCAAATACGTCGACATCTGCGTAGTAGTCTATCTCGACGACATCCTCATCTTCTCATCAACACTTGAAAAACATAAGGAGGACGTACACCACGTCTTACAAGCCCTCTAAGAAGCCAAGCTATTAGTTGAACCTGAGAAAAGCGAATTCCACACACAGAGGGTGGAATACCTCGGATTCACTATCACCCCTGGAAAAGTCTGTATGTCAGAAAACAAAGTCAAAGCCATCAAGGAATGGCTGGTACCCAACAACCTCAAGGAAGTCTAAGGATTTCTAGGTTTCGTCAACTTCTACCGCAAATTCATCAAAGACTATGGCAAAATCAACGCGGCTCTCACAAGCCTTAGCCGCAAAGACACGCCCTTTATATGGGAAGAACCATAACGAACAGCATTCCAGAAGATCAAGGATCTCATCGCCAGCGAACCCGTCTTAAGCATTCCAGATCCGACAAAACAGTTTGAAGTAGAACCCGACGCATCCGACTATGCGATAGGAGCATAATTATCTCAACGAGATTCAGAAGGACGACTACACCCGTGCGCCTTCTTTTCTCGCAAGCTCCACGGACCTGAACTTAACTATCAGATTCACGATAAGGAACTTATGGCAATCATCGAAGCCTTCAAGGAATGGAGACCTGAGCTCTCAGGAACCACACACGAAGTACTTGTGTATTCAGACCACAAGAACCTTTCACACTTCACGACTTCAAAAGTGTTGAATAAACGACAGATTAGATGGTCAGAATTCCTATCAGAATTCAACTTCCGAATCATCCACCGCAAAGGATCAGATAATAGCAGAGCTGACGCTCTCAGCCGACGACCGGACTATAACATCCCAGTACCTGAAGAAACCCAGGTGATTCTCAAAGGAAACAACAACGGAGACCTAGTGCCAGCAACCAAACTCTTGATGATGGCCGGACGATCTAGTACTAGCCTGCCTAACGAACTAGACGACGAAGCAATTAAGGAGTTCTATGCTCGCCCTGCACACGGTCACTAAGGAATCACAAAAACCTGGAAACGACTACGACAACAATATGGAGAAAAAGTCACCAGAGAACGAGTGGCAAAAGTAATCAAGGATTGTGAGGTTTGCCTCAAAAGCAAACCCGCTCGACATCAACCTTATGGTATGCTACAACCCTTGCCTATGCCGCAAACCGCCTGGCAATCCATATCCCTCGACTTCATCGTCAAATTACCGAAGTCTCGAGAACCCCTTACGGGAACACACTTTGACAGCGTTCTTATTATTGTGGACCGACTCACGAAGTACGCCTACTTCATCCCATACAAGGAAGCAAGTAACGCCGAAGAATATGCCTACATATTTCTTAAATATATCATCGCCAACCACGGAACGCCCAGAGAAATTATATCAGACAGAGATAAGATCTTCACTTCCAAATTCTGGAAGTCAATCACATCACAACTCGGCATCAAACAATTAATGTCCACTGCATTCCACCTGCAGACCGACGGACAAACAGAACGAATCAACCAAATCCTCGAAACATATCTCCGCGCCTACGTCAACTACAACCAAGACAATTAGGTTGTATTGCTACCAATAGCCCAGTTCGCCTACAACAGCGCAGTAGGAGAAAGTACCAAGGAATCCCCCTTCTACCTCAACTATGGATTCGAACCAACCGCCTATGGAGAACCCCGAACAGGCCCAGCTGCAGTAAAAGCTGTCGCCTCAATACGCCAAATCAAGGATATCCAGGAAAACGCACGCAAAGAACTTGAATTCGTACGACAAAGAATGACAAAATTCAGCAACAAACGAAGGATTGAGGGACCAACCTTGAAAGAGGGAGATAGCGCCTATCTCATACGGCGAAACATCAAGACAAAGCGACCAAACGACAAACTCAACTATAAAAAACTCGGACCTTTCAAAATTTCACGAGTAATTTCACCAGTCAACTACGAACTAGGACTCCCAGAAACCATGAAGTGTCACCCAGTATTCCATGTCTCACTCCTTGAACCAGCACCACGTGGATCACAGACAAACGATATTATTATCGTCGAAGATAACGAACCAGAGTATGAAGTGGAACGAATTGTCGACCATCTCAAAGAACCAGAAGGGTATCGATACCTCGTCAAATGGAAAGGATATGGACATGAAGACAACACATGGGAACCAGCCAAAAATATCACCAATGCAGCAGAAGAACTTACGATCTACTGGCAACAACACCAAGAACGAGAAGCCACACCAACACCTGTTGTATTAGCCCAGAAGAACGTTGGATATAAACGAATCAGACACCCACACCGCTTCACCAGACCTCCCACTGAAGCAGATCGACCGCGACAAGGAAAACCATTTATCCGCCTAGGGACACCAGAAATCAACTAAGACGCCTCCGATAAGAAGTTTGGAGTGCCAGGATTCCAGTCAAGAATCAAGTCCAGATCTACCGTACCAAAGCCACCCATAGACTGAACCTCCGATACAGAAGACGCCACTGGTTCCTCCTCTGTAACCTCCCGACCTTTCCGAAACACCATTCTCTTCTGCTTACGCAAACGATCCAACCGCGCCATGGACTCGTCCAACTCGGCCTGCGCGGCGCGCAAGGCAGCAGCCTTCTTTCTTAACACCTCCTCTTCAGCCACCTCCGCATCCTCCAAACGAGCTGCTTCGTCCAACAAACGATCAACTACGAGAAAGTCAGCACCAACCACAAAGCACAAGGGAAAGCAAAACGTACGAGCACAAACAGCGTCTGCCGCTGCATCACAAGACTGCCCTAAGCGAGTATATTCGCCACAAACTTCACCGCCCGGAAGAAGCTTGCAACGCTTCCCTGCGGAACGACAGTAAGAACAAGGCATGTCGACAACAAAACCAAACTCAGCGATACGCAGCGCACGATTGCGACGACGAAGAGTAGAGGCAGAACTCGATTTCGATTTTTGAACGCGACCTGACATGGTGTCAGCATCATGGGTAAATCAGGAAGCACGATTGACGGATCCCCAACCTGGGACCAACGACCTACTTATGTTGGGTCTTGAGGGCAAGACCTTTGGAGAGGGGACCTGATGTTACGACCCGTTATGCATAGATAACAGTTGACCGACCCACTTAGGCGCCGGGCGGCTAGGACAGGACATTTGTACTGCAGGATCACAGGAACAACAGGAACTCACTCGGCACGGAAGAACTATGGTACAAGTCACGTGACGATAAGATAAGGAAAACGATCAGTGGAGCATAGGAAGGAACGCTCAGTGATCAGTTGGCTTTGCCAACTGATCGCGATCACCTCATGCACCTAGGTGATCACCCTTAGATAGACAAAGACCACTGTTCAGGACTTGTATATAGTATGACCCTGAGTCTGGCTCATGGTCAGACTTCCATAGCTCTTCAGCAATCAACTTAGTATTCATCCTCACGGATACTCTCAGCTTACCTTCACTGCGAATCACTTGTTGAGTCTAAGACTGATCACCTTAGCCTCTGAAGAACCGATCTACTACAGCCTACGAACTACGACCTACGACTACGACCCAGTGTACTGTTAGAACGTATCAATCCCCAGCTTCTGTTAGCAGACCCTACTGTCGGATAGCTGACCGTAACACTATCCTCCCGCACGAGAGAATTCAACATCCGCCCGACCCAAGACAAGATCTTTCCGATCTAGAGAAGCAACTACGACCAATAATCGACCCTCTACCTTCATGTAGCTCTTGTAGAGACCGACGGATCAAGTGTCGTCTCCAATTACCAACTTGCAAGGAATGCCATCGCACTTCACGTAATTGCGTGGTATATGACCCAATCCTGGGGAGCAATGTGCCGTTGAAGTATGTTCGAAAAGGATTTCCTTGGATCTTGCCGGATTGCTAATGATGAAGTTTAATAGGCGCATACACTCTCCTGGAACAGATCCGACATAAAGCTTCAACTAGTTTGCCAGCTCCTACACTCCGAACGAAAGATGAACATGTGAAAAGACGTACAATGGGTGTCCTGCTGCCAGTGAGACCTGGTCCGCAAGAGGAGCTACTATGTGGTGATTCGCAACGCAAGTACGGCGATTCGTTATTTGGGACGTCGAGTGCTTTCGGTTTCCTTCGGGACTTACTTCAGAAGCGCCCATTCCCAATTCCCGAGACTCTGAGAACTGCCACCAAGTGGAATTGCCACATCGTTTCGCCAATGAGATTGCCTTGGAACGGCGAGATCGCTAAGACGTTAGCTGAAGGTCTTTTTCAACTGTTCAACCGATCTGCGAATGCCTTCTTTCCTGTGTTGGAATCTTCAACCCTTAACCGCATTCTAAATGGATTCTTTGACTTTTCAAGATCGAAGCAAAGTACAGATGCTGAGTTATTCTATCTGGTGGTGGCAATAGCATCTTCGGTTGGCACAAAGAGCGACCCTAGCCTGGTTGTATGGGCGGAGTCATCATTCGCAAAGGCTATTGAAGTCTTACACACTGACTGCGACCACAGCTCTCGCGCATCAAATGTTCTCCTCTTTGAAAGGACCTTGCTAATTTGCATCTATCTCCTCCTGAATCCACAGGCAGGTGACATTTGGCGACATCTGGGTTTCGCAATCAGACATTATCTGGACCTTTCCCATCGTCCCTCTACGGAGGAGTTAGACGAGGGTCATGATTGGTTTTGCACTCTAACGAGGACATTGTATTGTCTAGAAAGGTATGCCACCAAATTTTCCAGCCTACATCTGATGAGACATCTAATCTTGCCTTAGTCAAGTTTCCATCGCCTTCGGACGACCCAGCCTCCTGGCCATCGGCGATGGGCTTCGCAAGGTGAGTACAATGCCGTTCAAGTGCATTCATGATCTCGTCTGACCTTCTTTTAGGAGCTTACCAATCAAACTACTGGCACGATCAGAGAGCAGATTTCCGTATCGTCGTATTTGATTGCGTTTCTAAAGATGAAAATTCACAACACTCTTTTAGCAAATGATGCGAACAGCCTAAAAGTGAAAAGAGACGACCTTCAAGGAGCCTGTCAAGAGCATCGTCGGGTCCTAGACGAGTGATTCGTGCGTTGGAAAGAAAGAATGAACTTCGTTCCAAAGGTGGCAAAAGAGTCCTATGCCGGATTGATTTCTTGGATCGAGTTCAGTTACCACCATGGAATATTCATCATATCCCTCCTGTGGCCCACTGCAGGAGGAGATGCTGCTCGTGTCTGCAACGCTTTGTCCGATGCGGGCTTGCAACTTTCGAGGCAACAGCAGTTGTTCGGACAATTATTTTCGGTTGCCCGGGATGACGCACCCATCCTGGTTTTTCCAATTAACTGGGCAATATCTCACACAATCTTTCAGGTGGGATTGTCCACCATCGATAGTAACTCTAAGTCATCTACCCAGGAGGAAAAGGGCGCTAGGTCAACAGCACTTGAACGCTGTTTATCTCTGGTTTTGCAACTTGAAGCTGACTCAACGAATCTTCTGATGGGGCAGTCCGTCGTACTTCGAGAGTTGATTTCTAATTAGCTTAGGAAAAGAAGCGTGGATACCATTCTTATCATTTTCAGGAAATCCAGTTGGGCTGTGCTGTAGTAATCATCCAAGCCAGTCGAATGCAAACAAATATCGAATGATGCGACTCAAAAGTCCGTCGAACACAGTTCTGGAAACGTGAATCGTATTCCATGGCTGGGATACAACGTGATTTCGGCTAAGCCTGTCTGCAACTCTCTTAGAAAAGGCCCAATCTTGACAACGGGGAACTGTCCCCGCTGGCGTATCCACCATCGGAAGGGCACCGTGGGTCTAAGAAAATTCTGCGCCGAGTCATGTCTTCTACCAATTTTTCACACAGACTTCCACTAACCACTCCGATATGGTGTAGTGGCCAACATGATGCCCTCTCACGTTCGAGAGGCAGGCATAGCCCCGAGTTCGATTCTCGGTTTCGGAACATTTTATAACCTTTTGCCTCTGAACCTTTTCTTTTCCTTCCATAATACGAAGCTACACGGTGCTTCACGTTCTTCTTTTTCGCATGAATCGTTGGTCATGCTAATGAGTTGTGCAATGTTAATCTTCTTAGACTTTTCATTCGTCGCAAGGAATCGAATAAGACAGTTATGAGATAACAGAATCAAGCCACAGCAATTGAAAGGAGACTAGTGAGCTGATCGATTCATCCGAAACGCCTCCGCTAGCCACATTGCTGTGTAGCGTCCACGCCTCCGTCGTCATTGCAAATATCCCAAAGCAACCTGGCGCGTCTGGCTGAATGGTCAGTACCATCACGGCATTTGCCGTAGGGGCCATGCTCTCGCCATTCAGTAACCAAAGACTTCCCACACCTTCACGGACACCTGTCAGCCGCGAAGTCCGTTGCGAGTACCACGTTCTCCCAAGTTGACATTAGCATTTCGAATTTGCAGTGAATAATCATTCGAGTCCTTTAAGCTGGCATACTTGGACATCGATCGTTTTCAATTCCACCTCGGCAGCCTGTAACGTTGAAGCAATGGCGACAAAGTCGGTGTCGCCTGTTCCCAGTGTTTTCGCAACCTTCATCCGCGGAGGCACCAGCAAAGCAGTTTTCTTTCACGAGAAGGACATTCCGCCGCCTGGCGCAGCTCGTGACAGATTTCTGGTTCGCATTATGGTCTCGCCAGACCCTGCCCAGATCGACGGCATGGGTGGTGGGCGTGTTGTCACCTCAAAGGTTGCCATCATTCGACCATCCAAGCGACCCGACGCCGACATCGATTACACCTTTGCTCAAGTGGGTCTCGGGGAGGCAACAGTCTCGTGTGATGCAAACTGCGGCAATATTTCTTCAGGTGTTGGGCCATTCGCGATCAACGAAGGCCTGCTCAAAAGCTCAACATGGTGCAATGGGAAAAGAATTGTGAAAATTTACAACACGGGGACGGATGCTCTGCTGGTTGCCCATCTTCCTGATGATCCCGCAACAGGACGTGCTTTGGTGAAGGGAGATTATGCTATCTCCGGCTGTCAAAGCACGGGTGCGCCCATTCTAATGGACTTCTCCCAGGTAAGTCTGACCTCCAATTTCGTACGCGGCAGAAATGTAACGCAGGAAGTAGACCGCCTTGCGCAGGAGGATGCTTCCGACTGGCAATGCAATTGATCGCCTCGATGGTACGTTCGGAGCCGTTGACGCCACATTTTGTGAAGTTGGGAACCCAATCGCCTTCGTCACCGCAGGAAGCGTGGGTATTGCCGGGGATGAACCAGTCGACAGTATCGATTCTGATAGAGAGCTTGTGAAACGGGTTCGAGAAATCCGCGGGAGAATTTCGCAGAAGTTGGGTAGGTGCAAGGAGTGGGAGAATGTTGATGAACAGTCTCCCATGTTGCCAATGGTAGCTGTGGTGTCTAAGCCGACCTCGTCTGAGGGCCACATTCAGGCACGCCTTTTTCTCGACAATCACTGTCATCCGAGCATGGCAGGCACAGCAGGGGTATGCACAAGTGCTGCCAGTCCCATCAAGGGTCCGTCGTTAACCAACTTCTAGCTTCCGAGACGCTGGCAGAAGATGAGTTCGTCATTCAGCACCCGGCAGGACATCTTCCAATCTCTGTCAAGACTGATGACTGCGAAGGCTACAGTGGTACACCGACTTTTCAAAGACTGGGCTTCATGCGCACTGCAAGATACATCTTTCAGGGAAATTTATTCATTCCCTCAGGTTTGGAGTAGAGGCTAAAAGCTCTATACATGTAAAGTGATGATATGCTTCCGGGGCGTTTTCATAGCTTAAGCGCTTAGCTAAGTTGAAATCACGATGAACAATGGACTCTTGCCAGCGTACTTGAATGGGATGTGACACCCGATATTAGTGCAGCACCTTTCTCGTCTTGTGTCACACTCGAAGGAACAGCGCCATCGCCTAAGCTGTAAGTAAGCGCGATCCCTGAACAACGCCTCCGCGTCACTCCGCCTAAATACAGTGGTGCTTACTCGCCAATCTCACCGATATATAGAGAGCGACTGGCCCAAGGTCCTTGATGCATGATTTGCGAAACTTGATGTCCGAGCATTCCGACACACGCTCATGATGTTGCTGTACCGCACCGCAACGCTGCTCTGGGTTCTCACTGGCCTGGTGCCGGGTGTTTCCGCGTCGCCCAAAAAGCCATGTCCAGTTGACAAGCGATCGGCCCAGGAAGTTGTGCAGAAGCTCGGCCTCATTCCGAATGAAGAGAAGGGCTACTACCTCCAGACGTTCCAGGATCCCGATACGGACAGCGGCAACCGCTCAGTCAGCACAGCGATTTACTACCTTCTGGAGGGGTCCGTTGGGCCTTCGATCTGGCACCGTGTTGATGCAGCAGAAGCCTGGCACCATTATGCGGGAGCTCCTCTCACTTTGTCCCTGTCATACGATGATGGGAACCCGGTAAAAGAGATAGTGCTCGGTCCTGACGTCTTCGACAACCAACAGCCCCAGTACGTCATTGCAAAGAATCAATGGCAAAGGGCAACGAGTCATGGAAGCTGGACTCTTGTGGGAACAGCTGGTAAACTTTCCTCTCCGCGAATGAAACATCACATTCTAATCTAGAGAAGTTGCTCCTGGGTTTGTCCCCGACGAGGTTGAACTCGCAGACCCTGATTGGATGCCAAATGGAGCCTGATTTATGTGTTGTGTACATTTTATGTTGCACAAATACCAAATGTTCATCGGTCAATATGTCAACATTCTTCTGTGTTGGTGACGGTCTTAGCGCAATGATTATTGATGCTAGGTACAAAAGCATCATGAAAACATCTAGCTTGACGGTTGACCTCTATATATCGTCGTTCTTCTTGATGCTCAAAACTGGTTCAGAGAAATCTACCTCACACTGTCCAGGCAAAGCAACTCCGTATGAGTCGTATTCCAACTGTCCTGTTGTCTCATTAACAGCTACCCATCTCCTGTTGAGAAGGTCTCCGTCCTGGGCCCTGTCGTTGAAGTTTTGTGGGGCAAAAACAATGCTGCTAACAGCTTCACTGTAAAGAGTGACAGGAATGTCCTCAGCTCTGGTAAAGTGATGCATTCCCAAGTTGAACCATAAGACAATGTCCTCGTTGTCAGTGCCCTCGCCATCGAAGAACTTGAGGAAGTCCTGCTGAGGCTTCATGGGAAGGTTGACGTTCGCGTGGCTGTTTGCGTATGGCTCGTTGTCATGCTGGCGAGAGAGTGCGAGATGTGACTTGGCAAATGGTGTTTGGTGCTTGGTCCAAGGCGAGTTCAGCGGGGTAAGGTGGATGTTGGACTTGCCTGGCACCACGCGGTAGCCACGCTTCTCACCCCATGCGTTGGTGGCGTTGGGGTTGACAATGCAGTACATGGCAGCATTATTCGGCTGCCAGTTGAACTGCCGCTCCTCAGTCATGGTGGACTTCTGCAACTCCATCTGCTCGAAAGATCCGAGCTCGGGATGCCAAGGCTGAGTCTGATTGACAACGACGAGCTGGCTGACTTCGAGGCTGTTCTTGGTGTCAAGAATGTCAAAGTCGGCCTTGTAGGTGAGAATGTGGTCGTGGAGTGACCCCATAGTTGCCTCCTGAATTCTGGGACCGAAGTTACCCTGGTCTGCGTAGTAGAATGACGACTGCAGGAATCCTGAAGCACGGACAGTGACTTCCAGAGAGCCATCTACATGAAATGAGTAGTCAAACATGTAGTCGTAGTTGCCGACAGTCGCGACGGATCTCATCGTCAGCGCGGACGCCTTGACGGTCCCGAGATAGCTGAAGCCGTAGTCGTTGCTGCTTCCGTAACGATGGCGAGAGACCGGATATCCGGCATCAGCCTCGAAGATGCAAATGGCGTCCGTGTTCACAACCGAAGAGTTGCCCTCGTGATATGTGACGTTCCAGAAAGTGCTGCCAAAAGGACAGTCGTATCCTTCCACAAGGGTGCCAAGGTCTGTACCAAGGCTGTAGTAGGTATCGTGGTACACAGTTCCGGCAGCCTTGGGAGTGAATCCGGCATATTGAGCAGCTGCCTCTTGAAGAGAGAGCTCGTAGATGACGCGCTCACCCTTGAACTTAATGTCATAGTACATCAGCCCAAGAGTTCTCGAGTAGGATGTATAGAATGACCACCCCATGTACTCGATGTACTTCTCTTGCTCGTCGACTTTGTAGCGCTTGCCACCAACCTCAAGACTCTGAGGCGCCAGCTTGTCCTCGAGATCTCTGACGCCCATGTCCGCCTTGTGGTCAAGAAGGCCCCAATCAGGAGTCCTTGTTTGCTTAAATGTCTCCTTCAACTCGCCTGCGCCCCAAGCAGCCCTGAAGTCGGCAACAGTGGCAAAGAACTTCTCGTTTGTGACAATGCCTTTCAACTTGTAGAGAGAGGAGTCCGTGCCAGTAACGTCGAGAATGACGAAGAAGTCCAAAGGGGTGAGGTACGTGGCAGTGTTGGGATATCTGAACATGACTGTGCGAAAGGCTTGGGTGCCATCATATGACAACGGCGTTCCGCTTGTGGAAGTGAGAGTTGTGCGGTTATCAGAGGAGCCATAGTAAACTCCATCAATGAGTTGGGAAGTGATATCCGAGATATTGCTCATGACAGAGATCAAGAGCGGCTCCGACGCTGCCGTGCGAGCGTTGTCAAAGTAGCGACTGTTGTAAGGAATTTTGCCCCCACTTCCGCCGTTGAAGATGTAGTCGAGCTTTTGGATCTTGGTAGTGTTGCTGACCGGGAGCGGCCCAACCATGTACTCTTGCGAATCTGGCTCTGTTTTCCCGCCCGCGAAGATGACGACGCGAGCATATTTTGGGGGAGACTGAGCTGTGCCACTGAGATATGGCAGGACGTCAGACTTGTTGGTGTGAAGAGTGTCGATCCAGTAGACGTAGTTGTCTGTGACATTTGCAATGCTGGGGTCCGTGAGATTCAGGCCCGCGGCTGGGTCATGAAGGAGGTTCCAGACAGCCAGATTGTCTTCAGGCGAGATTGGGGACCAGACGTTAGTCTTCGGTGCCTTGACCTTGGGTGCCGATTCGTTGACATTGCAGGTAGTGATATTGGCTGCTCGCTTGAACTGTCGACTTGGCCCAGGAGAGGCTGATGCTGGCAGAACATCCAAAGCCAGGAGGCTCAGCACAAGTCGCTTGAAGACCATTTTGGTGGCAAAGTTGCGCGAGCTTTTTCGTCGACGCCGAGGTTGGTGTGCGTACTAGAGAGGACGGGGGAACTGAACGAGAGATGATAGTTTTTATATGAACGATTGTGGTCCGAAGTCGCAATGCCCTTCAGAAGACTCGGCTAAGAGATCTTTTGTTACTGATACTAAGTATTGACGAGAGAAATGCTGCCAAGGCTCTAGACTTACGGAAGTTTTGCCGGTCCATGCCCTTGGGACGGACTTCACCAGTCGCCTGGGCCGGGTCAAGATACGTGGCTTGGCGGAATGTCTACGAGGAACCGTTAGCAAAGTTCGTGTCGTTGAGCCCATCGTCCTTGCAAAGTCCATGTAGATCCAAAGTGTGGTATCTAATCTAATCTGCATGCCAAGAGTTCTGATGGACATCTCGCTGCTGTCTTGCATTATCAGACTGCAACCACGGATAGTAAGACGCACATAATCCTGCCATTTGATTTCTTATCGGCGCGGCCAGCGTCTTCAGAATCACGTCGAGGAGTGTTTTCTCATACGTAATTGCTTGAGATGAAGATTTCCGACTACCTTCGCGGGAGAGATATTCGATGTTCGACAGGCTGCTCCCAGTTGTTTATCCTGAACCTGGCAATAGTTCCCCGCGTGTTGGCAGTGCGGGGTTGAAGGCCGGAGACGTCGGGGCTTATCAGTGTAACCTCCCGCTGCTCGCGAACTCTCGACCTTGTCGTCCTAGCTCCCTTTACCTGACTTTCGTTCATGATGACGGCGCTGTTCATCCGATCCATTGTTCAAAAGATTACGGAAAATTTGAGCATGACTACACAATCAGCGGCAAATGGTTCGCCAGCATTGACATGTCTAAGGTAGGTATGATCTAAAGAATGACAGCCGTCGGAACATGGGGTGACCGGGGCCGACATTGGTCTTCGGACAAGGGTCCGCTATCGCCCGAGCATCGGCCACGCACCCCGATGGCGGCTCTGATAAGGACGGTAGAAGCTGGTAAATAGAGACGACGAGCGTTCCACGGGTTCCATCATCGTCATTCACATATGTTTGCTACCGGGGTAAGGATGGAAGTGGCCTAGGCCCGGATCAGAGGTCCAGTGTTCGCGGCATGCAACTGCACCTCGAACACCTCCTTATGCTGGCTTCGGCATCATTCGAGACCTTCACGCAAGCTCTTCTAGCGGCCAACACTCATATGAGGACTTGATAGGGCTGGAATGGATGGAAGGCATCGCCAAACGGATGACGAATGAATATGTCATTGACGCAATTAGTTCAATTGGGCAGTCGAACAAACGTCGTTGGCTTTTTAGTCAATGTTCGAAGTTCGTTCTTCTGAGTAGAGCAGTCGTGAAATGACTGTTGCAGACCGCCCCAGTCCAGGCAGCAGCAAGGCTGCTGGGCCGCAAGGGCGGCACTGACGAGCGCATTGGCAAGAATCCAGTGTTTGTATGTTAACAGCATTATTCTTATTCGACGCCAATGTCGCCTAGAGTTCGCCTAAAATCTCACGCTACTGTTAGTCGCAGATCGTCCATGTTGAGTCACCATTCGAACTACAGCGATATAAAAGCTCCAAAGTCATTCCTGAAGGAAATCATTTGGTTTTTCCAGACCAACTTCACATGGAGCGACAGCATGGTCAAAACAGAAGGTCAGACGTCACGCATCGTCGCACACGGAGCGCCGAGCCATGGATACCTGCGATGTCTGCCCTCAGAGCTCATTGCGAGGATAATTGAGAACCTCGACGTCAAATCGATTAAAAGCTTCCGCCTCGCGAATCGTTTCACCGCTGCACAATGTCTGATACCGCCATTCTTGCGCTTCTACTCTTATCAGTCTACAAGCTTGACGCCCTGGGACCTGGAGCATCTCATCGAACGGACGTCCAGCAAGACCGTCTCTCGAGCCATCAAACACATCACAGTCCATGCCACAAAGTTCGCTGCATCGGATTGCGGCAATGACGACGAAAGGCTTGTTGCTGAGCTCGCCACAGCTTTGGGAAACGTCGGTACTCTGGGGTGTCTAGAGATCAGCCCAGAAGAAAGACGCCGACGCAAATGCGGAACGAAGAAACGACGCCCAAAGTGGCAACCGACGGATGCTCGGGAGTTTCAATCGGAAACTACGCGGGCTGGGGCGGGTCTTACAATCGTCATCTCTGCGGTTGCCCGCAGCGGTGTTCCCATCAACGAGCTGAGGGTGTTTTGCTCCCCGGTGTCGTACGGCAGCGTGGTACAGACTGTCTTTCTGACCAATATTCTGCCAAATTTGAGAAAAAAAGACTCGAAATTTGGAGCGGCTGTCGAAAACATGGAGAAATTGTCAATCAGCCTTGGTACGAGGAGAAACCCCAAAGAGGTCCCGTTCCGACTGGGCAATTACCCAATTATTCCATACTTGAGTGCTAGCGATCGCAGGGCTCTTGCCAAAGAGAACTTTCCTGGCCTCGCTGGATTGCTTGGTTACATGCAAAATCTCAAGACGCTGGAAATACATCTGCACAACACGTTGAAGGGGAAGACATTTGCATACAGCGAAATGTTTGACTTGGTTGCAAATCAAGTCAAGTTGCCAAAGCTGAGGCAGCTGAGTCTCGACATGGTTCCGGTCAATGAAGCGTCTTTTGTCACATTTTTGGCCAACAGTCCAGACATCGAGGACTTGAGCTTGCGGTTCGTGCACATCAGACAGGGCTCATGGGAATCATTTCTGAGTAAAATCACCAACCCTTTGACAAGACTGCAGCTCGACTGCATTTCGGATGATGCGCGGGACAATATCAAACTCTGGCCAGATGGCCTGCCTCGCATGCAGGAGGAGGATTTAGATGTTTCCCATGGCGATGGAGATCATGACGATGCGTCGTCTCTCGACAGTGCTAAGAATCTTTACAAGAAAGACTTTAATACCGAGGAAATACGACAAGGCCTGGTTCTCATGTAGTCCACTGGCAAAATCTGATATTGGTATAAGGTGTAAAGCGAACAATAACACCATGCATGACTACCAACTGAATGTGGCGTGTGTGACAGGGCCTTGAGGAACATATGTCGTATGAAAATGAACTTGACTATCAAGGGCTGCATTGGCAAAAAGGGCTTGGTATATCAAGCGAGGTTTAGGTACACCGTAAATCGGCCTCATAGGCTTTATTCTACCCTTACGGCCGTTGGCTTGATGTTGAGAATATCAAACCAACTCCTCCCCTCTATTGTATGTGGCACCGTGAACACGCCGAGACGTTTCCTCACAGGCTGCCCAGATTCGGGATTACAAATTTCAGAGAGAACAAGTCCAACATCCATCCCCTGGCCCTCGCCGGAGACGTCATCTGCTGGGGGATCACGTCCATCGAAGAAGGCCTTCACGCTGCCGAGGAGCAGGACCACCAGGTCCAAATGCTGCTTTGCGTGTGAACGAGAGAGGTATAACTCAGCCAACCTGTCGCAATCTGGTCGGAATTCTGCACCGGGCAAGGGCTCAGAGTCGAGTCGGTAAAGTCCTATGTGATTTGTCGACATATTGAACGATGGTATCTTCGCGTCTTCATGGCTAGTTTCTGTCACATACTCCGCGTCAAGCTCCACGGACATGATCTTTCCCTGCAAGTGAAGCAGATGAGGCTTGAACACTTCGTCGGAAGGCAAGGGCATGTCTGTGGAATATGATGTGGATCTAGTGACATGATGCCGAATCGTCGTATTGCGCGAAACTAGTTCCACACTGTTGAGTTTGAAATCTTTGTCCGGACTTAGAGCCCCGGCCGTGCTCGGCCAGCAGATGTCTTTCGCAGTCAACAGTTTCTCACCCTTGCTGAACTGCATGCTTGTCCACGACCATGAGGGAGCGTAGTAAGGTATGGATCTCATTGGAGAGTAGTCCGGTGACGTCTTTGGCGAATGCCTATGTTGTATGGGCCATCCGCTATCATCATGAAGGCGACCGACGCTCCAAAGAAGATCGTACGGTATTTTGGTTTCGTTGTCTTCGGACATTGAGATGCCGGCAACCCAATGAACGCGCGACTTCGGATCCTCTGCTTCGGCAGATAGTTGAGAAAGATGACGGAAGAAAGCGCTTAACGTCAGCTGTCTGTCGTCTCTCTCACAAGGCAGGTGCATGATACCGCGGAAAACCTCATCAAACATCAGGCCATTCAACTTCAAGTGCCCTGGGGTTTTACCCCAGGTACATTGCATCTTTCTATCCCGTTGATGATTGTGGGGTTCCGCCATACACTCGCAACGCTGGTCTTCCTGACATTCCCACACCATCTCAGAGTTTCGAAGATGGAGAACTCTCGGGGACAGGGCGATGCCTTGGAAGGAGGAATCGTTGCCAAATATCGAAATCATCTCATCTCGAGTTCGACGACCGTAGTAATGGCGCTCCTCCCTGAGAAGTTGGTGAGCATGATACATGGAGTCTCGAGCGTAGATGGTGTAGTCGCGGCCGCGGTGGTTTACCGGAATCGGGAAGCACTCGGGTGTCTTCTTGGGGTCCACATCGCCGGAGATAATTGTCCGAGGGCCAAAGCTGCTGTGGCGAAGATCCTTAATACCAGTGATGGCAATGGCGAGAAAAGAGCCGCGGAAGATTATGTCCTCTCGATAAATGTGCCAGGAGCCGTCATCGTCATCGTCCTGCAAAACGCAAAAGTCTTTGACCCAGACGTATCTTATGCCCTGTTCATGGGCCACGATAAAGCTTTCCTGAATCGCCTTGGGGATCTGCCACCATTGGATCTTCTGCTTTCTCTCCTCCAGGTTCTCCCACCGCGTCGGTGCCAGGGGTGGTTCCAATGGCTCAACGCAAGAGTGAACGACTGCTGCATAAGGCTTCGTGTCCAAGGATGCGTCTACTAGTTTCAATCCCATTCGAGGATTTTTTCCGAGATCCAAGAGTCTCTTTGGGGCCATCGCCGTGTCGTATTTACCACCGCAGAACGGCTTGCTACAGCGTTGGTGTTGTGCAAGACAGGATAAAAGCCATCCCTTGACGACCTTTTGTCGCCGGTTGGAGTGAAGCACCGGAGCGACTTCATATGCAGGTTTGAACATTGGCCAGGGAGATGGTTTATCTGGGTTTAATGTTATCAATATGTTGTTTCATTCAAGTTGTCAGAACATCGCTCACCTGGCTTGACGAAAAGGTCGCATCGACCCCGAAGAATCGGCTGCGAGAAGTCTATCATACCATCGGGCCCTCGGACAGCCTCGGAGACAAAAGTTACCATGAGGACTTTGTAAAAGTAGATCGAGATCCTTGTCTCTTGATCCCAGTCTGGGTCGACTCTCCTGATCTTGTCAAGCCCAAATCGTTGATAAGCTTGGTAGATGATGTAGCAAAAGTGGCAGCCAGCCTTACTCGATCGCTTAACGATCGCAGACCATACACGGAACCAATGTTTAGCGGCTTTGGGTTTGAAGCCGGGCTAGTCATCTTGAAGACTGGAGAACTGGTTCGGGTCTAGGTCGTGACATACGATGCATGGGGGTTTCGACGGCACAAGCGCCCGGCTTGAGTCCTGGATACCCGCCATAGTCCCAAGAAGCTTGCCCAAGAAACTCCTTGTTTCGGCAAGAGGTCACAGTGGGTATTGGCACCTTGTGATGTTGGTGAGGCCTCGGTCGGTGTGATGGTCGAATACCAAAACAGGACAGGCAGCGAAGATGGAAGGAGGTCAGATCAGTCGGACCCACCCTTACCGCTGTCATTTATGCCCGCTTATGTAATGTCCCCTGAGGATCATGTACCGGTAACTGATGCCCGTGGTCGTCTTCACCGATCATATATGCTCTGAGATGTTTGTAGATTGCTTTAATCAACTTTTGATTTGTCTATTCCTTGCGGGTATCTGGTTGGAAACTATTTGATCTATGAAAAACAGCGCTGTTCTATCGTAAATGGCACCATATTAAATCCCTTCTCTGGCGCGGACGCTCTCAACGCAATCCTGCCATCTGATGACCTTCATGTAGATGCACTCTATGATGGCAATCAGCACCATACCGCCACCAAGACCGATCCAGGCACCGTCAAGCTCCATCGCAGGGGATCCCAGCTCGAGCCATACCGCCAGGGGCACAGCCCCAATGTAGTTGACGGCGAAGACAACACAGGCCGCAACAGACTGTCGGCCAAGACCGCGGAGGACGCCGTTGCATCCGCAGATGATTGAGTCGATGAGTTGGAAGGCGCCGACGGCGAGCATGGACTTTGTGGCCAGCTCCTGGACGGCGGCGTCTTCGGAGAAGACAAGTCCGAGTTGATTTCGAAAGAGGAAGAGGATAACGCCGTCGATCATGCCGACAATAGTGAAGACGGCGGCGTAGAGGCTGCTTGCCCGACGGGCGATGGAGACGTGACCGGCGCCGATGAGGTGTCCTATTCTAGTCGAGATGGCGACGGAGATGGAGAAGGGGATGTGCCACATTACGACCGAGATCGTGGTCAAGATCGTCTGGGCGGCGAGATGTTCAGTGCTGAGGTATGAAGTGCTGAGGGTCAAGATCTCAAAAGCAGCCCATTCGCCAACGTTGACGAGCGATCCTGCGATTGACAGCTTGACGGGCGTGCCCCATTCCTGGAAAGCTTTTCGAGAGAAGCCGCCCCAACATTGGTGAGACCATTGGCCGAAGAAGACGATGTACATGAGCAGGAGGATAGGTCGGAGGTCGTTGGCAAGGGCCTGGCCCAGAGCGGCACCTTCGAGGCCCATATCCAGCTTGAAGGCAAAGAGCCAGCTGAGTAGGGCGTTGACCGGGGCGCAGATGATGAGAACGATCATAGCACTCTTGAAGTCGCCTTGGGCTTGTAGAAAGCGCTTCAGAGCCTCGAACGCGGCGTATCCGGGAATTCCGATCAAGCTGACTCGCAGGAATGAACCGGCCTTGATAGCCAAATGATGCTGCTTGACGAATGCCGAGAGGATGCTTGGAGAAAATATCCAAAAAGCGCCAATGGGAATGGTGGCGATGGCCATCAGGATGAGCATGCGTTGGACATGAAGTCCGACAGCAGTGAGGCGCCCGGAACCGTGGGCTTGGGCGCAGAGAGTGTCGAGAGCGGTGGCCATACCCTCGTAGATGGCCAATCCGATGATGTTCATTGTCGTCAGACCAATACTCGCGGCGGCGAGGTCATCGGCGCTAAGATGACCTGCCACGAAGGTGGTGATGACCGTGAAGGAGTACTGAAGCAGATACGTGGCGATGAGCGGCAGCGAGTACTGACACAGCAGCCGTGACTCGGTCAACCAGCTGCTGGTGACGGGCTCCGACTTGGGGATCGGCTGGTCCGCCAGCAGCGGCGTTGTCTCGCCGGTCCGGTACTCGTCCTCATCGCGGTCGCGGTGGTCCATGACGGGCGACCCGATTAGCAGCACCGTAATAGGGCGGCAGACGGGCGTGGGGTAACGGAGCGGATCGGAGGTAAGAAGATTGGTGGAAAAGAAAAGGGACGTGGCTGGCTTGACTGGGATTGAAGAGCAAAGGGACAGACGAGCAACGCAGCTGAAATTAGGTTGATGGACGGCTAAACCGCTACGCGCATGTGCTCAATTCTAGGAGAGGGTGTGCTGATACATGTGGTGGACGTCGTCGGGAGGGTAAATCCGTGCGAATTGAAGGGAGAGAAGATGTGTTTGATGGGCACAAATTGAGAAACAGAGTTCCGGTCACAGCGGCTGATGAAGCCGGACGAGAAAAAGTTTTGCTCACAGCTGTGAACGGACCGGGTCTGTGGGGTCTCCCATCCCCACTAAAAACGCCTCAGATGCTGTGTGCCACAACGCCATGCATTCCGAGATCCGAACCCGACTGGTGGACGCATGATGGCCGCTGCGTCAGAGATGGAATGTGAGGGGGGCGTGTTATGTAAGATCACGTAAAGAATGCATTAAATGGTGTGGCTGGAAACATGATGAAGACCCGTTGAAAGTGATTCCGAGTGAGTAGAGAGACTCACTCCAAGACGGGTATCGAAGCTCCCATGCTTGTTGACATCCATGGTGCTGTATGAACAGCCACAACATCATGAATCTGAGAACCACTGTCCACCACTCAGCACAGGCAACACCTCGTTAATTTTTAGTTATAATTATGTCTTGATGAGTCGCCTGATACTCCATTTACATGAGTTCTAGTTATTCAAGGTCTTTAAATGAGAGAAAATAAGAATGGTCACCACTTTTATCTGCCGGAGAGCTATCTGGATGTGCTAAGGCTATTTCAATAAAATCTTCGGGGTCTTTCAGGCGTGAGGAAGGTCTGCCTCGAACGTCTGTTACATAACCCCGGGGTTTATATTAAATCTTGTTAAATGAACGACGATCTCTCTCCACTGTCTCATTGCGGTAATAGCTGCGATTGATGTTGGTTCCAACAGGACTCTTGGATCTGGGGTTGCCTTTGAAATATCACGCCAGTTTCCACACCGGCGCGGCTTCGTTTCGCTCCCTGAGCATGGTGGAACTATCAGCGTCGATTGAAGGAAAACCTAAGCAATCTGCTTTTTTCAGTTGGAACAGCAGAAATTTTACAACCGATAGCCAGCCTCTGAGGACTGGATGATCCCTCATGAGAACTTGATTTGCTCTCATGCCGTTGTGGTACCAGATCCTCGTTACTCTCGGTTCTGTAGGCCCCCTCCTCCTTGTCTTTCCGACTTTCGTGGACATGTCCCTGTACCGCAACTGGTTAATCGGATGGGCGTAAGGATTTGCTTCGTGTAGCTCTCGAGTTCGCAGCTCCACTCGTCAGATGTGATCCATATCGCGAGTTGGTTCCTGCGACGATCGCTGTGGCGTGGAGCCTGCCGCTCTCATCCCCGCCTGACGAGGTCAGCTGGTAGGGTGCCTGAATTGTGGCCACAGACGTCGAGCCCATGAGACTGTCGATGACTCCTTTCAGGCTCGGGATGCAGGCTGTCATCACAGAAAGGCCCAGTGTGTACTGCAGCCAGATGACGCGCGGTACAGCGTGCCAAGTGCTGTCAGTGTAGTCGGTGACGATATTGTGCGTGCTGATGAGTCCAGGGATTGATAGAATAGGAACACTGAAGATGAAAAAGTCAGCAAATATGGCAGGTAAGGACAGGGTGATGAACCTACATGATCCGAGTCCCAAACAAAGCGATGACCAACAGCTTTCTCTTCACTGTGGTCTGGACCTTCCTCATCATTGCGACTGGAAGGAAGCAGAGTATGACGTCGGTGAATATGTCCATTATGCCGTTGTAGAGGTAGACAACCTCTCGCCTAGGACAGTTTTCCAGGCTGATGGCAAGCCATGGTCTCGGAAGTGAGCACTGAAGAGCTTCGGCTGTAATGCCAGACACCATCCAGGCAATGACTACACCGAAAAGTAGGTGATTGGTAATGTTGAATTTGCCGTGTTTATTGATTGACTGAATGAGCAGACACAGCGACAGTTCTGTTGTCGCTGCTGTAGCAGCTGCGAAGATGGATGATGCGTAGAATAGCTAGATCAGAAACTGTTAGATTACATGGTTTGTATTTCTAGGGATTCGTTTACCTTATAAAATGCTTTGAGCTCGTTAGGTTGAAGAACGTTCTGGTGACGTCCAAGTCCGTGATTACAGGCCGTGATGACGAATGATGTCTGTACAAATAGCAGAGCTACAGATATCAACAAGAGCACGTCGTAGGCTTTGAGAGATGTGATGTTGAGACGGATGATGAGTTTTAGTGTGATGCCGATGCTGGCGTAGATGAGGAACACCTAGGCAGAGATGACTGCGAGTGCAGCTTTGTCGTCTTCCTTCAACGCGTAGAAGGGCGGCGCTGGCGGGTGATCGAACGGCATGGTGTTGAACGCTGCTACGACGTGACATTGACACGGGGAGAATGCGAGGACTTCAGAAGATGGTGAACTTCCTCTAAGCTTCCACCACCCGCACCGGGAATCTTTCTCATAAAGTTCATCGCCGGTGGTGCAGACTTTGGGACGAAATTTCTGCCCATTAAACTCTGAACAGTCGACAGTATACTCCGCGAGATGTGCTGGCTACGCGGTGTCTCCAGCTTGTGAATATTGAGCAGCTCACACCTGCCAGCATGGAATCAGACTGGCTGCAAGGCCGGCTACTAATGGTGCCTTAAGTCGTTTCTACCGAGCTATCGGAGGGAGTTCTCGACGTGAATCGAGACCCGTGTGCCCCATTGATCGCAAGGCTTCTCCGTCCCGGTATCATACAAACTCTGTTCCCCGTCCCGAGGGGATGGATGAGTCGTTTAGTGGAAAGTTCCACAGCAGTGGAAGAGACCACGTCAGGGTTCCTTCATGTCCTGACATGGGTTTTACGCGTTGTCTGGTCAGTCTCGCCCTGAGTTTCCTCGATCCGATCTGCATCTTTGGATGACTTATTTTGCCTTTCCTTGCAAGCAGGCTGCCCATGGTGTTGGGAGAGGAAATTGAAGTGTTGGACACGTAAGCCATGCCATCTGGAAATTTCGGTTCTGCACCATTTGCATTCGACAAGGGTGAAGAAGAAGCTTCCCGGGTGGGTCGAAGAATCATGAAGATAGGTGTGCGAGTGGAGTTGGAGAAACAAACAACAGCTGTTGGGACAGGGCTTCTTCATTTCGGTCATAGTCTTGGCCCGGCACCATCGGCAGACAATTTCTATGGTCTACAGCAAGATCAAGGTGATTGCCTTCGTACAAGACAGTGTTGTGCCTTCGCGACCTCGGCGTTGGATATGAGAGCGGCTGATGGGCTTTCTAGGGTCGGCCCGTGCCAATTCTTACTTGGATGAGGCCTGTTCCAAGAGCGCCATGTTTCTAATGAGGAACGAATCGTGGCATTCCCTCGGCCATCCAAAAGAAAACATGCATCGGCAGGATGCTAGCTCATATGCTGCTTCAGCGGCTGCAGAAATCTTTCATCCCAGCTGGTGAATCGTGTCAGAAAGATAATCTGAAATGAGATTCTCGCTTGCGGGAGGGAAATCCTTGCGCCCGGCGATCAAGGGTCTTCCGAACCAAAGACTCACGGCGATGACCAGGATGGGTTCCGGCAAGCCGGCGTGGCCCGTGAAGAGATGAAAAGGTTGCCCCCGCATGTAACCCCCCGGCCCGAAGCCCACAACCAAGGCTACAGTTGGCGGGGATGACTCCCCGTCGAGAGATGAATCTGCTGAGAGGCTTGAGAAGGACCGATGCCGGCACACTGAGCAAAAGCGTATGATTGGAGAAAAGTGAGAGATGAACTGCTGTCATTGGTCTTTGCCGGCTGCAGTATTACTGTTGTGCGATTAATGGCTTCGCCTTCCGACCACCTCCGCCGGTACGACAAATCATTCGGCAATGCTGCACGTAGCTGGGTCTTAGACCTGCATCTACCCTTGCATTCATCCAGCGATATTTATCTGCGAACGGCGCAGCAGTTGGTTTGAGTTTTCTCGTCCGCCCATGCTATCCCGGCCCGGTCCTGTCATCCCAGAAAAGGGTTCGCAACTCCAGACTTCAGAGGTTGACCGACCCTCTGTCTGACACACTCTTTCTTCCAGCCGAACACTCGGCTGTAGTTTGCTGAATCTCATTCACTCAAAATGTCTTCCGCGGAAGGCATTGAGATGCAGCCGACCGGCAAGGACGCAACCAAGATCAATACGGCCGAGTCGAAGCATGGATCCGATGTGTACAATTAGACGAGGACGCGAAGGGTGTTCTCATTCTCGCAACTGTTCGCCTTCTCCCTGACATACATGGCCTTATGGGAGGACATGTGCACGTAGGTCATAACCACTCAAGAAGCTTTGGACGTGGCTGAGCTGTTCAGGAACATGTACTTCGCCCTGTATAACGGAGGCCCACAGACATTCATCTTCAGCTTCATCATTGTTTTCTTCGGCTCCATTTCCCAAGCGGCCTCACTCGGTGAAATGGCCTCTATCCAGCCGGTTGCCGGGGCCCAATACCACTGGACATATCATCTGGCGCCGGCGAAAGTGAAGAGGTTTGCAGCTTGGATCCAAGGATGGTCAACGTGGTTTGGCTACGTCTCACTACTAGCCGGGATTGCAAACGTCACTATAATACTGCTGGAATCTATGATCGAACTCAATCACGAGAACTACGTTCCCGGCGGCTGGCACACATCAGTGCTCGTCATTGCCATGTGCGTCATGCAGGGGCTGATGAACACGTACTGCTTCAAGGTCATCCCCTGGGTCGAGCTTGTCGCCGGCGTTCTCCAAGTCTGTCTCTTTGTTGTTTTTGTCGTTGTCTTGTCGGTCATGGGAACCCGACATGACAGCAGCTTTTTCCTCGAAACCAATTTCGCGTCGGGTTGGACGGACAATTACGTTGCATGGAACCTGGGGATGTTAACCTGCGTATGGAGTTTCACTGGTAAAACCCCCTGTACACGGCCTTGATGAGTTTGAACTGACAGGTGCTCCAGGATTTGACAGTGCAATCCACATGAGTGAGGAAACTCGCAAGGCTAAATCAGCTGTTCCTCGCGCCATGTTCTGGTCCATTTTCATGAACGGTTGCTTGGGCTTCATCATGGTCTGTGTCATCTTGGTCTCCATGGGTTCTATGGATGATGCCCTCAACGCCTCCTCCCCTGTCCTTGCCATTCTCCTGGCCATCACTGGATCAAAAGGTGCTACGACGGCAATGATAACAGGTCTTTTCGTCGTATCTTTCAGCGTCAACCTCGCCAACATTGCCTCGGTCTCTCGTCTTACATGGGCTTGGTCAAGAGACGGCGGAATGCCGGCATACCTCGCGTATGTCAACCCGAGGCACTGCGTCCCTATTCGAGCCATCATTGTCACCGTTTTCATTGTCTGCGCTCTATGTCTCCTTAATATTGGCAGCTCAAGCTATGTCGCATTTGGAGCAATCACCTCGTTGTCATCCATGGCTCTCTACATTAGTTATGCCATCGCAATCAGCAGCATGCTCTACGCTCGCATGTCTAACGCTGGAGGCGTGGAACTTGGAGAATGGAATCTTGGCCCATTCGGTTTGTACATCAATGTTTTTGCATTGATTTATACCCTCTGTGTGATAGTGTTTCTGCCGTTCCCTTCAACCATTCCGGTCACAGCTGAAAACATGAACTACTGTGGTCCAGTCATGGTATTTGTGTTAGTTCTAGCAGTTACTCTTTGGTTTGTGCGCGGTAGGAAGGCGTGGAGTGGCCCCAACCTCACGATTCTAGACTTAGTTATAGGGAATTCATAGGGAACTTAGTTTAGATGTCGCTGTCTAGTTACAGAGGAATATTATGATCTCGGAGTATTTCTGTATATGAACGTCTTCGCGAAGTGAGCTGGTCCGTTGCAAATATCCGCAAAAGCACGTCCGAAAGTGACTGGGTTGATAATCCTGCATGCCATTATGCCTGTCTAAACTCTGATAAGATGGTCAACTCAGTAGCGGTTCTTCCTATGCCAAATGTTGGCAAGTCACTTTCTTTCGGTTGCTTCCTGTTGTGTTCCCACAAGAACCAATCTAGCACAACCAGTACTGTCAACGGAATGGTGAAAGCAAAGTAGATCCATATTTTTGGTGATAGCGAAGATCCTGTAACTTTGTCATTAACGTTCGATATCATATATACAAGTTGAAACTAGCCATGGTTACTCTTACCTTCTTGAAAGTCAAAGAAGGTCATGCTGAAAATCGATGCCAGGAAGGTGCCTGGGAGGAATGTGGCTCCCAGCAGTGACAATGCTTTCATAGCCTTGCTATTACTCTTACTGTCATTTGACAGCTGTCTCTGATCGCCGGCAATTTTGAGGTTAAGCTTTGAGTCATTCTGGGCGGTTTCAGCAGTAATGAATGATACCTAAGTAGTAGATCATATCATTTAGCAGCAACGAAATCGTTTGGTATGCGGACTGACATACCATGCTCCTTTGGAAGTCCAGGCGTTCAATGGAAACAGAAGTGTAGTTGTCAAGGCCAACGAGCCGAGCTCTTTGAAGGCTCAATCGATCTTGAAGACTGGAGTGAAGCCTTTCCATGTTCTCCGTCTTCTCATTGGATGGGATGTTCGTCCAAAACGATTGCATAGCGTCTTCCATCGCATCAAGTATCTTGAACCACAGGGCCGGGCGTTTATGCAAGACTCGTCTGTGACACTCCGTTAGATCTCTTGCCACGGCCCTGGGATCAATCATGCCATCATTGTAATAACTAAGCTCTCCTGCAGTGGCTTCATCTACACTGATGGCTTGTTCCAGTCGTCTGATCAAAGTGCGGGACTCTCTGGTCAAGTTCGGTCTTCATCGAGATGAGATGGGAAAGAATTATGACCGGGAACAAAAGTGGATGCGAGGCCTCATTGGCACCATTTTCGAGGTCATCAATGCCGTCTGAAATAATAAATGTCGGGGTTCCTTTGACAAATGCCGTGACTTGTCGGCGTTTAAAGGAGTAGGAGAGGACCAATTGCCAACCTCTTGTCTTGTCTTCTTTGCGCATATCGTGCTTGCCACAAATGATCGCTACAAACATGACGTCAGTAAAACGTCCAAATTGTAAGACTGCACGAAACACGGGAGATGCCTTTGAAAGACTTACGAAGATGGGGATCATTTCCATCCAGCATGGTATAGCGATGCCAAAAAAGAGGTCCAACAATGCTCGTGAGCTCCCCAGCCTGGAGAGGTAGCCTCATATCTCTAAGCATCGACTCAAAGTGGTTGGGATGTAATGAAAGCGTCGATGGGGTGAATGTTTCCGGATCCTCTGCGCCGATTTGCAGCCTGAGTAGCGAGGGTATCCCGCGAATCAGCGACAATGATTGATGGTCAGGCTTGAGACTACTTACAAAAAGCGAAGACTACTTGATGGTTGGGCTTGGCTTAAGCGAGAGCTTGGGTTGAATTCGCCCTGGCCGTATTTCAAACGTAAGCAGGTGTCTTCCTGACTTCAAGGGGTAGAAGCCGGATTGGTCGTAGCCTAGTTGCTGTCAACGGCGGCTACAGAAACACCTACCTCTGCGCGAAAGAATCTCGTCAATTGGGCATCAGAAAGAGGACCTTTGAAGGCTTTGCTGTTTCCACCCTATCTCAAGAAAGACAACGTCAGTCTTGCAACGGGGAAGTATGCGGTATATTGCGTCCGGCTCACATCATAGCTAAGGATTTCGAGGTAAGTTGTGGCTTCGCACACGTGAGTGCACTTGCGCAAATGCTTTTCAAACACTCTCTGTTCCATAATTCAAAACAGACCGCATTAGATCATAAACCAATATCTTCAGCCGATCTAGCTAGCTTCGAGCTCCAAAACTAGCGTCCAACGGGGAGGCTTCAGGCTGCGACATTTTGCGAGCGGTGAGACATGTACTCTGTTGATAGAGGCGGGGGTATCACACGTGATGTCAGCGGCGGCCTATCACGGCGCATATCGAATCCCTTGCACCCGTCGAGGTGCATATCGCGATGATAAGGGGCCAATCCTATTTAGTAGGTCCCCTGAGGCGAGTAAAGATGGACTCCAAAGTTCCCCAGGAGACTGAACCGAAACAATGCAGACGCCCGACGACTGAGTGTTTCGACCCCAGAGCGAAAGCAACCGAGGCGCAATGTCAGGCGATCGCCCCGAGTCGATCTGGGTCGTCTGAACTGGGGGCTTGAGGATAATACCAAATGAGACCATGACGACTTGGTGCTGACCTTTTCGAAAGTTGACCAATACGAAGTGCACAGGGTTTCTTACCTTGTCTAGGGCAAAGAAGCATTAGGAATCAATTGGTATGAGGGTGATGGGCAATTTCCTTGGAATTCAAGTGACGCAGAGCCAGTGACGTCTAAATAACCAACTTAAGCATAGCGTGCAGCACTCGCTTAGCATGTTCAAGTAATCGAGGTCCTCCCTGATATTCAGGCCAAGCCCTTGAGGTCGAACATGAGTGGACTGTGCCGCATCGCAGCATTTCAGCACCAGCCAGTCCCTTCAGCCAGCAAAGTCAACAACCTCACTCATGGCCTTTAAGTAGGGGTGCTCTGTCGAAGCAGAAAACCATTACCGCGTCTATTTGAACCACGGATGTTTCCAGTCTCGAACCGTCGCTCATCAGGTCACCCAACTCTACCGCGGCAATGCCTTCGTCAACCGTTCAAGGTGCTATTCTTGTGAGTGCCGGCCCTGTAACAACAACTTGAACTGCTCCGCCATCATGCGCCACCAAACCAGTCACTGTCCAGCTTGGCAATGGCGTTGATATTGGTCGAGGGGTTTGGCAGGAAAACTGCGCTCTGGAAGACCCGGGCCCCTACGATGAATGTGTACCCGACGTCGGAATTGCGCTTCTTAATCTACTCCTCAACGCCACGAACATATCTACAAGCAGCCTTGTTTTTTACCACTCACCAGGACTTGTTTGCCCATCCGCACGGACTCCTGCCGGAACGGCCATCAGATACGATGCCACCTCGTACGACCTGAGCGGCGTCTTTGCCGACCCCACCCTGACGATCACCAAGACTGCAAGCTCTACCGAGACCCAAACTCTGTCTCAGATAACCCCCTACATGAAGCCCGTCCCCAACATGGTCATGTCTGCTCTCGAGCCTGGAGAAACCGGAATTTGGTGCTGTCCTTGGTGAGTGAACTGCGCTTTCCCACACCTTGTCTCTTTTGCAGTGCCCCAGCTCGTTCTGGCTTTCATCGTCTAGACAGTCTGACTGATTGATGTACGTCACCCAGCGGCTACACAGCACAGCCGTTCGGCCCTGGCTGCTATTCCGAAGTACCCAGGAGCCTGTACACCGCAAATACTGCCTGTTCTGTCATCCTTCACCCCGCCGCTGCTACAAAGGTCAACGTCACATACACCTACCATGGTAGAACGATAACAACCGAAGAGTTTTCATGGACCACGTGGACTGAGACTACGTATCCGACCACGGTAAGAGATGTTGCTTGGACTGGCTCTACAGCGTACCCAGATGCCTTGATCACCACTCAACCAGTCATACTGGTACACAAAGCGCAAGATGTAGTGAAGACAGGATCTCCACAATGCCCTGTTTTGACAAACTTGACATTGATTCTCGCGCGGCCAACATCCTCCGCAGAAAGCAGCTCAACATCCTCCGCAAAAGGCACCTCAACACCCACTACAAGCTCGCCCTCTGCAACAGACGCCACAGCGCCAGGAACTTCGAAGGCGAACGGGATTCCAAGAGTAGCATGTGGTGCGATGGTTGCATGGTGGATAGCTGTTTGTGTGATCAATACTTTCTAATGAACTAGGGACGCTTTAGGGGTTGGGCCAGCGCGGTTGGATGCAAGTTTTACCCGTCCAGTACCACGTATTCTCTATCTAATTCATATACAGTGTCGCATCAAACTTCTTCAATGGTGCTTGTTGCCAAGAAGATGTTCTTTGGGCACAGTTGGTTTAAGCTTTCCAACTTCATGTCGAACAAGGAGCCGATCTAGAGGGCCACGCACCCTGGGCAACATACATGGTGGCTATGGCACAGGAGGCAGATGTTTTCGGGAAGATCTTTCGTCTTCAAGTAGATTTTGTTCGCCATCCTCCTTTTCTCCGCTGTCTTTTGTTTCCGTCAGTCACAGCGGACGGGAGTCGGCATTACCGTGACGAATGGCCCGAAGGGATAGCTCCGTACCATCCGCCCCGGCCGACCGCTGCGGAATGTGGGCGGCACCCCGGAACACAAACTCTAAGAAATTGACGAATTGCCCACCGCGGACGACGCCGTGCAGTGCCACTTAGATTGAAACAAGCATTTCCTAGCGGCGGGACGACCTGTTTACCCTGCCCGAATTGTGGGATGCCTACCGGCCCCTTACTGCAATCAGATTGGGCGAAGATCCTGATTACGCGTGCGCCTGTCAGTAGGCAGCGTAATCCCCCTCATAGGCCAATCCCCTTGAATTTCGTCACCACGGGAGAAGCCACACCTTGATCTATTCTTGGCGCTCTAGTTGGCTGGACGCGCCTCCTTCACGGCTGTACGCGGTGGCGGATGTTTCCTCTTGCTATGTTTTTCTTCTAGTTTCTGTTTCTTTACAGCAAAGGGGCGTTCTCCACAGGGATCTTCCGACTGGTAGACTTGTATCCCCCAAGTAGGGAAGCTTGGTATACTTTATTGAGCCGCGCAACATCCCTTAATTCTATGGGGCTGAGTTACCTCGTGATGTGGGATAGTGATTGTCCCGGTGCAAAGCCCTCGGCAATCATCATTTCAACGGTAGAAACATCTTCACAGATTCTGTATATATCTCCCTTATTGCCAAGATGCCCAGATGATCATGACCGACCTGTTCATCCTAACTCCTTAGACACATCAACATGCGCTCGTTTACGTTACTGACTCTGGCCGTGGCTGCCGTCCCGGCTCTGGCTGACACTCACTACTTCTACTCTGGTTTCTTCTCCGGCAGCACCATCGTCGGCGTCGAGTTTGACGATGAGACCTCCTCTCTCACCCTCGTTAACAACATCACCACCGATGCGTCATCGGGATCCAAGTGGATCCATCTTGATGTAAGTTGGTGCTCCATATGTTGGTGTAGTGGCACGGCTAACGACTTGTCTAGTCCCGCCTGAAGAACCTCTACGTCGGTACTACAGGTTACTTCCAGAGCTACACTATCACCGACGACCTCAGCTTGGAGTACGCTAGCAACGTTAGCTTGTCGTCAAACTGTGAGTCTCGTCGTGAACTTGACGACAGAACCTGAGCTGATCCCAATAGGCTCCAACGCCAACTTTATTACCTCGTCCACCGACGCCCCCTACACCGTCTTCGGAACCCCCTACGGAGGTGGATGCTCTTCCTTAGCCATCACCGTCGACGACAATGGCGTCCTTCAGGAGGCTACTGCGAACGTCACGTACGACAGCGCCGCCGGTGTCCACGGAACCGACATGAGCCCTAACAACGACTTCATCTACTCTGCCGACGACATGGGCAACGCTGTTTGGGTGCACTCCTACGACAACACCACCGGTGAAGTCACCGAGGTTCAGTACCTTGCTGCTGCCGAGGGCTCTGATCCCCGCCACCTCGCCGTTCACCCCAACGGAGGCTGGGTTTACGTCGTCTACGAGGCGGCCAGCACGATCGCTTCCTACAAGCGTGATGCCACCACCGGCAAGCTGACTTTCACCAACACCACCTACCCTCTGCTGCCCGACGGTATGTTTCACCAAATTTGGGTTTGCCGAACACGCTTGCTAACTCCCACTCAGGATACACCAACTCTTCCTCCTACTGGGCCGACGAGGTCATGTTCTCCGTTCCCAGCAGCAACTCGAGTGCCACCGCGCCCAAATACCTCATCGCTGCCACGCGATCCCGCACCGTTGGTATCCCGGGATACGTCTCGGCCTTTGCCCTTGACAGCTCCACCGGCGCTATCGCCGAGCAGCTCTTCCTCCTCCCCACCACGAACAGCGGTGGCTCTGCGAACGCGGTCTCCCCTGCCAAGTTCAGCGAGGACTACTTTGGCATCACGGACAGCGGCTCGAACTTCCTGGAAGTATGGAAGATCGATGCTAGCGGCTCCTCTACGACTGCGGCAGCTGTTGCCCACCTCGGCCTGTCGTCTGGCCCGGCCAACATTGTTTGGTACAGCTAAATAGGGTTGTAGTCATACATTAACCAGTGGAGGAAGTCATATATGAGGCATTTTCATAGCGTTTTGATCTTCATCAATGCAAACAGTCTTGTATTCAAGTATTGATGTACCTTGCAATCCAACTTACTGAGCTGAGGCACCGAAAACAACTGCTGGACGTGGCCTTGCAGGTGGTCTAGTGATCGGCGGAGAGCATCTTGATGACCACCAATCCCAGCCATTCTTTCTGTTCCAAGTTGCTCTGATCAACGAGTCGAACGCTCGAAAATCATACTTTGATAACTCCTTCTCAACATTGAGCTCGCATTTCGTAATATAGCGGTTTTCCGTGCTGTCTGGAGCAACTGGGGTAGGGTCGTTATTCCCAAATTCCATCTTGCCGTCGCGTTCGGAAGACTCAATCCACGGGCTAGGGAGAAGGCCAGCGTCCAAGACAATGTAACGATTGGGGAACAGACGGTTTCTCATGTTTTCCAAACGTCTGAAAGGATGATTCAAGCATTGTACAGTATCGAAGTAGAAGTCGGTGAGATTCGTGAGCTTTGTGTGGATGCTGTTGAAAATGGTTTCCCACCTCCCCGAGAACGTGTAAACACGGTCGTCGTCGTACGTGAAACCAAATGCGCCATGCGGGCATCGTTCCCAATCATGGGTAGGCGTACCCGACTTAGTCAGTAGTTGGTCATAGATACGCAGGTGAGAGACGATGCGGCAGTTGAGCAGGCGCAGGGTTGTCAAGGATGTCTGCGCCAAGACCCAGTTGAAGTGGTCATGGTGTGAAATGACGAAGTTGATGAGGTTGAGCGTCTTGAGATGCGGGAATTCCAGTCCCCTTCCATCAAAGTAACCAGGTGCAGTTCCCCAATACTCTTGAAACCCAAGAGTCAATGTCGTCAGAGAGTCGGAGAGTTTGGGCAAGATCTCCTTTTGTAGGTGAGGTTCGAATAGCCATCGCTCCTTGCAATAAAGGTCGTGGTCGGGACCGTGCTCGTTGCATTCTTCCAGAACCAGGAGATCCAGCCGAGTGATGTGTTTGACTGTGTCTGCCATCTCCGACGTAACCAGGCTTTCGAGGGAAGTATTTTGCACGTTCTCCAGTCTCAGCCATCGTATGTTAGTGGCATCTGAATCCTTAGCTCGGGTTGCCATCGCGTTGAAGACCGTCTTGAGAGTTGCGGATCGAGCATCAAGAGGCTCAACGCCGTCCTCCCACCCATCATCCCAAGCCGTAGACTCTGCCCTTTCCCCTCGGCATTTATCGCCGAAGTGCAGGTGCAACATTCTCAAGTTCTTCAGCTCAGTGATACGGGCCACAGCATTAGTGAATCGTGGGAACTCGCCCTTGTTCTTCCAGTCCTCCCAGATCCCCCAGTCACCGTCATTTGCCAAATCTTCGGGGGCACTCCTGATCACCGCGCACTGAGCCACGGTGCGGAAGGTGTCGTTGTCGACCATCTTGTTCCAGATTCGGAATTCGCCGCTGTCTTCTTCTTCTACATCTTCGTCCTCGTCAAAGTCGGCTTCCGGAGCATCATGGTGTACGAGTGTGATTGTCTCGAAGAGATGAGGTGTCGCAAGCGTGTTCCATTTCCGGCACACCAATCGGGCGTTGGCGATGTCATGGTAGCCGTGCGTGAATTCGCCGTACTCACCCCTCTCGTCGAAGAGCGATCCAAGGATAAGACCCAGCACCTCTGTCGGGAAATCGTTCAGTTCCATGGCGTGATTGCTGTGATGGGTGTAAACAAGGAGAAGAAACTCGACCTCACTGTCATCCGCAGAAGTGCAGTTCAGCTGGCTTGATATATGAGAACGCAGCCCCCACTTAGTCGTGAGCCTAGCTTCAGGGGTCTGCAGGCAGCACTGTGGCAGCCTAGAGCGGCCAAAGGATTGAGAGGCACAGTTGGCTATGCTAGGTCCAATACAGCTTTGCGATTTTATCGCGCCTCAATGGCGTTCCAAACACATGACATTGAAGGCTAAAGGTTGACCTAGTTATCTTTCTGAAGTTTCAAGAGACCCAGGCCGATAATTCTGTGGCTATCTTGCAATTCGTCTACTCCTATTGCAACTGGCTTAAATTTCATGACATATGGCGAGCTTGGATGTCTCAGTAGGTTCCTCACAGAAAAACTACGCTGGGCTAGTGGCCGCGGGAATAACTAAAGCCGCGTTGATGTTGCCGAGTACAGAGGTTGGGGCACTGAAAACAGACGCCACACGCTACAACCAGGTCATCTGAGAAAAGCGAGATGACACAAAAAGGCATTTGTGTCGTTGGTTTCGGTGCTGTTTAGATTTCCTCTTAGTTCCGACTTTCTTCATGATCCAGAAATCTGTATGAATATGTACCATCGCTCAAGGCAGATATTCAGGTCGAACCCTGGAATCAACCAGCCTGCGAGAAGGCCTAAAGCCCCCACTAACCGACTCTGTCTCGGGCTTGTTCCTCCAGGCTTTCGAGGCCAGCTCCCGGACATCCTGCATGAGACCCTCGGGGTGCTCCAGCGCAGCAAAATGGCCAGCATCATCCCGTTCTGCGAATAATTAGAAAACCAGATGATAGTCTCTTTGATCTGTCCTCTTTGCTCACCTTTGTAGAAAACAAGCTTGCCGGTTCTTTCCACAGCGCGCTTCGAACCTGGTTCAGTGTCCCACAAGAACGAAGTGTATCCAAAGGGCACCTTGATTCGGTTTTCCTCTTTCAGTGCAAACTCGGGGAACTTGTCGTGAGTCGGGCTCTCGTAGTAAGGCAGGGTCGAGGGTAGGATGCATCCGGTGAAGAAGTACAGCGATGCTGTCGTCAGGATTGCCTTCGTCCAGAAGGGCTTCTTCTGGTTCTCGGGGTTGGCTGCTTCGTTGTACTTTTCGCCGACCCACATCAAGATACCCATCGGATTGTCGTGTAATGCGATTCCGATGGTATGAGGCTAAGATGCATGCGTTAGAATGGATTTTAAGGGCTCGATAGAAAAGCGTCGGCATCGAATATACTCACTCGACTTCTCATGCAAACTGCATAGCCCATATGGTTCTTAAGCCAGTCCTCGTTCCTCTCCGCTACTTTCTGCTCCCGCTCGGAGTATTCCACGCCCTCAGGCATCGGGCTCGGGGCGAAGTTGAGATGCACAAGTTTGCAAGAGTCGGTGTATTTGGCACCCAATTCACGACCTACAAACGATCCCCAATCGCCGCACTGAACCATGTACTCGTCGTATCCCAGCTTTTTCATGAGCTTATCGAAGACTCGCGCGTTGTCCTGAAGCTTCCAACCAGCGCGTGGTGGCCAAGACGACCAGCAGAAGCCAGGCATGCTAGGTGAGACCACATGGAAGGCCTGGTCGTCAGGATTGCTCGGGCGTGTCAGCGGCTCCCAGACCTGGCTAAATTCCCAAAATGAGCCAGGCCAGCCGTGGATGGTGAGAAGGGGAATCGCGTTGGCATTGTCCGACTTGGCATGAACGAAGTGGATCTTCAAGTCTTCGATGGTGGTGATGTGGTGTGGAACCCTGTTCATCTCTTCCTGGACTTCATACCAGTCGAAATCGTTGGTCCAGGCATTGTAAAGATTCTCAGCCCAGCCATACTCAGGCCCTAGAAGTCATAGTCAGTCAGGCTTGGCTTTAATGTTCATATATACAGTGATTTCACCGTAGTTTTTACCCGCATCGGGAACAACTGGTCGTCCTGGTAGTCGTGTGTCCTTCAGCTTGCGTCGTAGACGGTCAACCTCTTCCCGCGGAATATCAACTTTGAAGTCTTGGATCTCGGACATGATGATTTAAACTGTTGGTTTGCACGAATCCTTGAAGATGAGAAGTCCAAAATAGCAGTGTAGAGTAGGTGTGCTGGGAGCCCAAGCAACCCCTCTCGATGACATCGGATGAACACATGTTTCAATGGTGATGTAATCACGACATAGCGACCTAGTTCCTAATTGGCGTGGGACGCTAGGTTGCCCAAGCATGCTCACTCAGTGTGGGCATTGGAGTGCTTCTGTTGGTGTATCTACGTCTGGAAATTCGGCTTTTGGCCGGTCAAGAGAGGGTCATGCACAATCATGAAGAAAAATAGTATCGTCGGATGTTGTAGTTAAAATGTTTTCCCATGTAAAGACCGATTTTCCGATCCTACAGTGGTCGCGGAGCTCCGCGAGTTGCTGGACGCCATCCAGTGGTTCAAGTGGATCTCTTCGGGGGATGCTCCGGCAGCATGTCCGTGCTTCCACACCCTTGCCATGTCTTTGGTCTGGTCGAAGTGAGGTTCTGTGCGCCCGCCAGCGCGTTTCGGTTCACGTTAACATGTTCTACGAGGTGTGAGAAAACGACACCTCATTGTCTCGATGATTTCCGGTCGTCTGTGGCAGCGGGCTGATAAACAGCACATGCACGGCGAGGGTGAAGTTTCAATACACTCAGGGTGATATCCCGCCCTGTCGGCAGCGCGGTGTGAATAAACTCGGTAGCTGTCTTCCCAAATGGGATCGAACACACGTGGGACCGCGCTTAAATAACAGTCTACGTCGTTGATAAGACGGTTCTTATTTTTGAGATTCTCTGCTCACTGGAACAAGCCATGGGACGATCGGCGAAAGGGTCCCGTCCGACGGCCGCTAAAATCGCCGACCTCTCAGTGTGGGAGCCGGAACTTGGTTCCCGATACCGAAACCGAGGCCACAATCTCTAAAGGGGTCGCGTCATGGAGTCTTTAAATACAAAGCTGGGTCTCAATTGTGTCAGGGGCCTGACATATTACTGAAAACCCGAGAATTACGACTTATTCGTACCCGCATGCAAAGGGGCACTTTTCGCCTTAGTCAATCGAGTGTTGTTCGTACAATAGCCAGTTGTGACGACGATTACTCAACAAGGCCGGACCACACGAAAAAACCACACGTCCGCAGGCCCCAGGATCCAGACCCCGCGGGCTCCGCGGAAACCACGGCGCATATCGAGCAACAGAGGGTGCACAACGAAAATCAACAGCACCGATTTATCAGCATAGTTGAGTCTCGGACAACCAAGCGGACATTTGGTTTCTCATAAGAGCTGTTTTTTTGCAGAATCTGACTCAGAAAAGTTCTGCGTTGTGGTCGCCGACAACAACAGTGCCCGAGCGGTCACCGCGAGAGTTCCATGCCGATGTTGTTCTCACATCCATCTACGTCTGCGAAACCAATGACCTCATCAAATGAGGAGCTTTTTATGTCGAAAGTCGGTTTGTTCAGAGTTGAAGTCTTTCGAAGTCGCGCGCCACTCTCATTTTCAGGCCAGGGCGTTTCGCCATGATCGTTCTCATTGCGGGAATCACCGGCAGCCTAGGGCGTCGTTTGGCGAGAGCCGCTAGGGCGCGCGGCTTGTCAGTTCGGGGTTTGGGCCGTGACCCCACGAAACTGGAGGCCGACCTCCATCGGGATCTGGAGTCCTTTGTCACAAGCCGGAACTACTATGACGTTCCGGCCTTAGACGCAGCCGTCACAGGAGTTGATGCTGTCGTTTGTGCTTACACGCCGAATCCGGTGCTCGACCTCGATGCGAATCTTTTACTCCTGCGCGCTGCCGAGCGTGCGAAGGTCAAAATATTTATCGCTTCCTCTTGGAACAATGACTGGACGAGAATCAAGTTTGGAGAATTCGAACACTACGACTCGCACATCGCTTTTGAGCAACAAGCGGCAATGACAAGCCCCATCAACCCGGTGTACATCTTTACAGGGGTATTTGCGGACTTGGTATACACTCCATACGGACCCGGCGGATTTGATATTACTGGAGACATACCCGTCATGAAGTACTGGGGAGATGGAAACAAGCAGCTTCACTCTTGGACAGAGCAGGACGATGCAGCGGCTTGGACCATCGAGATCCTCCTCAACGGAGAGGGAGTCAGGGAAGGCAAGGGCGGTTTCTTCAGGATACGATCCGGGGAGCACACCATCGAGGACCTAGCGTTGATATACGAGGAAACAACTGGAACCTATGTCGAAGTAAGGCGCCAGGGTGACTTGATGGATCTAGCCAACGAGGTAGCTCGCATGCGCAGGGAGAAGGGCAGGGCAAGATACATCGAGTATCTACCTCAAACGGCTGCACTTATAGCTGATCAGGGGCTTTGGAAGATGAAGAATACTGTGTCGTTGGAACATGTTCGTAAGCCAACTGCTTTAGAACAACATCTTAGGGAGAGATTTCGACAATAACGAGCGATGTTTCAAAGGTCACCACGTGAGAGAGGACTATTCATCTTCCATTATCACATGATCTCAAAAGCCAAATAGTCTCACTAGTGAACTCGTTAATTGATTTGGTCCCAAGCCCAGTCAGTTTGCAACGTATAAGGACAAACAAGGTTGTGACGTATCTTGTGATCCCGTGGTTTTACTTAATTACAGCACTAACTGCTGTCACAACAATATGGATAGCGCAACTAATGATCCTTAGACTTGAGAAACTCCTCAATTCCATCATACGTACAGTTGAATCTCATTCTCTGTAAGATGACTTCGGGTGAAACCTTGGCAGCTGCAACCCTTGAGTTCAGTTGAACTTGAGAAGCTCTCGGTCGCCTCGCACTGTCCCATGTCTTCAATACCCCAGCGAGGTCATTGGATGTAAGACCTGGTCGCAAGAAAAGTCTAAGAGCTTCAGCATCCTCAAGTGCTTGATTTGCACCTTGACCCTGGTAAGGTACCATGGGATGAGCGGCGTCTCCGATAAGTGCCACGTGCCCTCTTGCATAAGAAGGAAGAGGATCAGCGTCTCTTAACTGATAAAGCTTGATATTTGAAAGACTCCTTCAAGGTCGCATTTGTCAGCACGCGAGGCATGGTCGCAGTGTAGAGTGAGCAATTGGCTGTTTTCTTACCTCATTATGGTGTGCAGCCACGGCGGAAAGTCTTCAAAATGGCGAATCATCTCCTCAAGGTCGCCATCTTGAGTCCACGACTCTCGACTCTGTTGTTTGAGAATAGAGTCCGGGACAGCACAGGCGAAATTCATGATTTCTCTGTTTCTGCATGGATAGATGACAGCATTCCTGTTAGACCCATCTGCCGCGATGGATGAGGCCAAGAATGTTCCGTCTTCAGACTTCAAAGCATCTGGTATTTCTCCAAGAAGTTCCGTTACCTGGGAGAGAGGAACTGTGAAACGGTACAGTGAGGTGTTGGCTGGCACTGGCGGTGGATGTTCCAGCCCGACAACAGCTGCCCGTGTCTTTGAGTGGATGCCATCAGCACCTTTTTGAGTCATGTTAGTCTCTACCTGTAAAGCAATGTAAGAGTGATTCATACCGATTATCAAGTCAGCTTCAACTATCGATCCATCCCCCAGCTGGATCAAACCATTTTCAGGGTCAACATTTTCAACACGTGACTTGAAAACGATCTTTGCTGGCTTTCCAGGCCATTCCGATCCCTCGCCGGTCGCGGCCTCAAAAAGCGCGTCTTTCAAATCCTGTCGGTGAAACATCCACCACTCAGAACCGAAAGCCTTGGCACAGTCCATTCGAGATTCTTTGAGTAAAGCTCCAGTTTGGTCGAAAGTGCGAAAGCCGCTCGACACAACAGCCTTCAGAGACTCTTTGGCCAAGCCCAAAGACTTTGCCATCTTTGTGCCGTTAGGCCCAAGACCAACGGCTGCTCCAGCCTCAGCTGTGTCGGACGCGTTGCGCTCGTAGACAGTAACATCATGTTGCTCGCGGAGAACTCGAGCCGCTGCAAGGCCGGCTATGCCGCCTCCAATTATGGTGACTCGCAGAGGCGTGTGCTCAGTCATTTGGTGAAATCTGTTGATTACTCTGGTTTCAAGCAGAACAGTCTCGTTTGGGTTGACTTCTTGAAAATGACATTTGCGTAGAGAGGGAAGCTCAGTACACGGGCTTGATGAAGTCACATGTTCCACACTTAGAATGACGAGATTTGATATCTCATGACTCAAAGTTCTCATCGGCCTCCATCCCACTCGGCTTGAATAAACTATTTCATACATCTCAGTCAAATGAAGCCATCTGTTTCCGTGAGTTTTGATGGCCCAAGCTAAACTTCGCGTCGCCGGCCTTTCCGGTTGCCTCACCCGGATTTCGGATTCCGGAAATCGGAACTCACAAGCTGATATCGCATCCATGAAAATTGCTCTGAGTTGCACGCGGGAATCTTTCCGGAGATTTAGCAGTATGTCTTGGCTCGTCGATCTTCCGTTCCCGTTAGAAAGTGGTCGATCATCCGGCCAGGGTGGCCGCATTGTCATCGAAACCAGGGTCTTGCCCGCCAATGAGGAATTCACGACCTGTAATTGTCACGGGCAAGTTGCCGACTCCGGAGTGGCGATGAGAAATCTGCGAGAGAGTGGATTGCCGGGCCAAAGAAGAAAAGTTGCCATGTCGTCAATGACACGATGATTCTCCATGTAAGCTTGATTAAAAGGAAAAGAATCCAAAGAATTAAGGATCACGGCATCTTCAATGAGTTTCAACGCTTAGCTGAAGTTCGAAATGTCAATCTCAACATTCTACCATTCCACGGCTGATTTCGTGTCGGCTACGCCCGCAGTCTGGGCCTGGGTGCTCCTTTGCGGAGTTGCCGCCCTGGTAGCCTTCCGCAACTCTATGCCAAAGACACCCAACGTTCCTCTTGTAGGATTCGATGTCAAAGATGCCAAGAAGCGGAAAGCTCAATACAGCTTTGATGCCCCAGGAATCGTCCAGAAGGGATACGAGCAGGTAGGACGCGATTGCTGGTTTGGAAGGTTGAGCTAACGATTGCCTTAGTTTAAGGACCGTATCTTTGGTGTCGACACTGCCGATGGTGTGTACATCCGTGAAGCGATTGAGAATCGTTGTTACTTACAAGCAAACTTCAGGTGTTAAGCTTGTATTCCCTCATCAGTATGTGGAAGAGATTTCCAAAGAGCCTGGGTTGAGCTTCCACAACTCTCTTGATCATGTAAGTGGCTTGGCTGGGGTAACTCACATGGGCAAGACTGACAGATCAACCTATGTAGGATTTACTTATCGACTACACCTACATGGGAGGGCTGAAAGAGTTCTCTCTAACTACCTTCAAGAAAGAAATCATCCCCCACCTGCGTGAGTGGCTTTGCATGATGAGTTATGTCGGCAGCATGTTCTAATGGCCATACCCACACAGAAAAGTTCATTCCTGAGTTCACTGAACTTATTCAAGGCTACATTCCTGGCGCTTTGGGAGACAACGAAGGTAATGCCTTACCTGTTCTGGTATGATACATGGTTTTTGACATTTGATACTTCACAGACTGGACTCCGGTGAACATATACCCCAAGATGCTTCGCATGCTCGGCATTCTCACTGCCAGAGTCATGATCGACAACCAGGCACCGCATAACGATACATGGATTACCCTTACTACGGAGTACGTCCAGTCTGGCACCTCATATGCCCACCAGCTGAAGTTCTGGCCTGGCTTCATGAGACCATTGGTTCACAGGTTCCTGCCAGAATACTCCGAGATTCAACGTCAGTTGAGTGACGGGCGCTCTATTCTAGTGCAGGCCATTGAAAACTTCAACAAGCGAGAGAATCAAGGATCACCCGAACCACAGCCAACGAGTGTCTTGTACCATATGTCGCGCAAAGCAGCCGGAACCTCTTCGTCGATCATCGATACGCATCTCAAGGAACAGATGAATCTCGCAGTTGGAGGCATTCACACTACATCAGCCGTTTTGACGCAAACTCTTTTCGAACTCTCTTCTCATCCCGAGTATGTTCCGGATCTGAGGCAGGAGGTTGTTGATACCCTGCGCAAGTATGACGGTGTTCTCTCCAAGGCAGCTTTGTGGGATATGCACAAGCTTGACAGCTTCATCCGCGAAGTCCATCGTCTAAACTCACCTAATCTGAGTATGGAACTTCCTGTTTTCCCGATTTGCAATATACTTACTAACTATATCTTCCAGCTACCCTGCAACGACGCGCGACAAGGGATGTTACCTTATCAGATGGCACCTTCATTCCCAAGGGCACCAAGCTAGAGTTTCCAACCTTTGCAATCCACCGCGATACCGACTTCTACGAAGATGCGACCAACTTTGACGGATACAGATTTCTCAAGAAGCGTCACGAGGATGAGGAGACCAGTGCCAAGCATCACTACGTCAGTGCTCGCAAAGATATGTTGGGATGGGGTTACGGAAAGACGGCTTGCCCTGGCCGATTTCTCGCCGACATTGAAATCAAGCTCATCGTTGCCTTCATTCTTCTGAACTATGATATCAAGAATCCAGAGGGCCAAGAAAGGCATAAGAGTGTCCACTTTGAGAACCAGGTAAGATAAGCTGGGATAGCCATTCTCTTCACTGACCAGAGCATTAATCTCATTCTCAGGTCTTCCCCAATCCATCAAACCCGGTCCTGATCCGCAAAATACAACGGGAGGGACTTCATGGCATCAAGACTGGTAGAAACTAGGATGTTTATGCTCTCATCATACGCGCAAGCCATGGATTTCATTAAATTACATCTAGTAGGTATGAAATGGAAGACTGATGAGAACCAGACTGTGGATTTTCGTTCTTCTCTCCACCCTCTATCCAAGCCGACTCAATCGTCTCGCTGCCGCCACCTTTGAGACCTTTCTCGTACTTCAAAAAACAAAAGTTGCTGCCTTCTCCCTGCCTTGAATTCTTTTTACCTGTCTTCCAGGCAACGCCAATGCAACTTTGAACCAAGATTTGCAATGCAGCACAAAGGTTCATACAGTCCTCCATTCTTGTTAGCGGCACTTGGCCCATATCTTGACCTGGGTAATCCGTCGAACATTCGCGTATGAACGAAATATTCAAGCCAGGTACTGTGTACTTGGATGACGTGCAGTTGGGCAAGGCCTCTCCGTGTACTTCCGTAGCTGCTTTTGGGAGTGGAATCGATGTAATGGTTTCGTTCGACGAAGTGGGTGGAAATGGGGGAGCAACTGAGGCCCAAGCCTAAGCATCGAGTGAGAAATATTTTCGAAATTGATAGATATAGATGGGACTCATACTCTCTATAACTCTGCTCCATTAGACTTAGTGATTTTGCTTTCGACCCGGCTATAACGGATGCAGCTATCACGCCTGTGAAGAGGATCAAACAGAGTATCCCCAGCCCAAAAAAAGCTTTATTAGTGCCAAAGAGACGTTTCTCTCTAAAGTCGCGCCTCTGGAGGGGATTCGAGCCATGCCTGTCGAGACAGGTGGTTGCTGTTCTCTGGCCGTGTGGGTATTGGCAGTGTCCTGCGTAATTCATGCCACCAGTTGTGACAGCCTGAAATTCTGAGCCTTGATGCGGGCTGCATTTCACAGGCTTAGAGAGCTCAAGGCCACCACGCTCTGCTGGCATCAAGTCCGAGAATTGATCCTTCTTATCTTGGTGACCTGTAGCTGGAAGAGGCTCGGGCAATGATGCCGACGAAGCTTCTGTACAGGCCATTGGCGTCTCTCGGAGTCTGACGAAGAAGATGAGAAACAAACAACTGTTGAGGGGCCCATAATCAGACATCTCAAGTGTAATAAATGACAGCAAAGCCAGCTGATATACTTCTGGGAGAAGACAGTATCATTGATTGGCCATCGCATGCTTGTAAACCTGACTAGAATCTCAAATAAGTGGTCCTGGGCCCCTTTACACACGACCTCAGATGTCTCTGTCACTCCTTCACTCAGACTTATCTGACTGAAGTGTGCAAATATGACCCGCATGGAACAATTTGTGATTCTTGCCATCTTAGGTACCTAGTTCATCTGGCACATTTAGACAGCTTTGAACTGTCTAAAGCTACAATTAGTAAACACATTCTCTCCGGCAGAATTGCCATCGTGCGGACCCTCATGGGCTTCTGAACATCGTGGTCAGATGGGTTTCTAGGTCTTGGTCTCTCGCCGGCTAACAGACCAACCAAACGCCTGGCTGATTTCCCGACTTCCAAAATGAGCATGGTATAATCAGGCTAAGATGACACAACTTTAAAACAAGTGCCGAACTCGTGACTGAACCTCCTGTTGTAGGACAAAATCTGTGTGACTTTCATCTCGGTTTGAAATCGAACTGGTTGGTTGTGCGTGCATGATATCTAAACACAGGTCCGTATGCCACAGGCTTGTACGAGTATCCCTCAGAAACACGAGGTTTAACAGCACTCGGCTATACTGTTCGTTCATTCGAAGGTCTGAGCTGGAGTAGTTCACGTCCCTCACCCTGACAGAATCACTTCTCCTACGCTATGTAATCTCAGACCAGACTTTGGAGAGCAAATGCAAAACGAGATGAAGCACGTATCCCATCGCCGAGGGCCGAACATTTGAATATTCGTCGCAAAACAATTCTGCGGGACCATTATTTCAGAATTGATTATTACATTAAACACCATAAGCTTATCTTCAGGTGAAGGATCAGATCTCTGATCTTCACCATGGGATGATTCCCTCACTATTTGAAAACGTCCCCGTCTCCCCATCAGGTCTGCTTATACTCTAAAGGACGGGATGGGATGGGATGCGGCATGTATATAGCTCGACGCGGACGCCCTTTGCCCTATGCAGGGACGTGCCGGCGATTAAACAGTACCACCACCACCAAGGTCGCTAAGCGGCAGACGCTCACAGCACCCACTGCGGCGCTTCGAGGTGCTTGAAAGTCGGTAAAGCTGGTAGCGCAATGGCCTGGAAAAGCCATGTTGATTTTCCATATAGGATCTTGTGCAAACCGCGCGGCAAGATTGACAGCCATCATGTTCAGCGCTGTCTTGCTGGCGGCGTATACCTTGTACGGAAGCACGAATGCCTTCGATGGTTCGGTCTTCCATGCGAGGCTGCCGAGTTCCGACGACACGAATACAATCCGCTTGGTCTTTGTCGAGTTAGCCAGCAGTGTGAGGAAGCTGTCGGTCACGGCGAAGGTGCCAAAGACGTTGGTGTCGAAAACCTTCTGCCACTCTTTGCGCGCCCATGGCCCCTTTGACGAGTCACCACCGATCCCTGCATTGTTGATCAAGACATCGAGGAAGCCGTACTTATTGGACACGTAAGCCACTGCTTCTTCAATGGACTTATCTGAGGCTAAATCAAGAACTAGTGGCTCGCAAGAGTGGCCTTCAAGTTGCAGCTCTTGGGCAGCTTTCTCAATCGCATCTTGTTGCCGACCAGTCATAATTATATGATAGGCTATGTTCTCGGCTGACAACATCTTGGCGACTTCGAGACCTATGCCCTGGTTTGCGCCGGTCACTAAAGCAATCGTAAGCGGAAGAGACATGGCACTTAATAAAAAGACTGGTACGAGAGGAGCTAGGTGGTGCGCTGTGAAGGACTGAGAATCGTGGATGTATGGCAGTCATGTTGCCCTTTTATAGGATTCATCTCCCTGCGTATCAATTTTCTCTCATTAACTCTCATTCTTTCTTCCCTTTGGAAATCGCATCGAGTACAACTTGACGCATGTTAAGGACGCATTCGGGTGATTGAAGCATTAAACCTTATTACCGAAACCGAAGACCTGAAGGAGGCTTCGCCCATCGATCGCTCCTGCTCGCTGTTTCCTGTACCGTGGTTCAACGTCTCGGCCTCGGACTTCTACAGTATTTCCGGCCATCTCCATCTTCCCAGCACGTTGTCCTGTGGCTCGTCGTTGCCTCGTCTTATGTCCGACCAGTCCTTTCTCAAGTATCTGGACAATAAGTATCACCCCAAACCCAACAGCAATGACGCTAATACTTGAACGTTCGACCTAGACTCGGGCTGGAAAGTTCCGCAACAGATATCGAGAGGCTCTGGGGGCTGGCTGGGGTAATGTTAAAACCCACTAATATCTGTGGCAGTCGGAAACTCCTGTCAGAAATTGTTTTGTGAGCGAGCAATTCCTTTGCCGGACTCCACCCATTAGATGCTGGACGTCCCTTACCCGTGCGACAGCCCGCCGCCATTATCAGCCCTCATCGTTCGGTCTTGCTGGGTTATCTCTTTACAAGAAGGATCGCAATAATTCGAGCTTGTCTCTCATAATCAGCAGGTTTGCGAGAACAATTGGTTGTAAGGTCGTTGCAGAGTGGAGGACATGTGACTGATCGACTTTCAGAGCTGCCGTGCTTCTTGAAAACTACACAAGTTCTTACTTAACAAGGCTTCGTATAATTAGTTTGGTGATCAGATCAGGATAACTGCAGTAGACTGGCAGCTGTTGCCTGAAGTGCATCTGTCGGAGCGCTTGACATCTGAAGAGCTTACGCTGTGATGCACCTGAATGACTCCAAACGGGCGTGCCGTAGTCAGACGTCCAGGTTGATGTACCGGTTGGACGAATCACAATCTTTGGTTCGGGAACGTCATGGAACATTTGTGTGACTACGCAAGCAGTTGTGTGTGCTGAAGGTTTTGTGTTAAGTTGGCCACATGGGGGAAGCTGAAACAATTAACATAATTCATACAGGCCAAACTTCATAGTTTCAATATCTTTGGTTCAGCAGAAATTCGGTTTGAATGTGTGCTAATTTGCTGGATGTGGCTGCCACTCGAGGGCGGTCTTGATATGAATGACACGATACAGCCGACAGATTCTAGTTGTACCGGAGACCGTGAGTGGTCAATATCTCCGCATCTCGTGGATATTTGGCACCTAACCTGAATCGTTTATCTGTTTGAAAAGGGTCTGCAGTGGAAATTTGATCCCTTGTCCCACATCAACTTCAAGATTGTTTCGTGATCACCGCGGTTGCGCGACATGATGATGTGCGCATCCCACCGGGACATCGGATCCCGTCAACCCCAGGTCCGCGAATGGACGGGTCATATGGACCCACATAGGCCATAGCGTTTTATAACTTACTCCTGCATCTTCCCTTGTAGGCCTTCTTTCCGTCCGAAATCCGACATCACATCAGCTCAGCTTCCCGGAAGAGACAGTGTCGCCCACCAACTTCCTCCATCCAGTCCACGCCGCAGGTACCGTGCCGCATCTACCGTAATCGCGGCACCCTCGGATCTGGATTTCCAGAAACGAGCCACCATTCCGGCGTTTGCCGGTAGCCTCCTTATGAATGATGGCTGACTTGGAACAAGTGGCTGAAGAAGCCGGGCCGAGGAACCGGGCTGTAAGTTACCACTGAGATTATCCATGAGGCTCCATTGCTGACTACGGGTTTAGTGTGATTTGTGTTTCTCTAAGAAAGTAGGTTGAAACCTCCGTCATCCGGACTCATTTTACTATCAGGCTAACTTGCTGTGTAAGATCAAATGTGATAGAGATGACCCCTGTGCCAATTGTGTAGCAGCATCTGCTCCATGTCTACGGAGACGACCAAGAAGAAGAGTCAAAAACACGGCAGAGCCAATGTCAGTTTGGTGATGAATTACAATCTTCGAGGGTTTCTACATCAGTTAGAGCCGTATCTAATCTAGTCCCATCACAGTCAACGCAGATTTCAAACCGCGGCCTATCTTCCAAATTGGCGTAGATCCCAGTCGCCTAGAGCGCCCTCAATCACTTCAAATCCTGCAACCGCTTCGGCAAGACTACAAAGAGCCCCAGAACCTACTAGGGATCTAAGCACCGAACCGCAGTCTCAGAAGACACCGGCATCTCAACATGGCAGGCAGTCAATTTCGTCCAGTAGCACTGAAAGAGGACCCGCAACTGTGCAGGCACAACATCATATTCAAACAGAGCTTCAAAGCCGAGCTGGACTGGACGAGAGCAAGCGACAGGTTTTAGAGTCAGCCCTGGCTTTCGCGACGAGCAATACCCTCCCTGCACTCGCAATTGACCCTGAAGGCTACGCGTCGGAACCCGCCGACCCCTCCGATGAAAGTCACTATCCATCAGTTGAGACCCTTCATTTCATGTTGAACAGCAAGTGCATTCCCTCACAGAAGCTGCGACAATTGCAAGGAACAATTAACTAACGAACTCCCAGGTCCCAGAAAGGAGGCTGGATTGTGTTTCATACTCGACATGGGTAGTGTAATCTCACCAAAAACGTTTGAGAAACAGGGTCTGGACTTGATCGAGAACAAAGTATCAGGTGCGACTTACCTCCACTACACAGTCAATGTCAACTTCCTGGCTTGGATCTATCTCGGGGCAACGAACTCAGAGCCCGGTACTCTCATGCATGCGCATCTGCTCAAAAGGCAAAAGCAGTATGAGAAGAACATACTTATAGCCCTGCATCGTAGTGGGGTTCTTGATCACCCAAGTATGTCGCTGTTTCAGGCACTTTTATCAGGGGTAAGCGCCAGTGAGTATCTACATAGTTACAGAAGACTGACGGCGCATAGACCATGTATATGTTGCTCTCTGGCAAGTTGGAGAAGTGCTGGCAATTGAGTACTGCTGCATGTCGTACTTGCATGGCTCTTGGCGGCCCTCAACTCATATCATCACCATCTTACAAATTTGGGTCTGAAGAAGCTCGATATGGCCTTTCTCTTTGTTATATGTTCGACAAAGCGTTGGCATTGAGTATGAACCGGACAGCATGTTTGCCTGACATGAATCTCGATACTACAGACCTACTCAGTCCTGATCCAGCAAAGCCACATACATACTTGCTTCATGTCTACTTGCGGCTAGCCGAGATTCAGAACGAAATCGTTCATGGCTCCAGAGAACGGAGTAACTCGAAGGACATGCTCTCCAGGGTTCAATGCATGCAACAAGAAATGTGGAAGATTAAAGAAACTATTCGGGAGGTGGGACAACTCTTTATTGGCTAGCACACAAGACACGAAATTGCTAACATGACGCTAGTCCCGCAATACACAGCTCCAATCTAAGGATAGCTACCTGAGAGGCGAGTGGATGGGAGTCGACTTCGCCTACCATTCCGTCATGACTTCTGTGGTGAAGCTCCATCCATACCTAGCTGAAGACGTTGGACTGCACCAACAGCTCCTTGGGTTTGCCCGAACCTCACTATCGTCTCTCAATGATATGCTATTGCATGCCAAGACTCTCACAGATATCCATAACTTCAGGGTTTCCGTTTCATGGTGAGTCGTTCCTCTGTGGCAATTGAAGCATTGCTAACACTCTCAGGCTTGTGCTTTTCTATCCGCTATACCCCTTTTTCGTGCTTTTCACTCACGCAGTCAGCGTCTCCAGCATACAGGATTATCAGCTACTAGCAAACGTCACGAATGGCCTGCGAGAATTCAGTGGACAGAACTCAGCTTTGATGGGTGTCCAAAAGCTTTTTGAGGGATTCATGGCATTGTGTAAGCTAACATTCAGAAACGACTCTCGGACTCAGACTTCAAATGTAGTACAGGAGGCAACACAGTCCACAGCAAGAGGGGCTAGCCCACCCTCGGCGCGAGGGTCTTCACAGGTACTGGAGGCATCGGAACAAAGCAGACTTGCGGTGCCCTGGTGGACAAACCCGTTCGCAACAATTGCTGAGGAGGATCCAGACAACGCATGGAGCTCTGCCAATGGCCATAGTTCGGGGGTCATTCCGGACTTCAGCTCATTGGATGAACACGATCTGTTAACAGAGTTGTACAATACGCAGCCTTCCATCGGGTGGATCGATGCACCATGGCCTTCAGCAAGTCATCCATAACTGCAACCATAATTGAGCATAATTGAGTTGAATCGATTTCACAAGGTTGAATCACAATATTAACTTTTCATGTCTGACTATTGCATCTGTAAGGAAGGCTATAGCATGGACACGAAGACATTGCTATCTCGGTTTACTTCGATTAACCGAGGCCTGGAATTAATCGAAAAACATTCCACCAGAAACATTTATGCTCGCGCCGTTGATCCAGCTAGCTCTCTCCTCGGCCAGAAACGAAACAGCGAAAGCAACATCCTCAGGCAACCCAATCCATCCATCGACTGGAGTCCGCGCATCGAAGATCTGAGTCAGAAATGCGTTGCCCATCTTCTGAAGTTCGCCAAGGAATTGCGGTGTTTTCACAATACCGGGTGACACTGCGTTGACTGTGCACCCGTAGGTTGGCGGGAGGTCCTTAGCGAGACATCTAGTGAGGGTTGCGATAGCGCCCTTGCTAGTTGCGTAGGCCGTCTGAAGGGTCTCGGGTGATGTAGCAACTTCGGACGTAATATTGATAATTCTACCGCCCCCGCCCTCAGATTTCGGAGGCAGGTAAGGCAAAGCCTCTTGTGTGACAAGAAATGCGCCCCGAACATTCGTGTTCATGGTAGTATCCCAGAGATTGACCGTGGTGTCTTCGACCTTGGCAAGCGTCGCCTTGGCAGCGTTGTTGACGATAATGTCGATTTTTCCAAACTTGGCGACGGCGGCTTTGACGAGCTTAGCAGGTCCATCTACAGTGGATATGTCTGCCTCAACAGCTATCCAAGGGGTGTTTAGGCTGTTTCCGACTTCGTTGGCGGCACCCTGCAGATGTGACCAGCCATAGTTGATCACCACCGAGGCACCTCGGGCTGATAGCTCTCTAGCTACTGCAGCTCCAATGCCTGATGAAGATCCGGTGATGAGAGCCACCTTCCCGACGAGAGCGTTGGGATTTGCGTCCCGAGGGGGGTTGATACGCTTGCGGCTCGCGATGGCTTCCATGTTGTTTCTGGACGGCGTTTTGGCGTGGACGTAGAAGACAAGCTTTCACTTAAGCAGATTGATTGAGAAATATTTTGCTAAATGTCTTTGATACTAGTCACCACACAAGATTCAAGCACTCGGTCCTTGAGGTACATATCTAAGACCACATAAACTATCGAGGACAGTCCATCCCCGATGCAGCCGCCGGCTCCGATCGTTGATCCAACAAGCATCTCTTACACGGAAAGCTTGTGTCACATAATTCCGACGGCCAAACAAAACTATGGCTCCAGCCAATCTTGAGATCCACGTATCGTCATTTCCATGGCGATGATTCAGTTGGGTGGAACCCCGCTGCAAGCTGCACGACCCCGGATTTCGGCCGGAACTCGCAGAATGATGCTTTCCGGTACCGCCTCATAGAGTCATGCCTAGGCCAAGGCAAGATCTACAATATTGATTGACCTACAATACTTAGTAAGCGGGAATGTCGTTGACATGGTGAAGTTACTTCAGCCTACTGCTGAGGGCCGTCGTTAATGGGCCCGCGGAGTCAATGTCAATGCCAAAGGTCCCGAATCAACCAGGCAGGTCATAAGTTAACTGCCACTGATCGCAGCGGACTTGAAAATCCCTGAGCTAGACTAGCTTGATATCTTTCCTTCTCGTCAATCAACATGCCAATCTCATTTGAGGACACCTGCGCTGCCGAGACGCACCCAGACGCCGACGGAGTCACGGGATTAGCCGTTTTGGCTGTTAACAGCACCGGTAAGACCATCCGATGGACTATCAACATTACAATCGAGGGGACTATTTACTCACTCCTTGTAGGAGTGCCCTTCATTGAGAAATATTACGGTAGAAGAAGCGCTATCGGATCTGACAAGATCGACAGCAATAGTGCTTTTTGGATCTACTCCATCACCAAAACCATCACAGCTATTGCAGCCCTGCAATGTGTTGAGCGCGGTGAGGTTCAACTCGATGAGCCCATTTATGATATTCTTCCCGAGTTAAAGGACTTCGGTGTGCTTGGCCACGACCAGACAGGCAACATTGTTCTCACACCCCACAAAGAGGAGATTACCCTCCGTCATTTGCTATCTCACACCAGCGGAGTAGGTGTGGATCTGTTTGATCCGCGCCTTCAAGCATGGCGGATGTCACGCGATGAGCACCCTCAAGCCTTTTCGGGAGACTCGAAGAAAGCTTACACCATCCCCCTCCTGTTTGAGCCTGGCCAAGGATGGGCCTATGGAGGCGGTATCGAGTGGGCCGGTATTGCTGTTGAGAGACTGACCAAGTTGAAGCTTGGAGAGTATATGAAGAAGAATATCTTTAATCCTCTGGGAATGACTAGCACAACATTCCATCCGGACAAGAACCCGGATATTCAGAAGCATCTTGTTGAGACCAGCACGAGGATTTCAGATGGGACACTCGTGCCGATGACGGGGCCATACCCCGGGGTGACTGAGGATGACAGTGGCGCCATGGGGCTAGTCTCAACGGTTCCAGACATCGCAAAACTCACAGCCGATCTCCTCAAAGAGACGCCGAGCTTACTTGGGCCAGAATACCTGGCGGAGTTATTCTCGTCCCAGTTCAGCCCCGATTCACCGGCAGCTAAGATGCTTTCATACGGAGCGGTAAGTCTCTCAGGGCTCTGATTGAAGCAATTTGAATGCTGATGATTGAAATGCAGATGATGTATGGCCGCCTGACCAGGGAACCATACGATCCCGAGAAGGTGGGGCAGGCTCCAGGAGCTTACTTTGTCAAGAAAGATACGCAAGGTCTGCCCGGTAGAACTCTCGTGATGACAGGTATTCCAAATCTGGTGTGGTTTGTCAATCGTAACAAGGGAGTCGGCGGGCTTTACGCCAGTGCCATCATGCCCCCCGACGATGCGAAGAGCACCGAATTGATTGCTGGTTTCTTGAGGGAGGTCTTCAACAAGGACTGAGCAGTCGCATGCGGCTTAGTTCGTCTAGTAACTGAACACACGATGGTTAATTTCAACCGCAATCATACTGCCTAGACCTCTTGACAAAGATTGGCTTCATCCCAGATCCTATTCATTGACTGAGAAATGATTGACAATGGATGTCCGGTTTCCCACCCTCTGCGCCGGCGCCTGGACCCCACGCTTCGGCCCCGAGCGTCCACACTTTTCTTTGATCGGGGTCGGACGCCAACTTGAAAGCTGCCAATGCCCCGAGCGTAGGATGGATGATCGGACATTGCTGACTGCACGTCCGTACTTCAGATGGTATCCCAGGCTAGATCTGGTTTTGAAAGTTGACAGCTCCCTTGGTTGATCGCGGAGTGTCTTTCTCGGTCGTGACATTGAATTAACCCCATATCTGGCAGTCAAAGTTTATGTTGGGCGTTTGCGGCTGGAGATCCGAAAGGGTCCCCACGTCGCGGGTTCCACGGCTTCCATGAATGTTCAAAAGCCAAGCCTCCCTTCCGTACACACCTGCATATCTGTACATCTGTATGGCCTTGGGCTGCATTCGTGAAACAGTGCTCACCAACTTTGTAGGTGCGAGCGACCAAAAACATCAGATGATGACAACATATATACCGAGAGGTCTTGTGAGAAGGATGAAGGTTTTTTGGACTGATATCAGTCGCTTACTCGGCTGCTCTCACACTGGTCCTCGCTGCGAGTGCATGACACGATGTTCAGCTTCTGGGTCTCGGTAGCCCTCTGGGCAGGCCTGTCTTCGCAGGTTCCGTTGCTGGAAACGAGGCAAAACGACAAAGCTTCCAGGCCCCTTCAATTCAGCAGTGATGGAAACTTCAAGATTGCCATCTTTGAGGATCTCCACTTTGGAGAGAGTGAGCTCATACTGGTCATTGAGAGGCAAAAAAGAATTTGCAATCGCTGACATTCTGCAGATGCCTGGTCATTCGGCCCAGCCCAGGACAAGAAGACCGTGAAAGTCATGAACGATGTTCTAGACAAGGCCAAACCGGACTTTGTTGTTTTGAATGGCGATCTTATCACTGGCGAGAACGCATTTCTCGAGAATGCCTCATTTGTTCTCGACCAGATCGTCCAGCCTATGCTCGATCGCAATCTTACTTGGAGCAGTACATATGGCAATCACGACTATCAGTTCAATCTAAGTGGTAGTGACATTCTCGCCCGCGAGGGAAAATGGGTCAACTCCAGGACTCAGAAGATGGTCTCGGGCGATGTCGGCGTCTCCAACTACTACCTCCCAGTGTACGCGTCGGATTGCACCAAGGACAGCTGCGCTCCAGAGCTTCTCCTTTGGTTTTTCGATAGCAGGGGTGGCTTCAAGTATCTCCAAAAGGATTCGTCTGGCAACCAAGTCGGTAACCCAAACTGGGTGGATGAGAGCGTCGTCTCGTGGTTCAAGTCTACCAATTCCGATCTGGTCAACAAGCACAAGAAGAACATAACCTCACTTGCGTTCGTGCATATCCCACCAGATGCCTCACGCGTCGTACAGGCGAAAGGCATTGACCCGGCCAAGGAGCCCGGCATCAACCAAGATAACCCCCTCTCTCGGCAGTCCGAAGGATGGTGCAGCGATGGCACCAACAAGGACACGTGCAGCTACGGCGGGCAAGATAAAGCCTTCATGCAAGCCGTTACTGCGACTCCGGGTATGCTTGCAGTCTTCAGCGGCCATGACCATGGGAATAGCTGGTGCTACAAGTGGAGCGGCGCTGTCAACGGGCTAAGCGTTGAGGGCACCGGTGTAAATCTGTGCTTCGGCCAACGCTCGGGTTATGGAGGATACGGAAACTGGATTCGAGGGTCGAGACAACTGTCTTTGACGCGGGACAATCTGTCAAAGGGTATTGTGGGCACCTCAATACGACTGGAGTCCGGCGATGTGGTCGGCTCTGTTACGCTAAACTCAACCTACGGGCAAGATCAGTACCCTGTTACCCCGGATCAACGGACATAAGTCGTCAGCTTTTCCACGACCTGTACTGGAGGACGAATTGAACTTGAAAGATGGCCGGACGTATTCTCAATTGTTTTCATGAATACCGTGTCCAGATATTTTGATTTTGATGCACATATAACAGCTTAATTCAATCCCAACCTAGGATTCTCGACCAAGTCAAAAGATCAATTGACACTAGACATCTATCGCGTTCAGATTTAGACACGAAGACTTCTGGTCATTGACAAAGTTAGATCCTACTGTTATTGATACGGAACCGACAAAAATATGACCATTGACCTGCAGGCTGCTTTAGGTACATGCCTCAATAAATAGGTTTCTATCGCGTGCTTTAGGTTGCATCCATGGACTTTTAAGCCACCATTCTAGCTTCCCAAAAGCCCAGCCTCAACGACAAGTAAAGTTATTTCACTCGTCCTGGGTAGCCTCTTCAGTCACATCAGGTTTCGGCGGACCGTGCGGGTCACCCTTAGACGGCGGAGCAGGACCGTTGGGTCGCTTCACAAGTCCCAGATCTCGCTTAGGGGGAGTTGATGGATCGCCCTTGGAAGGTAGCGCTGGCCCATTAGGCCGCTTGACAAGCCCGACCAAGGACCGCTTCGGGGGTCCGTGTGGATCTCCCTTCGAGGGCGGTGCTGGCCCATTGGGGCGGCTGACGACCTCGATGTCTCTCTTCTCCTTGTTTTCGGCCGATTGCGAAACTCCAGATCGAGTCGCGTCGGAGTTGCCCAGGCTTCGGGATTCGACGGTTACCTCATTGCCGGAACTGACCCGGAGTTAGTCAAGCCAAACATTGACGTAGTTGTGATATGAACTTACCGCATCTGAGGAACGCCGTATACCCCGCTGAGACTCAACGCCATGAAGGTGGCGACCTGGAGGAGCTTCATTGTTGTGCTGATCGGGCGATGCAATGCCTTGATTTTTTGCGTAGGGGTCTTAAAAGAGAGAACTGGGACAAGTGGCAGGAAATGCGTGTTTAAATAGTTTGGCATAAGTCGCAATTTTGTACTTGGATGGAGTGGACGGCTGGTCTTAGAAGTAGCCGGTTAAGCTTTATTAATTTGCAAGGTTGAGAACGATCCCTACATAAAATAGGACGCATATTTGCTCCGAAGCCTGGGGATGGTAGTTCCCCAATTGATGTTGATATTTGGTATTCCCACCAGAAAGAACACAACTATTTATTTTGTGGAGTCTATTCATTGAGATATAACAACTTAACTCAGCCTTCTACAGAAACAACACACGATGTTGTTCCAACTCACCACTCGAGCATTCGTTGCCAGATGTTCTGGGCCCAACACCAATACGACTTCTTAGAGTTCAGACCCAATACTATTCCAGTCTACGACGTGACATACAATATCAGACCCCTAAATAATTGCGAGATTTTTCTACACACGGTCTACACACGGAAAACGACGGCAAGTTGTGCGAATATTGACGTTTGTTGGCCGTGCTGGGTTGAATCCAGAATTGGGGCCGGCTGTGTTTGTGGAGACCGGAGCTTAACTGCACCACGGGACACGACAAGAGGCCGAATGGATTGAATGACGCAAGCAGCAGCACAAAGAGGAAATTTAGGGCGGGACTTACCATAATGGTGTCTCGTAGATATTCCCGCAACTCTGGTTGTTGGGTCTTGCTTGCTCCAAACTCCAGCTAACTTCAGTCATCCCGTCACCGAATTTCCTTCCCTCCGGCACCGAAGATCTACCCGATTGGCCGCGACGGTGATTGAGACGAACCCGGCTTTACCGAATGATACGCCAGAAAATCGACAGGAAAGCTTTCTTTTGAAGACGTTCTTTGGTCATCCGTGCGGCTGAGGGCAAATTCGGCCATTGTGATTGAACGAGGTGTATCGTTCATCTGTAGTGCTTCCAGGCAACGATGTTCCGCAAGTGGTTGCTTCCATGACAGCGAGATCAAGTGCACGAATTTGACAACAATTTCTGGAGCTACGAGATACTCAAATGTAAGGAAACCTTTGCGTCATACACGACCAATTCGATTCGACGAAGGGGAACCGTTTAGGTGGCTCGCACTCAATGAATACCTAGCTTTCAAGCCAACGAGAGTGATTACCTTTGTGGTGACAAAGCTTTTGAAATTTAACTCCAGCAGATGGATCGAAGAATGCGGCGCATCTGCTTTCATTTGACGAAAGTGGCGCGGAGGCAGATGGCTGTGAACCCGGCCACGGCCACGAGGTCTGGGAACCGGCAGATCGGCACAGCCAAACGGCAGGAGCTGCGCACTCTCAACTTGCAGGATTTTGGTGTTGTCCGCGCGGCTAATACCATGGAATTGTCAGCGTCAGCAACCAAAGGTTTTGAGCTACTCGGGATGTTAGACACTAAGGTAGGGCGTCATCTGCGACAAGCGCTCTTAATTCCTACCACCTCGACTAGCAGCCAATCACGATTCAACCTTCCCGACGTTATGTCCGGTACGCAGCTGCCTTCGGATATTCAGATCACGGCTATGCGCGATGGAGATATCACGAACAAAGGAAGTATCTGTCCCGCCGTGTCCATGATGCGGTAACAGGATATAAGAAGACTGGGGGTACCATCTGGGGGGTTTTGTAAAACAAGAAGAACAAGACATCAACAGCCACCAGAACTACTTTTCGGCAAGATCCAGTAGCTTCTCGGACAATAGCTTACATCTTTCAATTATTTGATCACAATCGACCATTCCAACATGCGAGTCTCCGCATACTTCCCGGCCTGTCTTCTAGGGGTCTTACTTGATGCTGCCAACGCATCTCCAACACCAAGCGACGGCATGGTGGTAAAGACAACTTCAGGTCAAATCACGGGCTTCATCAACTCAACACATCCCAACGTTCGCCAGTTCTTAGGCATTCGTTATGGGAAACCGGCGACACACGAGTTGCGCTTTTCTCCACCTCGGCGATATACAAGCAACGCACCCTTCAACGCCACCAAGACGCCTGATGCGTGCCCTCAGTTTGTGAGCACTTTGCATAACGTCATCAATGATGCGGTCACCGAATACAACAACTTCGCCCAGATCAGCGAAGACTGTCTCTCTCTCTCGGTTTGGGCCCCGAAAAACATCAACAAAGACGACAAAGTGCCGGTCTTCACATGGATTCATGGCGGCGGACTGCAGACTGGTTCTTCGTCTGTGCCTCTGCAGCAACCTCCGGCATGGATCCAGCGTAGCAAGAGTCACATTGTTGTGGCAGTGCAGTATCGTCTGATCATCTTTGGCTTCCCCAATGCCGCTGGCCTCAAGCAGTCCAACTTAGGTCTCATGGACCAGCGCATGGCCATTGAGTGGGTCAGGGACAACATTGAAGCATTTGGTGGTGACCTGAACAAGTTGGTTCTATGGGGCCAGTCCTCTGGTGCTGCATCTACGGATGCGCAGAACTTTGCGTTCCCTAATGATCCTTTCGTTAAGGGGTTTATCCAAGACAGCGGCAATGTCTTGATTCCACCTTCACTGGTCTTATCACACTCGATCCCATGCACAGCAACTTCTCATTTGTGGCGAAAGAACTCGGTTGCCCTCCGGTCCCGGATGCTGAGCTGGTTTGCATGCGTTCCCAGCCAACTGAGCGCATCGTCAACATTCTCACGAACTACACCGATACCATGGCAACGCCACCTCTGAACTTCATCGCAACTCCGGACGAGAAGTGGATGTTTTCCAACTATACAGATCGCTATGCCAAGGGCCTCTTCAGTGATCGTCCCGCGATCTTCGGCTCCAATCTGCGCGAAGGAAATATCATGGTCCCGTTCTCAAAGGACCCAGTGCACATGGGCGTCAACGATACCATGTCCGAGATATTGACGCTCGCCCTTTTCCAATGCCCAGCTGCACACTCCGCCGGGATGCGAGAAGCCGCGAAGCGAAAGACGTACCGATACCTGTACAGCGGCAACTTTACTGATATCAGTCCGTGCTTCTGGGCCGGCGCCTATCACATGACTGAACTGCCTCAGATCTTTGGTACGAGGGGAGATTTCAAAGCTGCTGCTTCAGATTATGAAGTCCAGACAAGTGAAGCGATGCAGGGCTTGTGGTTGGGGTTCGCACAGAATCTGGATGCTCCAGAGAAGGCTGGTTGGCAAGAGGCCTACAGTGGAAAGATGATCATGTTCGGAGCGCCTTGAGGTCCTGGTGTTCAGGTGATTGATGAGATGGTAGTCGATGATGCGTGCAAGGCGAACGGGATGTGAGTTGTTATGTCATGCTCTGACCGGGAGGGAGGTGTGACTTGGCTGTTCTTCCCGGGCGCATCCATAAAATAGATAGGCCGGGCTTTTGGGATTGACCACATAGATATAACAGGTTTCACTGGTTTTAATAGACTACTTTGCGTTTCACCTGCTTAGAAAGTAACTTCACTATCACGAGTAGAAGTTTCCATTCTTCCTCAGTGTGGGTCCAAGCCGGCTCATATCCCGTACAGTGCCCGCATGCGCCCGGATGTGGCCTCGGACTAAAAAAGGATCAACCCTAAGACGCTCTTATCCACAAAAGGGAAAAGATTTTGACCAGCATGGGGGTCGAACCCACAATCTCCTGATTCCACGATACATCGTAGTCAGACGCCTTGCCATTGGGCCAACCGGCCAGAAAATTCAGAACACCCGAGGTGCCCGTCTGTTGAGAATTGATGGAACTCTGCAGCTCATATTCTCCAAGAGAAGCCTGGATTTGCGAAGTCCCATGTTGTCGTCCCCAGCCCTTCTCCAACTGCGGTTCATCTGAAGCATTTGTGTATCTAAGAAAACAGAAGGACAACCCAGAAAGCAATTGTCTTCCTTACGAACAAAACTTCCAAGCCTTTCCGCAAGCGCCCAATGCCAAGGGTGAACATTTGAGCATCACACATAGCACGATGATGCAACACAGCGGGCTTAATTGAGCCAACAGCAGCACACAACCCTTGCTTTTACATGCATGGCAGCGGCGCAGAATACTGGACGCCTTTTCCATTTACCCGATCATCCGTCCGCAAATTTCCACACTTTCTCAAAGCCTCCCCGCACTGATGCTCCTCAAATCGACGACACCGCCCAATGCGACCGTGTGAATCCACCTATTTGGGATCGCGGCCGAGAGCCGATCAATTGTGACAATGGATTTCTCTGATGGTGACCAAGAAATGATGGTATCTTTCTGATCGTTCCTCTATGCTCTGAATCGTAAACATGACAGGTCAGCATAATGACGTACATGCTCAGGAGCGCGACACGGATTTCGATGAGGCCGCATCCGATGTTGACTCGACTTTCAGCGAGGTGCGACGTAGATGGGCTCCTCGTCCAAACCTTTCGTTGTCGTTGCTAATTTTTCTCAGGCGGCACCTTCGCTGATATCGTTGCGCTCTAGCATTTTTGACTACGAGTTTGAAAATGGGCGGACGTACCATTCCATGAGCCGAGGCAGTATGTCAATGGACGATAACGCGACCAATCGATTCACTGACGAAAGTTAGAATACGCTTACCCAAACGACGATGTATCTTATTTTTGATTTCAATGTATTCCCCAGTTCGACGCGTTCTAACGAGAACATCTGCTAGCTTGAAGTTGAGCGGCTGAGTGAGCATAACATTCCCTTTTTTCTTCATGTGTCGAGGCAGATATCTGATTGCATACAGAACTGCAGCATCACATATGGCTGATAACATTGGACGGAGAGCTAGCTTGCAGTCCTGAAAAGCATAAGGCGAAGAGGGTGATGGACATGGGAACAGGCACCGGTGTGTGGGCCATTGATTTCGGTGAGTTCGATCTACAAATTGCTGGCACGAGGTGAGTGACCATAACTAACAATATCTGAAGCCGATGCATACCCTGGGTCTGAGGTAAGTGATCTTAGTATCACGCTTCTCACATGGCATGACCTTCACCACTAATAATCATAAGGTCATCGGTGTTGACCTAAGTGCAATTCAACCAGAATAGTAGGTCACGGATGTACCAACTTCTCAAACCGCAGGTAAACTGATTGCAATGAGCCAAGTCTGCCATCTAATTGCAGCTTTGAGATCGATGATCTAGAAAAAGACTGGAAGTGGAAAAGACCGTTCGAATTCATATTCTGCCGAGCCATGGCGGGAAGCTTTTTTGACTTTCCATCCATCATCCGGAAGGCGTTTGAGTAAGGCGTGGCATATTGTAATTAGTCAACACGCTTGAAAGAGACTGACATAAAAGTAGCAACCTAAGTCCAGGAGGCTGGTTTGAAATGCAAGACCTCGAACTTCCCATGTCTTGCACCGACGGTACCATTACGACGGACTCCGCTCTTTGGCGGTGGCATGCTGCTGTTGTTGAAGCCGCCAGAGCCATAGGCCGGCCGCTCGACTATGCCCCAAAATGCATTCCTGACCTTCAACGGGCAGGCTTTGTAGACATACGACGCCGAACAGCCCGATGGCCATTCAACACGTGGCCACAGCATCCGAAGCTAAAGGAGATCGGTCGCTGGCATTGCGCGAATCTCGAAATGGGACTCGAAGGGTTTTCGATGGCTCTCTTGACACGGGTAAAAGGCTGGGATCCAGCCGAGGTATCGGTGCTTTGTGATGAAGCCAAGAAGGAGGTCAGGAACATGAACATGCATGGCTATTGGAACATGTATGTGCCCTTTCACCAGTCTATGGCGCAAGCGGTATAGACGAATCAACTAACTAGCGAAGACACATAATTTGTGCACAAAGGCCCTGTTGAGTGGCATTGGCATAGACATATACTCCTTATTCTACCAGTCTTGATCAGAAGTCTCCGAGTCGGACTCATCCAACTCGCGTTTTCTGTTCCGGACATCTTTAAATTCCTCCACCATTCTCTTGTTGCTTGCCTTCAACAAGCTTAGCGACACGTCATTCTTCCAACCGTCGATCTCTTCCGGGACGTAAAGCACCGAATGAGCCGATTCATGAATTGAATCTGATGGCAGAGGGTCTAGGACAAGAATTTTGATCGCCAAATGAGGGAAGTCCTTCGTGGTTTGAGACAGCTTTTCGATGACCTTGTCAGCTTCAATTCTATCCCCCAACAATCGCGACCAAGAATCAAGGATGATAAAGACGACATCATCATCCTCGAGAAGGTCAAGAAGTCCACGGAACAGTTTAACCGCATACCTTGGCTTCTGGGTGGATTTCTTCATCAATCGCTTGTTCTCTTGTTGCAATAGAGACAGATCGACATCTGGTCTCTTTTGCGAAAAGTGCTTCAACAGCTGACCATTCAGACTATTGAGAGCAGCCAAGGGTCCGCACAGCACTCTGTCGAACTTCTCATTCGTTCGAATCCCACAGAAGAAAGACAACACTGGAAACTCAGTTGATCTTTGAAGTGTTTCCGTTAGAAGAGCCGCCGTGAAGGATAATGGGTGATGTAATCCATCTGGTGCATTTTCGGCTCTGACGCCGAGGATACTTGATTCATCGAGACGTAGCCAGTTGGAAACCTCCGGTGTAGCCAGGATCCATTGGCTTTTCTCTCTATCTTCGAGAGTTAACCGGCCGAGGCCAGCGCGCATGCACTCTATAACATGTTTCTCTGGACTAGGATCGAAGTCTTGCAGAGATTCATACCATTCTTCGACAATCTTGTTGTTCTGCTCCGGAATTCTGACTTCGAGATCACCTTGTCGCCTTTTTGGAAGCGGTTCTTTCACTAGTTGCATAGTCAGTGACATCGCTCATCAGTGTCAAGGAACGGCATGGACTTACGCCCTCCATTGACGGGGTTGAAATGGGGGTTGCTTGCGTAGAATCGGTGCAGGGCATTGCAAACGTGTTCTTCGATGGTCTCCTTGGTAACAGCTTTAACGTTTCCTTCGTTCAAGTCCTGAGATAGCCCTGTTCAACATTTTAGTCCCTTCAGCACAGTGACCAACGGTCTGAGAGAAATGGTCTGGTCGGGAGGCGTTCTCTCTCACCTTTGACGACCTTCTCAATGATGCTCAGTTTGGCGCCGTTTGCATTGATCATCTCGTGCATACGGCCCATTCGGAATTGGGCGCAGATGTCCAACTCCATCTGAAAATTCGAAATGCTGTCATCCAGTGAAGAGAGAGCCCCGGTAACTTGGTCCTCTGATCCGAACTTCAGCTTTGATTTGAACTTGGCTGATGGCATATCAGTACTCTCAACCTGGTGAAGCAAACGAACTACTTGACTAACCTGCCCGGTCCATCGTCATATCATCAATGATTCTCTGCAAAACGCCAAAGATGGCCGCCAAGACTCCGTCCGCCTTTTCGTGTAGGCGTTTTGACCAGACATGAACATCTGATAGCCTTTGTACCCGGTCTAGTTTCTTCGGTATGTCTGCCATGGCGCTCTCAACTGCCTCCCGCCGCTTCTCATGCTCGCTTGCAATCTAAGTAATCCGAGTAATTAGTCGATACCTTCAGAGAAGATCTTCCGTGCTGCCATTTGGTCATACCGCAAGGATGGTCATAACACCACCTGATATCAGCGATCCGTACACGTCGCTAGGGATGATTGACATGATCGCACCAAGAGCTGTGTCTGTCTTGCTGGCGCTTTTGAAACACTTTCTTGCGAAGTCTTTACAAGCTTTCCAGTTTCCCGTGCCATCTCTTTGCTCAACAGCTGCCCTGGCAAGACTAAAGATGTAATCCAGATCACAAGTCGCTGCTTTTTCGACACCCAGTCTTTTGAATGCTTTTCTTGATTCAACACTTCGGGCGAAATCCTTCAGCATTGTTTCGAATGTCTCTTTTTCCTTTCTTGAGCTCTCGAAGCAGGTTTCCAGGCTACTAACATCCCATCAGCTATAGTGGACCTCGTGTCAATGATTTCGGCGAGACACACTCTGGAGCTTTGTTTCTTGGAACGAACGCGTCCAACTCGTCCACGAATATCAACTCATCAGTTGTCTTCGAGGTTGAGTCTCCATCAAAAGCTCTGTATGCGAAACGAGCTGCGCTATTCTTTGTTGTTAACCAGTTACCAGAAGTCTCCGCTGCCGACCCGCCCAGAGACGGGTGTTCTTCACTCGTGCCGAGAGAGGACATTGATGATGATGATAACAGACGAAATGAAGTCTTATTGGAGTCAGCAATGAATTACTTGAGAGACTTGAAGCTCTTCGGTCTTTGGGAGCTTTAGAACGAGACAAGCGGCTCTGGCGCGGCTTCTTCGAGCACAGCTTAGGAGGACCACGATCTCCGACAGCAATATCAAAACTTACATCAAATGTAGCCACTTTAGGCAGCATGATTTTGTTCTTGTGGGTATCCACAGGTGCCTAAAGTTCTTGCGCCATATCAAATGAAATATTGAAGAGACAGATCCTTTGACAGGGGGCTTGGAAGCGAAGCTGACGCGACCCACATGGATTGCACTTGGGCGTAGGCTTTGAGAGAGGGGTCAGCCAATTGAAACTTGACATTTCATGCATGAGATGCATGTCATACAAAAGGTCTTTTTCTCGCAGTTTTCAAACAATAGTTTTGCGCAGACTTTGCCGAATGAAGGCCAGGCGCGCGACCCAAGCAGCTCGTGCGGGCGCTTATGCAAATAGTAGCACTGGGTCAGACTTTGAGCCGCGCTCAGCCACCAGTTTTCTCGCAAGCTGATGTTCTTTCTCGTGTGTTTTTCTTCCTGGTGTTTTTCTCTAGTTCAGTTCAAATTGCGTCGTCGAATGCCCAAAAGTCACCTCCCGAGATGGCCATGCTTGTTACTGCGAGCTTGCCAGTCCCGAGCGCCGTCGTGGACTTAACCATGGTAACGACAAACACCGATAGCCAGCCCAGCCAACATGATGCCGGGTCACACACCGAGGCTACAGTCGCCAATTCTGATGATACCTCCACACAGGGCAATGACAGCGAGAATGGCAAGCTTGACGGCAGCTCTCCATTGACCGATGCCCCGTCCTCTGAAAGTACCACTTCGAAAGAGGACAAGACGGTTGGAGTAGACGATCTGGCCGAGGACGCTGTTGAGGAAACAGAGGCTGTCCCGGATTGGCATGATGATAGGCCCTATCTATACGAACGATACATGGAGACAATAACGCAGTTGTCTAAGGGCGATCCTGGTCAGAATTTAGTCAGTGGTGTCATTGACTACATGCGTGTGGTTAATGAACGTCTTCGGCTTATCGAGGAGAAATTGCAAAGCAACATCCCCGACGAGCCAACGCCAGAGGAAGAACCTGCTGTTGACGGCAATGATGTTCTTTCCGAAGCGAACACAGCGGACTTTGACATCAACAACGTCCTACTGGAGGCAAATCTCTTCGAGGCAGAAGAGGGTGACTTCACTCCTGACGGCTTCTTTTTAGACAAGACACAGTGGTCCGGGGCATTTGCATCAACAATCGGCCCTTCTGAGATTCTGAGAGCTATGTACAGCAAGGCTTCTGACGCGGCTGTCGACAAAACCAACCGAGATTCTTCTGAGATTGACATCATCTATATCAGCATCTGGTCGGGCCCTATTGCATCCTTCTTCAGGGATGTCCTCCTCCTTGATTGCGGCTCAGGGAATTCCATTCAACTCACAAAGCCATTTCGACCGCTGATCAGCAATATCAACTCTCTTAGAGAGCATCTCAGCAAGCTGGAAATTGCTTATGCGTACGAGTCTCATCTGTTCAATCTGTCGACTGTGTCAGCTAATCATGCCAAGTAGCTCCCAATCTAATAACCACGGCACTGGAAACATTGATGATTTAGTGGCCAGCGCACAAACATCAGCGGAATCGCCCTCAAACACTGATTGCACCATTTCTGTTGATTCAACAGGGTCTGTGGAGTCAGACTCGTCGTATACTGATGCAACCAGTGCCGAGCAACTCGGAAAGACCTACATTCGACCATCGGCGCTTCCGCACTTCAGAGTCGTTCTCCAGTTTGTTGATCGTTATCTGAGCAGCTCCCTGGGGCTGTATGAAAGACTAAAGTCTGGTCAAGAGGATAAGGTGGCCTTTGAAAACCTTTGGATGCTCTATGACGCGGGTGCTCTTATTTATTGCCCCTATAGAAGCAGCGATGGATCGTTCACCACTTTTGACAATCTTAGTGAGCGAAGTGGTGCTGCTAGTTACGTGGATGGCGAGCTCACAGAGTTGCGTCCGAGGTACTCCCCACAGGCATACTGTGTGCTCTCTGTGAGGGGTGGTATTCCGTTGAGAAAGGATCTTGTACCAGGCTACGACGAGGAAGATGATCTTGACAACGACCTTTTTCACGGCTTCGATACCCTCCGACTGGGAAAGCTACGCCTCTTCCGACACGGGGAGTTTGGAACGTTTCGTAAGGACCCATATGCACAACAACTCACAGCACGACAAGATCTTGGAGGTGTCCCTAAGAAGCGAAGGTCGCAAACAACTTCCTCGCTGATTATAGCTTGCTTCTGTATTGACTATGACGGCGACCAATTTGGTGCACAGCGAGAATTCTTTGAAATCAAGCCTTATGATGGTCTCAAGGACATTCGGGGTATTGAGGTTTATCCAGCTCACTACATAGGCGAAAGAGAAAGCGACCGTTTACTGGCGAGAGGCAGGAAGTTTCTTGACCTTATGGAAAGTTCCCATATGGCTTACGAGGGGACAACTGCTGGTCACTTGCGAGAAACAGTGAGATACTTCCCGTCAATTCAAGGCTCTCGCCTCAAACGTCTTACACCTTTTGCAGATCAATAGCGAGGTCATCGTGGACTTCAAGATGGCGTACGAGCAAGATCAGAACTTAGCGGACGAATCATACACCAGACCAATCTTTTCGACTGGAAGCAAAAATGACTGGCCGAGATCCAGTGTCAAAGGAGGAGGCGAAACTCATGACTGGCACAACATCGATAACACTGTAGGCCACGCGTGTGCGTGGAGGTCGTCCCAAAACGCCACATATTACAGGCATCAAGACGCGCAGAGTTCGAAGGTTTTGCGAAAGCTCAGTTTTATATTTGAGAGTCACACCAAGCCAGAAATGCAGAACAAACAGGCTCGACGGGAACTCAGATCCTACCTCGAGGAGAATAATCTCATGAACCTGTTCCCAGGAGTGGTTCCAGGATACGCTTTGCGCAGTCGTAAATGGGGTGTGTAGAAGCCAGAGTCTGGACCTGTCCCTTCGGACTACGTATCGACAAAACTCTACGACTAACCAAATCTCAGTGCTTCTGGACTTGGACGTACTTCAATACGTCCAACATAGCGATGATTGGGGAAATCTAGTTCTCCCGAGAGGCCACAGAGACATGGTTCAGGCTATGGTTGAATCTTACACTAGGCGCCCGGATGACTCTTTTCTTTCACATGACCAGGTCACTGAGAGAATCGACATGGATCTTGTTAGGGGAAAGGGCAAGTAACCAACTCTTACCACCACCGCCGCTTGCATTGACTCATAGTTTCGCAGGAAAGGGCTGCATTATTCTCCTTCACGGTGCGCCAGGAGTCGGAAAAACTTCGACCGCCGGTATGTTTCATCTACTCACAGTCTCACAGATGAATATATCATCATGATCCCCCTTACTAATGGATGTGTTTGACTTGCAGAATGCGTGGCTGCATACACAAAGCGTCCGCTTTACCCAATCACATGTGGTAAGTTAGCCTAGGACTACCCGCCGTCTGTGAGATGACTACATTTCCTGACCGACTTGTTTGCCAAAACTATAGGTGACATTGGGCATGTTCCGGAGACTGTTGAAAAGAATCTTGAAAGGCATTTCAAACTAGCCCATCGATGGGCATGTGTCCTGCTGCTTGATGAAGCAGACGTCTTCCTTGCCAAACGGACGGTAAGATACTGAAAGTCATACGTGATCATGACGATGAATAACTAAGACTTGTAGAAATCCGACGTGAAACGAAACGGGCTCGTATCTGGTTGGTTGAATCCCGCGCAGCTGCCGTCGTTTTTGTTGGCACATCTTCTAATCATGCCCGCCTAGTCTTCCTCCGAATCCTGGAGTACTACCCAGGCATCTTGTTTCTTACCACTAATAGGGTCGGCGCAATCGATGATGCATTCCGTTCAACACTTCATCTTACGTTGTATTATCCCAAACTCGTGGAGAAGCAAAGCACCAAAATCTGGAAGAACAACATTAGGAAGCTGGAGCAAGTCAACGAGCTGCGGGTCAAAAAAGGACAACAGCCGATCAAATACGACAAGGACGAGATCGTCAAGTGGGCCAAGGTCAACTGGGAGAGTCTTCAGTGGAACGGCCGTCAGATCCGCAACGCATTCCAAACTGCCATCGCATTGGCAGAGTTCAAAGCCCAGTCGAAATATAAGGCGCGACGAACCGGCAAGGATTCGTCTTCGCCTACTCCTGGAAGCCCAAAGCGACCTGTCCTAAGCCAAGACACCTTCATGCTCATCGCAGAGGCTTCGACTCAGTTCAACGACTACCTTTTGCAGACACACGGCCAAGACGAAGACACGACGGCGTCGAGAGACCAGATTCGACCAGCCACTTTCAAAGAGAACAAGACTCGAATTAAGAGAGTGCAGGAGTCTTCTGCCTCGAATACCGACTCGGACTCTACTTCCTCTTCAGGTGACTCTAGTCGTGATTCTGATTCATCAGCGTCAGAATCCGGGCTCGATCAGGACGCATCTGATAATTCTGAGATCTCGGAACCTGAATCAGAGGTAGAGAAGAAGCGTAAGAAGTCGAAAAGAAGTAAGGAAAAGGTTGATAAGACGGCCATCAGAGGCAAGAGGCCCTCAGAAAGGCGAAAGGAAACGAAAAGGAAGGAGAAGAGAAAGTCCGAGAACTGAATCAACGCACTTGACTGTCTCGCCCCTACCGAGGTTTCCACATTATTGAAGAGATAGACGATGATATCAGCACGGAGTCAGGGACGATGGAAACGGTGTTCGGAGAGAGGTGGTAGTTGGGGCGGGTGCTTGTGGAATGGGATCGGTGATGTATCAAAGAAAATATACAAATAAGTTTGTCACATAAGCGGACCAGAAAATGGTGTTCCTTACTTTGACAAGGTATCTCTTCAGCTGTTATGTCAAGCCTTCGCGTCGTTGCCTATATCAAGTTGCTATCATACATGAGGTGATCATGCGTCGATTGAGCCTGCTTGAGCGGTACATGCCTGAAAAGAAACCGCCCGCAAAAAGCAGTCAAGATCAAAGTGTACCAGACTGTGCCACCACTCCTCACATGTTGCGACTTGGCTCTTGTTTCCGAGGCTTTTCCCCGTCTGACATTCGTGTCAACAGGTGTGGTAAGATATCCTCAGACTGGCAAGTTGTTCGGGGCAGTGTGCCAAAGGATGGTGGTCTCCTTTCCACGTCGCATGTCTTAAGTATGCGCAGTTGACCGAAGTCTCGGTTAGGCAGTCTGCCTCGGGCGCATTGCTGGGCATGCTTCGCCATCCATTTCTCATTGGTCCACCGGGGCTGTGCTGATTTTGTGTTACCACCTACACCGCATCTTTCACCTACTCACCGCGAATGATCAGGCTAGGGCTGAAAGCAGGAAATGAGGCACACTTTTCATTTGGCCCCCTTTTTCCCATTTTCACTTGCAAAATCAGGCTGAATTTTTCTACTTTGGTCGGCAAGGCTCTGGAGTTGGTTGCTCAGCCAGGGGCTTGAAGGATTCATTTTCATTTGCGGGAGCCTGGAGGCCTGCATGGGTGCGGCTGCGACGAGGTCCTTATCTCTTAAGAAATCAGATGCGGCCTTCCCTGGCTCCATCAAAATTCCTGCAGCCGTCCTGTCCCATCTCGAATCATCTCCTTCCTTTCCTCATTGGCATCCATTCATTCAAAGATGGCCACAGTCAGGTACAACCATCCAGTTTCGAGCGGAGATCTGATACCACGAATCGACGCACCTGAGTAAGTATCATATCCAGCACTTCGGTCATTAAGAGTCCAACATGACTTTCTTTCCCTTCGCTCCTTCATTTGTTTTATTTATGACTTCATTTTACTCACGTTCCGCAGAAGTAACTCAAGACATGAACCAACAAAAGTCGCCAAAAACAGGTTACCAGCAAAGATGCCGGCACTGTCAAGAACACACTCATTTCCAGGTAGTCGGCGAACTCATAGTTCTGTAGACTTGACAGCAGAAAGGAGTGAACTTGGTTCAGGATTGTTTTATGGTCAGAACAGATATGTTGGTTCCGAGGTTGGTCTTCATGGCCAAGACCACAAGGACCTCCATCTGCCGATCATCATACATGAAGACATGTCAGACTTGATTGTTAGTACATCTTTAAGTGCGAAATTCTGTTACAACTTTCGCTGATAAGAAGAGCAGGATCATCGGTTTGACACCAGCAATGAACCAACGAACACGGACACATCCACAGTTCTGGCCGCAATCAGGGGCCAGGGACTGCCACCAACAAAGGACCTGCCTAAGTCTATTCCAGAACCCAGCGAGATTACCGATCATGGGCATCAGAGGTATAATGAGTTGAAGAACGAGAACCTTATTCCATGGCTTCCAGTAGACGACGATGAACACGAAGGCAATCTCTCAGACCGAATCCTTGAGGCAAGCTGTGAAAACTCTCAGGACAGACAGGAGTTTCTGCCCAAAGGTCAATTGGACAGACTGATTCATCCCAGTTCAGTTCGCCTGGAGCTCAGAAGACGGCTGCCAAATCTTACAGAGGACGAAATCAGATCTTACGCCAATCGCATATGCCACGGTAGAGCCGAAACAATCGACAAAAGTACCACAGAGGATTTGGTCAAGTCGTATCAAAAAGTCTTCGCGGTTTTAGTCCTCGTCAACAAGGTGGATACTATTGAGTTGTTCCTGGGAGAAAATGTGTGCGATGCAGACTTGCCACTTCAAAGATACACCAGGAAAAAGGATTCAGAGCGTCGCAAGTTGGAGTTACGACGCAAGAAGCAACCAGGCCGTCGGCTGGATTCCTTCAGGTTATGGGACCAAGCTGCCATAAGGAACTTTGAAAAGTACCAATGGGCTGTGGTTCCTCCATTTTTCACGAAGGGCAAAAGGAAAAACGTACAACATTACGTTCTTGAGCCATCAACAGTGCTGCCATTCATTTTCACCGAGAACGCAAGTAGCGGCCGTCGAGGCGGTTACAGCCGAGTTTTCGAAGCCGATATCCATCCGGACCACCACAATTTTAATGGTCCTCAACGGAATGAGCAGGACACATCAGAGGTATTCCCCACTCTCAACTTTAGAACTTCTCTCTCTAATACCATCATCAAGCCTTCACAAAACACCTTTGCGATCAAACGGCTACAAGACTTAACAAGCAAAGAAGCGTTCCAAAAGGAAGTCCAAATCCTCAAAAGATTCAGTGGGGATACCCATCCGCATCTCATTTCTCTGCTTGCAACATTCGAGCGGAGTGGCGTATTCTACCTGATATTCCCATGGGCAGGAGCTGATTTGAAGACTTACTGGAAGTCCAAGAATCCAAGACCAATGCACGACGCGGACACTGTTATATGGATGGCAGAACAATGCAGTGGCTTGGCCGAAGGTCTTACCAAACTTCACCAGTACGAGACTGGGCTCAACGATAAGACAGAATCTTCGAAAAAGGAGTTTCTAGCGCCAAATGTTGTTCTGAATGGTGGCAAAGACTCTGGAAGACCTGGTCCACTATATGGGCGGCACGGAGACATTAAGCCCGAGAATATCCTTTGGTTCCCTGATCCAAAGGTCTCTTGTCACAAAGGAACCCTGAAAATCTCGGATTTTGGGCTTTCTGAGCTCAACAGTCGGTACAGTAAGTCTCAGAGACGAAGCCAACTCCCGAACTCACCAAGCTATCGGCCCCCTGAGTGCGACTTGAGGAAGAAAATCATCAAACAGTCATACGATATCTGGACACTTGGCTGCCTTTACTTAGAGTTCATTACGTGGACACTAGGCGGATGGGATTTAGTCCAAACGTTCGCATCTCGAAGACAACCTGTAGATCCAGGAGAAACTGAGTCGAACTGCTTCTTCGAGATCAGAGAGGATGGGAAGGATGCACGTGTCGATGCATTCGTCAAGCCAGCAGTTACAAAGGTCAGACTTCTGTTCCCAGCACCGGTCATCACTTGATTATCTTCAGTTACCATACAATGCTAACCATCACAAAGTTCGTGTCAGAGTTGCGTTCTCATCCGCGGTGCAGCGAATTTCTTTCTTCTTTCCTAGATATGATTATGGGAGAGATGCTGATTGTAGAGTCTGAAAGCAATCGAAGGTTGGGATGCATGCAGGTGATGCACCAAATCAAGACTTGGCATAGGAAATGCTTAGTAGACGCAGACTTCGCGTTAAATTCATCGCGGAGAGTCTGATCGGGTCTAGAACTGGAGCTTACGCTTGTATTCTTCGTGCGAATGAAGTTTTATCAGTAGGAATTGTTGGGCAGCCGTAATACAGAACTTTCAGGCTATGAAGGCTATGAAGCGATGCTCTCCGAGGCGTCCTATTTTAAACCAATGCTTGCAGCTGAAGTTGCAGTCGTTCGGTCGACGGAGCAGCGCCAGATGCATTCAACAATTGTTCCATCAATTACGGGGCATGGGTGGCTGAGGTTGGGTGCCTGCTTGCCTGCTTGCCTGCCGGAATTATGCGAACCGTTTCATGCATGCCGCCCAACAATGGGCCACAGCCTGCTTGATGTTCATTCCTTCTCTTCCTGCACGCTGCACCATCCACACCCATTCTTTATTCCCTCGTGCTTTCCTCAAATTTGAGACCGTGGCGAGCCGCAGCCCATCCGCGTTCCAAGGTCGGCTTGATCGCGGCTGACGAGAGACGCCAGTATCTTTCAGTCTCCATGTTAAGAAGGGAGTTCAAGCCAAACCAATACGAAAGAAATCAATTGGCGGAGGAGTCATAAATATGTCTTCGAGCGGCCATTCCCTTCTTCGGACGTCATTGCTCCGTTCTACTGTTGCCTCCTTATCAGACGAGATACCCCGCGAATCTCGCAGTCCGCCGGCCAATGACTTCACGATGCCTAGGTGTGGAAGTGGTCCCATTTGATGACTGCAGTACACTAAGTAAGCAGGTCGATGTGCGTCATCGCTTAGCTTATCCACGCTACCATCCGCATCCAACCCAGACGACGGGACTCCTCACGAGCAAGCCTTAGGGTTCTTGTTACAACCTCGATTGGTGTTTGAGCCGAATTCTTGCAGTAGTCGTGCCATTTAAATGCTTGGCACTGGTCCATGATAGGGACGGATCAGTCTGGTCGCCGTTCATTTGCACATGATTGCCAACTACCCAACACAACTTGGACATCGGCCCCGAGACACTGGCAGCCTGCTTCACCTGTAGATGCAAGCCATCCGCTGCCTCACGGTTTGCATTCTCTCTATCCGGCAGATTTGGACTCCAGTCGCATACCCTGCCTTTGCCTGACGGGCTTGATGGTTTCCCCCGTCTCGTCATTCTTTCCCTTCTTCCGGGCTTCCCCCATCTATGATTGTGTTCGCATGTCGATCCTACTGATCCAACGAGAACAGATGCCACCATGTCGACGAGGGCGGATCACGAGTATTCCGAAACAGACAACAGCGGCTCAGAGAGTGATGGCCCACAGACTCTCGGAGACCAACTGCTCGTTTACTTGGTGGAGAGCAAGTTCGACTCGAAACGAGAGTTTCTTCCGGAAGGATACATCGACAAGGTCCTCGGTCGCGGCGCCATTCAAGACGAACTCTTCTTTGGTAAGAAGCTTGATAGTGATGACAAATCATTGATCAACTTCATCCATGATCACGCCAGGAAGGTCTTCGCGACGGCTTACTGCGCTCTTGGTAGTAATGCAGGGAGCTCGCTTCTTGAAACTATGGGTTACTTTCGTCGCCAGAACTTCACAGACAGGGCACTTCCGATCAACGACATTCAAAAAGCGGATGAAACCCGGAAGTCCAAGACGAAACTTCCATTTCCGTTCGACTTAATTGAAGATCCCAGGCTACAACGCGTATGGCGGCGAATGCCTATCCGCAACTTCTATCAGCACCAATGGAAGTTCTTGGCGCCTGTGTTCTCACGAGAAAGATTTCACCATAATCTCCATCCCGATGTTATTCTACCTTTTGTTTGGAAGAATACCGCTACCAAAGAAGGAAGGTTCAGCAAGGTCCACCAAGTTGAGATTCACAAGGGCCACCAGAAACTGCTCAGGCCTAGGGTAGGGAAAGCTGCCAACGCTCTGTGTTTTGATCTCACCTGACACAACATCCAGGCAGACGGTACCCCGGCCCATATCGCTATAAAGGAGATTCTCACAACTGATGACGATGAAGAGCTGCAGCAGGAGGTGGAGAAAAATTTCAAGGTAGAGGCAGACGCTCTGTCCGACATTGCAAGTCTCAAACACAAGCATATTATCGAGAGAATTGCCGCTATCACACGAGGCGAAAATCGATACTTCATGTTTCAATGGGCTGATGGAGGCAATCTGAGAGACTTCTGGAAAAGCCACCCCACGCCAGAATTCGACGCCAACTTGGTTCGGGAATCCGTAACTCAATTGCGTGGACTTGCCGACGCATTGGCAGCTCTTCACCACTACAAAGGCGAGGGCAACTACCGACACGGTGACTTAAAGCCAGAGAACATTCTCAGGTTCGAGGACAAGACCTTTGTTGGAACCCTCAAGATCGCCGATATGGGCCTTGCTAAGCGTCATACTGAGGCAACCGACGACCGATTAAGCCCGACCAACACCAAATATGGTACTGCACGGTACGAGCCTCCTGAAGCAGTAACAAACAAACTGAAGGCCAGATCTCGTCTTTACGATGTATGGTCATTAGGATGCATCATATTGGAGTACATCATATGGTTTCTCTACGGTTATGACGGCGTCAGGGAGTTCACCGAAGCGCTTCTCGACGACACAGGCTGTTTCTACCGCGTCGAAAAGGACGGGAATCAAACAAAAGCTGAAGTTCATCCTGTAGTCGTTCACTGGATGAATGAACTCAGCAAACACCCGGAATGCTCTAAGTCTACGCACACAGCAATTCGAACTCTTCTTGACCTCGTCCGAGATAGACTATTAGTTGTCGCTCTCCGGCCTAGTCCAGAGACAACATCTGAAATGTCCTCAGCAGTCGTTGCTGTTACCCTTGCTGATACCTCCGAGCCGCCACAGGTTGGCTCGGCCAGGGCCAAAGCCGCCGCTGCAAGCTCTGCGCTCCAAGCGATACTGGAAGATGGTGATGGGAACGAGAAGTATCTACTCGCGAGCAAGAACAGACCGGGCTTCAGACGCCCATCTGTCGCTGCAATCCCTAGATCCAGCAACAATTTGCAGGTTCCAGGACAATCTCGGCCGAAGTCAAACGCACCTGCCAAAGATGCCTCGATTTACACCACCGTAAGTGACCTCCATTCAGGGGTGAACATCAACTTCCTGCCCTTTATCCTGCGTTCTTAGCCTACAGAAGCTTCGTTATTGAATTGGATTCCTGGATGCTGACGGTTCCCACACAGAAGGACGTAAGTAGATGAGTGTGATCGACTGCACTCTGTACCAGGCTCATCGACTGACGAGCTATTTAGTATGTGAGTTGAGTACATATATCATGTTTTGTAACTCATCCTCTCAGCGCTATTTACTAACAGAAACTGTCCGGTCTGAAGGGGGTAAGTAGAATAATTTCACCGACCAGCTTCCCGTTTTCCTCTTGACTTTGGACGCAAATGGTTACTGATATATCTCTTCCTTTGTTAGCTAGTAAGTAGAAAAAAATATATCTAGACGTGAAGGACTCCTTTAACCTAGACATCGGGCCATCTGCAGTCGGTGAGACAACCCGCAGTTTTACGCTGCCAAAGGACCCAAGCTCAAATACTTGCTGACACCCACCCGTTAGCTCAACCACACCTGGTCATTTTACTCCGACAACAAATTCGCCAACAACCTTGTGGACACCTACGAGAATTTCCCCGTGGATCTGAGCCTACCTCACTATCAAGGGCTTTGTGCTCAATGTGAAGAGTTGGACATATTGTCGTCAGATTTTCAGATGACCGATACGCTCGCTGGTATAGAGAAAAGGGCAGATACATGTGGCTTCTGCAAACTCTTAGCAGAAGCTTGTAAGAAAACAAATGCACCCAAGGTATTTCGCCTGCAAAGGTGCGGGCCTACTCTCCGAATCGACAACGCTTCGGTACCGCTTCTCAGCATTGTTCGCGACCCTGGTTAGTCATTTGATTCTCTCGACTTACCTTATCCAGTGAATAGACTTTGATAGTTTACTGACTGATAATGTTTATACAGGCGGAGGTTCGGAAATTCCAAAGTATATCCAGGTTGGCTTCCCGAACCTCTCTCCAACCCGCCACTCCCTGCACTTTGAGATTATCAGACAGTGGCTCAAAGAATGCGACAATAATCCAGCCCACGACAATTGCCGATGCGATGAAAATCCCACACTTCCTACTAGACTACTCGATGTCCAAACTTCGACAATTCGTCTCATTGACACGCAAGGCTTACAAGGCCAATACCTTGCGCTGTCACATCCCTGGGGCGATCCAGCCATACATTCCCATTTCTGCACCTACACCAGCAACATCGAGAGGCACAGAGCCGGTATCGACTTCAACGTCCTTCCAGACACATTCAAAGACGCAGTCACAATAACGCGCGAGCTTGACATCAAATATCTTTGGATTGACTCGCTGTGCATCATACAAGGTCCCGATGGTGACTTCACGGAGCAATCAAAGCATATGGAAGATGTCTTCAGCTCAGCGTACTGCGTGCTTGCTGCAAGCCGGGCGGCTGGTCAATGCGACGGCTTTTTGGGAGACAGAGTTGGACGAGATTACATCACATTTAGCAGAGGTGAAGATGAAGTCTACCACATCTGCGAGGAAATAGACAACTTTCAAGGGGATGTCATTGATGGTGCACTGAATCAGCGGGGCTGGGTGCTTCAGGAGAGAGCCCTCGCGCGTCGGACCATCTACTTCACCGAGAAGCAGACATACTGGGAATGTGGCGGTGGGATTCGATGTGAGACGTTTACCAAACTGAAAAAGTGAGTCTCAGGACCGAAATGAACAATCCAAGCGTTGTAACTTAACTAACCCGCGAGAACTCCTTTTTAGCAATATCGCGGCCTTTCTTGGAGATCCCAAGTTCCCTGAAGTCGCCATGCGTTCGACAAGAGGAGAAATGATCTATCTTTACCAGATGTTTTACCAACAGTACTCAAAATTGCAATTTTCAAAGGTCGAGGATAGGCCTTTTGCCATTGCCGGTCTAGAGAAAAGATTGTTACAGGGCTTTGCCACACGTGGAGGATATGGGGTGTTTGACGATGGAAAGGGTCTTCTGCACCGGAGCCTTCTTTGGTGTCGATCTCTGGGCGGGACCCTCGGGAGAATCAAGTTTCCGGTTGAGAAGAAGATTTTCGTACCGACGTGGTCGTGGATGGCGTATGAGGGAGGCATCGATTACCTGGATCCGGAATGGAACAAGACCGAGTGGGAACAGCAAGATCTCCGATCCCCGTGGAGCGCAGACCCGCCTGTGCAGTACACCACGGACAAAAACAGCACGATCTCTCTCGAAGCTACTGCGAGAGATTTCGATGAAGCCAAAGCTGTCAAAGAGCACATCACGCTTTACTTCGACATGCCTGACAAGGCCGACGGTCGTACGCCAGGCTTGAAGTGCGTGATCCTAGCGCGGCCCAAGACTGGATCTACAACGACGGACAGGATGTGCTATGTCCTTCTTGTTGCGCCACCGGTTAGTAAGAGATCCGGAGGCTCGACGGTCTTTGAGAGAGTGGGTGTCGGAAAAATGCCCGAAAGTTGTGTCTCGCAGTTGGACAAGATTGAAGTTAAGCTCCAGTAGATTCTAAGATTACAAAAGCTCTTTTTCTTTGCTGTTCGGCCTTCTAAATCGAGATCGATTCCATTAAAAGATATGTTAAAGGTCGACCGGCATGGTCAGCATGTAATCGAAGACATCAAGCAACGACGACGACAACGACGACAACGACGACCACGATAGCGACGACGAAGACTAAAGAAACAGCGGTCATAATATCAAACTTTGCATGAAAGTCACCCGAGTTGTTTGCGGCACGGCACCTTGTTGATCTAGAACCGGCACTCTATTACGGTCTATCTATCATCTATGACACAATAGCCAACGCACTCTTCACCGCAAAGTTGTGCTCCCGATCCATATCCCACGGCCCAGGCCTAACCATCTGTAACTCTACACCCGGTCTAAACACCATACAATACGAACTCCCTCCAAAGTGGAACATCCCAATCTCCTGCCCCTTTTCGATCCTCTCCCCCTCCCTAACCACAAAATCGCAACTCGACACCTCTACCATGCCGATAAACACAACCGCCATCAGCCCAATCTTCGGGTTATCCGCCTGAATGAACATGATACTCCGCGTCGCCACCGCACTCAAATACGGCTGCGAATACGTCGGCGCCGCCGGGTCCTCCCCACCCTGCCCCTTCGCCCCCGCCAGCCCCTCCGACCAGTTCTCGCTGTAATACGTGCCGGGCACGTACTCAATCCCGACGACCTTGCCGCTCACCGGCGCGTGCCAGCGGTGGTAGCTCAGCGCGCTCAGGAACGCCTGGTACACCGTCCCGCCCACGAACTCCGCCGTCCGCTTGTGGCAGTTGAGCATGTTGCCCAGCGAGTACGGCTGCCCCTTGAGGTAGAACGTGTCGAAGAGCTTCACCCCCGTGCGCACCTGCAGCGGCGCAGACTCGCACGCGTTGGCGACCACCAGCGTCGGGTCCGGGAACCGCGGGTCTCGTGCCCCGCGCTCCGGCGCCTCCACCGGCCGCACGCCCTCTCTGAACCGCCTGACGAAAAAGTCGTCCCACGACCCGAAGCCGAAGTACTCCCAGCTCGGGTTGCATTCAAATAGCTCCTCGAAGGTGTGGCTCGTCTTGCCGTTGTTGGCCTTCATCGCAATCATCTCGCGCGCGTCCTTGGACAGCCACCCGTCGAGGCACCCGCGCGACTCGGGCGTCGTGAGGAACTTGCCCCACGCGTTGAGAATCGCCGCGATGGCAGCGTTGACCTCGGGCCGCAGAAAGAACTCGTAGCCCGAGATGGTGCCCATCGGCCAGTCGAGCAGCGCGTTGATGGGGCACCCGACGAGGCCGATGGCGGTCGACGGGGACGACTTGGTGACGAACTCGGGCCCGGAGCGCAGGACCAGGTTCATTACGGCGATGAAGTCGTCAAACTTCTTGATGGCGTTGTGGCCGACGGGGTCCTGGGGGTACTTGCGGGACGACTCGGTGAACATCTTGTTGGCGAGCTTGGTGAGGTGCGCGTCGTCTTGGACGAGCTTCTTGAAGGCCTCGAGGGTCGGGTCGAGGGGTTCCGGGTGCTTGATCGCGCGTGCCTGCTTCGCCTTTTCCGCGACCCATTGCGCGATCAGGCTGCGGTCTTTGGGGAGCCAGTGGCCCGGGGCCTGGCTCTGGAGCGCTTCTTGGGCGTTGAAGCCCTTTGGAGGCTGTTTCCAAAAGTATGAGAGCATCTTCGAAGGGCAACAACTGTGTGACTGAAACCTGTGATGACTAATATTGGGAGGGAATCTAACAACTCGGGCTGCATGTGCAGAGAAGCAAGCAAAGAGCAAGAAGGTTCCGGTTTATATTTTTGTTGAGCAGATCCTACTTAGCTAATTCCGCGTCGCAAGAAAGTCATGCAAGCACACGTGAAGTTACTATATGCCTGTCCTGCTTATGAGAGCGAGAAAGGGCCAAACGAAACACGAGCTGCGAACGCGGGAGTTACGCAACGGCTCGCACGGCGGCTGTCGGGGATGTGCCACGAACGAATTCCGTTGCGTGTTAGTACACCGGTGGAAGGTACCAGCTTTTTGGCAGGGTGAAACATGACGAAATGGGGGTAAACATGTTTGACAGGTGAGGTCGTTTCCAGAAACAATGCTGAGTCGGGCTCATGTCTTGTTCAGATATCGATGGGAATAATGCCGCACCGCCGGCAGAAACGAGGTACGGTCTACACGGGATGCGGAAAGGCACGCAGCAGCGCGAATCATTCGTCGACACCTTTCCGATGTGGCGTCCGGGCCGCTACACAGCCGGGACCACAAAGATCTGCCCAACTGGTAAGACAGCGTTTGTCCCAAAGAAGATACGCACGACGACGAAGTGTCACAGGTCTCGGAGGCGGTAAGCTGGTCTGCCCTCTGTCTGGAGCCGATCCGCTTAACCGGTTGTGACTAAGGGCTGTTGGCTTGCTGGCTTGATGGGGAAGAGAAAAGAAGGGAAAGTGTCGTGCTCGCCGAAGCGTTGGGTGCTCCGACCGCGGCGGCGGCAGCTGCACGCTTGAAAGATCTCGTCTGATCGTTGTTGAGTCCAGAACCAGGGGTGAAAAAAAAAACTGGGAACGCGGTTTCGGGGATCTGAGGCAATGCCGCCTCGAATTCTATTCAGCGGCTCCGATGCAGGACATGGCGGGCGAGTCAAGCTGGGAAAAGTATGTAAGCACGGGTCGCGTGCTTCGGTCTCTGATGAATGGCTAGTTGATGCTCAGGAGGCTGTGTGTTACTGAGTTGGAATAGTTTGAGAGTTCGAGAAGCTCTCTTTTCCGCGGACGACATGTGTTGTAAGGCGCTGTCTGTTGGTCAATGTGTGTCACGAGCTTCCGATAGCAAGAGTTTCTCCATCCAGGCACGTCGCGTGGACCTCTCCTCCCCGTAAACAGCATGCTTTCGACTGAAGTTCAGACTGAGGACTCAGCTGGCCTCGCGGATGTCGCCTCACGGTTTCCTCGGCATCTCATCTGTCTCGTGGCCTTCAGCTGGGACTGAGAGGCGACTTCCATCACCTGCATGTAAGTTGTAAGTGAGATGAACCGAACTTTTGAGTCAGCTACCTTCAAGCAGTCGCCCCGAATAAGTGAAAAGCTTAACAGTAAAAGGGTCTGCGTAAACGTTCGCTTGAGCAACGAACCCTAGATTGCCCGAACCCCGAATGCTCCTTTGTCAAATAAAACCAGATACAATCAACGGCAAATCAAAATGTTGTCTGCAACTTTGGGTAGTCCTTGGCGCGAGCCTGGAGATCAGCAAAGATGGCACCAGAGTCGTCCTCCGCGAGGTTCTCCATCCGCTTCGTATCCTCATCCTCAATCTGTTCAAGAATCTTCTCGGGCTCCTCGTTGCCCTCCTTCACGTCCTTCTTTCGAGGCTCTGTCGCCTTCTTGATCCCCGATGACTCGCCGATCAAGAGGATCTGAGCGTTGGCATAGTCAAGGTGTTCGGGTTTGGTGGGCATCCATCGGAGGTCTCGGAACTCCTTGTTGATCCTAGAGCTTGTTGTCAGTACCATTCATGTCTGTTAAAAACAGCCAATACTTACTTCTCAGGGTAGTCAGGATTCTCTGGGAGGCTCGCGTTCGCAGGTCCGGATTTGTTGGGATTCTTAGTGCTCAAGATGAAGCTGCCTTGCTCCTTGAGGCCAAGCTCCTCCTGGACCTCGCCGATGTTGGAAGGCAGAGTGAGCATGTACGCCAGGTGACTCTCCCTGCCGGTCGTCGTGATGACATAGACGCCCTCGCCAACAGGAGTGGCGGCAGGGACCTGTGAAGTGCCAGCTCTGGTTTCGTGCTGGTCACCGGAGAGGAACTGCTCCTTCAGCTCGGCGAAAGAAGCGCCGGCCTTCTCGACGAACATCATGAAGCGGTCTCGGCCGCTCTCAGGAAAGACCTTCTTAGGCAGGGCGATCAAACGAGTATTGCCAGCATCGCCAATCGGGCCGTCACCAAGCTTGGAGTCGGGGGCGATGGGGCGAAGAATGAGGTAGCTTCGAGCAATGTCGTCAACTTCTTCGGCCTCGTCAAGGTTGACCCGGGCGCGGATGAAGAAGTAGATGATGCCCTTCTCGAGGACGTTGGACGGAACTTTTTTGTCCGCGTGGGAAATCTCGGCAGTGTCTCCGTTGCTTTCCTTGGTTGCAGGCTTCTCATCAGCCTTGGTCTCCTCTGTTGTCTCCTCCTTGCCCTTGGTATCGGCAACCTCGTCCTTTTCCTTGGCCTCGTTCTTTTTCTCGGTCTCAGAATCCTTGGCCGGGGCAGCCTCCTTCTTTTCCTCGGTGTCGTTCTTTTTCTCCGGTTTGGAGTCTTCCACCTTGGACTCCTCTTCCGCCTTGGACTCCTCTGCCGCCTCCTCGACGTCCTTGGCCGCCTGGGTCTCGGCAACCTCTTTCGCGTCTTCGGCAACAGTCTCATCTCGATCCTTCATCTCAGTGTCGGAAGTTTCAGGCTTCTCCTCCTTTGTCTCGGGCTTCTTTGCCTCTGGCTTCTTGGACTCGGCATCGTCTTGCTTCTCGAGGGCCTCCTCGATGGTGGTCTGGCGGGCACCATCATCGGACTTCTTCGCCCGCTTAGCATCAGGAGCATCCTCGGCAGTGTCCTGATCGATGACACGCTTCTCTCCAGCGGTAGCCTCAGCAGTGTTCTGGGCCTTTCCATTGGCCTCAGCCTCGCCGTTGGCGTGCTCTCCTGCACGTGTGCTGACCATGATGCTGGACGTGGGTGATTGGGTTGACGATGGAGACGGTACGGTAGTGTAGGTGTCGTGTTGTTGCCCGCGGGTATCAATTGATGACGGTTGGTCAGATGGAATGCTCCAAACAAAAACACAGGGAAGAGAAGCAAGTGCTGGGGAGGAGTTGGCAGGCAGAGAGGAAGGCGCGCGGACGGGGAAAGGTCTGAGGAGTTCTGATGTCATAGGCGGCGTCGCACGCGTCGCGTTGCTTTTTCTGGAGGCAGGTAGCCGCCATTAGGTAACCTGGCGTGCCTTCCCGCGAAGTTACACACGCTGTCTCAATGAGCAA